ACCGCAATGGAGCTTACTCTTACTTCCTCGCATCTATCACGGCCGATATGAACTACGCTCCTGCGTATACCAGCCTCGGTTTCTATTTTGCGGATTACAAGAAAGACAAAACCAGAGCGCGACGATGCTTCCACAAAGCTTTCGAGCTCTCGACTTCGGAGATTGAAGCTGCCGAGCGTCTCGCTAAAAGTTTCGCAGATCAACGGGAATGGGACCTTGTAGAGGTCGTCGCACAACGTGTCGTTGATTCTGGCAAAGCTAAGCCATCACCTGGCTCGAAGCGTAAGGGCTATAGCTGGCCATATGCGGCCCTCGGTACTGTGCAGATCAACAAACAACAATATGCACGAAGCATTGTTTCATTCCAGGCATCACTGCGACTCGCTCCTGGGGATTATCATTCCTGGGTCGGTCTTGCGGAGAGTTATCATCATTCTGGTCGCTATGTTGCAGCCACCAAGGCATTCGAGCATGCGCGTGAGTTAGAGACCAATCTCTCCGAGGAAGAGAAGCAACACGTCTGGTTCGCACGGTATATGCTGGCGAATGTGAAAAGAGAGCTTGGTGACTTCAATGATGCCATTTCCAGTTACAATGACGTCCTCGCCTCTCGACCGGGTGACATTGGCGTTACAATTGCCCTCCTTCAAACACTAGCAGAGAGTTCTTGGAAAAGTGTGGATTCAGGATTGTTTCATGACGCAGCCGAGCTTGCATGCAAGGTTATCCAAGTCGCAGCCTCAATCGTGTCTGTTCGATCCGATATCTTCAACATGTGGAAGGCTGTCGGTGATGCTTGTGCCAACTTCTCATATATTGGTAAAGAGGTTGGGAAGCTCTCCGCCGCCGACTGCAAGGCCCTGCTCTCCACCGGAGTCGACGATGAAGCTTTTAATATCATGTTTGAAGTGGACGGAGTTGGAAAAGATTGGCTTGACTCCAGCGTGAACGACGCAGTCTCGTCTGATTCATGTATCCACTTCTCCATCCTGGCTTACAAGCGGGCAATCCACACTTCGATCAAGGACACACATGCGCAAGCAGTTGCATGGTATAACCTAGGATGGGCCGAGTATAGAGCCTTCCGAGACACATATGTCGCCCCCGGTACGAAGAAGCCTCGCAAGTTCCTCAAGGCAGCAATGCGATGTTTCAAGAGGGCCATTGAGCTAGAATCTGGAAACTCCGAGTTCTGGAATTCGCTTGGCGTTGTCACAACAAGCATGAGCCCCAAGGTCGCACAGCACGCTTTCGTCCGCAGCCTTCATCTCAATGACAGAAGTGTTCAGGCCTGGACTAACCTTGGGGCACTTTACCTTCTCCACAACTCTGTTCAGCTCGCCAACGAAGCCTTTACCCGTGCTCAGTCTACGGACCCCGACTACTCCCAGGCATGGGTTGGACAGGGATTACTTGCCCTCCTCTACGGCGACAAAAATGAAGCCCGTGGTCTTTTCGAGCACGCGTTTGACATTTCAAATTCTTCTGCCGTGCTTCCTAAGCGACAGTACAGTTTGACTCTTTTCGATCACCTTCTCGTCGATGAGTCAGCTTCTAACGAAGTATCCCAACTCATCCAACCGTTTTTCGCCCTCCACCAGCTCTGTGCACAAGACCCCTCAGATCTACCATTCGTCCACCTGTCCGCCCTTTTGGCAGAGAGAATGGGAGAAACCGCCGACGCTGAGCGCAGTTTGCAGACCGTCTGCTCTGGCATGGAGACCGAGTTCGAAGCTTCGGAATCCCCGGCTGCACTCTCTAGATTCGCACAGGCCAATGCAGATCTTGCTCGTGTTCTTCTTGCTCGTGGTGATTACGAACAGGCCGCGGAGAAAGCCGAGACCGCTCTCACTCTCTCCGGAGAGGAAGATGCTAGCAACTTTGATCCAGAAGGATGCAGCAAGATGCGATTATCAGCACACCTGACCGCAGGCCTCGCTTTCTATTTCCTGCAATCAATGGATCAGGCTATCGATATGTTCCGCGATGCTCTGCAAGAAGCAGATAGCGCCCCGGACGTAGTATGTCTTCTGGCCCAAGTTCTCTGGGCCAAGGGTGGAGAAGAGGAGCGCTCGGTGGCCCGCCAGCAGTTATTCGACTGCGTCGAGAGCCACCCAGAACACGTCGGAGCCGTCAGTCTACTAGGAGCCATCGCAATTTTAGACGGAGACAAGGATACAGTCGAGGCGGTTGAGTCAGATCTTCATATCATGATCACCCGTGATGATATCGAAATTCACGACCGAGCTCGACTCATCAAACTTCTCGCTGCGATCTCAATCATGGGCTCCGCTGGAGAAAACGCAGCCTCAGAGGAACTGCGACACCTCGGCGAAGCTACCGCGGCCATCATGCTGTCCCCGGGTCAGCCTTCGGGGTGGATGGAGCTTTCGGCATCTTCGGACCACCCATACCCTGCAGCTATGTCTGTTGAGCGAGCTCTTCGTTGCGTTCCGCCGCACGGTAACCTTGACGCCTCTGATCTCAGCCAGGCCCATGCCCGAACCGGAAATGCCCCGGATGCATTCCGGTCTATCATGATCGCTCCATGGCGACGGGAGGGCTGGGAGGAGCTCAGCCATGCTGTTTCTAGCCAAGCGGCATAGTTATTGCCAGTTCATTCATGATAAATACGCATTTGTGTAGCCGATGATAATGAATATCCCGTTGATGAAGATGATACCTAAGTCTTCCACTATCTGTTCTCCACTAATAGGTATTGCGCTTCGTAGGAATTTGGAAAGGTCGGTTCTTTGTAAACTGCGTAGTCTCCCCGTGATTGTACTGCTCCTGCCCTTCTTGATTTCCAGACCACCACCACCACCACCACCACCACCTTGTCCAATCAAAATTTCCAATGGCTGAATGGATACCCCCTGATAAGTTGGATATAATACGCCTTCCTGTATCCTGCTGGGTGGGGTCAGGGTAACCGTGCTGTTCTCGATAATCTCCCCATGATGCGTATCATCGGCGAGACGAGCTTGGGGACCCCGATTGTTACAGCGTCAACAAGGCTGCCCGAATGCGCAACTAGCATTTATATTACAAGAGACTTCCTTGATCGGAGTCGCACGGCGTTTAAACAAAGTTTCTCTAATTGGGAAAGAGAGTTAGCTAACAACCTTCCAAGGTTCTAGGAGGAAGAAGGTAAGTCGCAAATTCCATACCGCAGCAAGATTTTTTGCCCATCAATGTTCCTAGTCATTCGGAGAGTACAGGGAATCGGACGAATGATTATTCAGGGTCGGCCTTCCTTCGCGAGGAGTAACAGACTGCATATGGATTGCATGATTGAAAGCCCGTCTAGAGTCAGGTTTCAAGGATAGTCGGAAGCTTCGGGCTCGTGGTCACGATGGTGGAACCCCAGCTAAACGACATTCGCAATCCCATTGAGTTGGCTGAGATATTTGGGTACGAGGTTTTCAATCGGCGTTTTATGACTAAAGATCTTGGTGGATGAAAGTGGATATAGCGACACTATCCAGGTGGCCTTGCTCGATTCCCTGGTCTTTGTTTTTTATTCATCCCTACCTACCTAGTACATTATGTCGTATATTCTAGTACTAATATGATATTTCCATGCAAAACTCACTACCCTTAAAAATACTGCTCCGGGGTATTTAGATTGGTTCCAAGGTTGAATTTAATCCGTGTTAGTAATATGCAAGAATGTAAGCTAGCAGTGGATAAAGCCATTCTAGACGCTCAGTTTACTGCCTGCAACTTGAGGTTAGCGTTGTGACGTGCTACCTAGTAGTAGATACCTAGGTAGTAGATAGTAGTTATAGAGCTTAGGAGGCTTGCAATGAACCACAAGCCCTGGAGCCCGAGACAGTCTCAGTCCCAGGCTAGGTAATATATTGATACCACCTGGGCAATACCACCCCCAGAGTTGTGGTGATCACGATTAATTGATGTTGGGAGGATAGTGAAAGGTTCAAGTTGTAGTCATTAACATCCAAAGGCACGCATCGATTCAATGCCTTAATTGGGAGTTTCAGAGACGCTTGCCTCGGGGTATATATTATTTTGCTTCAAAATTAAAGATCCAATGCGGCCCATTGGGCACTGTAGGTTGTCTACAAAGCACAGCCATGCAGCGGTTATGGCATATCAACTTGCCACACGTCAAGTTCCTTGGAGAGTGGAGATTCGCTCCAATAATCGTTTCTTCCTATCCTCCTTCCATGGCCGATCCAGGGCATCGATTTTCCCGCCGAGCAAGGTGACACATCCTGGGTTAAGCAAGACCATGCCTCGGGCAACCGTCGCATTTTGAAGAACCAGCTTCGCACCGATGGAAAGCTTTTCCAATGATATACCCTCTATTGGCTTCATTTCGATAGCAACCGTCTTAGTGCCAGCCGAGTCTTGTAGAATCAACCGGTGCGGTCCATAGCCACTGCTCCCCGACGCGTTTGGAGCAGCTTGATTATTCGTACGACCATTTGCATTATCTGCGCCTTCGTTATCATCGCTTATTGGGATAGTTCGCACCACTTCTCTGCCGCGAATTGCTTCTCCGCGCTCGACGCGCTCAATCGCCTCGACTTGGCTCCATAGACTTGTTCCGATGTCTTCGATGTCGAGGACTTGGACTGGGATTGGGCCTTGTAGGCGTCTCTCTTGTACAGTTGGATCGATTATGTCAACGGGGAGAACGGTGGAAGGGCTCGTAGTGAGGGATTCTCGGAAATCAGAGGCGAGGACGCGGAAGAGAGCTGTCTTTGTGAGCGCGGAGGCGGGAATATTCCGCTGCGCAGAGTTGGAGTTTGTCAGGAGAGTGTTTAACCAGCTTTGCGAGACAGGCAGTGACTTTGTGTTTAAGATTTGAGCAGCTATTTGCTCTGAGCTGGCCATTGTGGTGATTGGATCTGCTCCAGCAGCAGCTGAAATGTTGAAGTAGGCAAAGCAAGCAGCAAGCACGGGCCCGGCCCGCCGGGGAAGAAGCCAGTCGCCGCATTCCCCGTTCACCTTCACTTCCTTCATCACCCACCATGTCAACATTGTCCTCCCCCCGCCCCTCAATCGCTTCCTCTCGTGGCCATTCGCCCGGTCCAGCTTCCTCTCGCCCCTCTCTCGATGTACTAAACACCAACATCTCCGGCGGCCTTAGCGCCGCCTCTACTCCGTCGACTGCGCGAGCCGTCTCTCCCAACCCCATCGGCGGACGCCGGAATCGCTCAGCCTTACGAGACTACTATAAGCTCAAACCTCCTGGTTCCGATAGCCCCGGCGGATCTCGATCCCATAGCGTACCCCGCAACACCGACGCAGGCGATATCTCCAACCCCTCGACCCTGGAGACGGGTACGGAGCTAGACAATGCGGACTTCGACCCTCAACGTTATGTCGATCAACTCCTATCAACCTCATCCCTGTCAACAATTCTCAAGGCGGAAAATACACTGGTTGGAGATGTCCGTACCCTGAGATGGGGAGCGCAAAGCACTTGTATACGATAATTACTCCAAGCTCATCCGAGCCGTGGAAACAATTGGGAAAATGCGGCAAAGTATGGACGAGCGCGGTGCGCCCCTGACGATGACCAAGACTCTGGGTCCAGCCATTTCATTCGTTGCTGAGACTGCTGGCGGTCTTATCAAAGAAGGGGAGGAACACCGCCGCCGCATTAAGCAGGAACGAAGCCAACGGCCTGCTCCAACTCATAATAAGAACGAGAAGGAGACTGTCCAGTGGGTTCTTGCCTCGCCTCAAAGGCTGGAGAAATATCTTTCGGAGGACAATCGCGAGGCCGCCTTAAAGGACTGGGATGAGGTCAAAAAACTACTGGATGCTTGGGGTGAAGTCAAAGGTGTTGCGGAAATTCGTGAGGCTTGTGAGCAAGTCATGAATAAGGACAGCAATGATGATTGAAGATCATTAGCGTTTGATATGGCTTGACTCATGTTCACCACGTCTCGAAACTGCCACTTTACCCATCACCCTGGCCCACACGCAGGTGTCCGCTCGCCTTACGAATTCGCAATGGGGTCGCCCGCCCAAGCGACGCCGACAAAATCTCCAACAAAGCCCGAGGCCCCGATGTCGACAGAGCATCAATGCGACGAGCTTGATACCTATGCCGGGGTCAAGTCTCCATCGGGCCTTCCGGGACGCTCCACTTTCAAAGTTGTACATATAATAGATACCCAACCAACACACTGCATACGATGATAATCATAACATCATAACATCATGTCGCATTATAATTCCATAGCAAGATATTAAATCCGTCAAACCTTCCCACTCAGCACATCCCTGCTGGAAAACATACTCGCCTTCAATCCATACTCATTCTTCGACGTGATATCCAGATAGGTGAAAGCATCACACTTGTAGTAAATCGGCCGATCCTCCACATCCACCAGTCCCATCGCAACCATCCCCTTCAAAACACGCTTAACATCCTCCTTATCCCCGAAATCCTTCGTGTAGATACAGATCAGCCGCGCCTTATCAGTCAAGTCATTCGTAGCAACCTTAGCCCCATCACCCAACTCCCCTTTATCCAACGCGACAACAACCTTCTTCCACACATTATCAACATCCCGCGCACTGGGGAAAAGCATCCACTTCCCATAAACAACACCCGTCTCCCGCGCCGCGTGAAGAATATCCTGCTCGAGACTGCGACGGAGCGGATTCAATTTCCGCGTCAGTCCGGCCGTCGTCTTTGCGCTGGATTTGTCGTGTTCAGCGCGGAGCTCTGCGCTTTGCGCCTCGAAGGCGCGGAGTAGGTCTGTGCCTTTTCGGAGGAACGAGGGGACGTCCTGGTCTAGTTGGGCTTTGGAGGTCGGGCCGAACATCCAGATCCAAGGGCCGATGTCAGAAAGTAATGTTTTTGAAGGCGAAAGACGTGAGAGGAAGTGAGAGATATGCTCTTTGCGTCCACGTTGGTCCGGGGGTGTTTTTGTGTCTTGTTGGTCGGTTGCGGATTGTGGTTCTTCTTCCGGATTGGAAGATTTGGATGGTGCGCTCAGTTCATTTTGGAGTGTTGAGAGCAGGTTTGAATGAATCCCAGACCAGTAGGGTTCTGGGTCGAAGCTTGCTGCTTGCTGAGACAGCCGTTTCTTTTCATTCTCATCGCCTGGAGTGATGTCAGCGGGGTGTTGGATGTTAACTAGACCGGACTTCTGTGAAGGAACCACTTGCCGTAGAAGCTGGAGTCGTCCGAGAGAATGGGATCTATGTCCATAGGATCCCCATTGGAACACATGCTGCCTGGGTTTAGCAGGTGAGATGTTTTGTTGCGGTTTGTTGTAAAAGGTAAGTTGGCCCGGAGCCGCATGTGGAGTTCCGTAGGCAACTATAACTAAGTTAGTAGTAAGCAGCCTGGGATGCAATGAAGGCTGCTAGTATAAATAACAGATGGTCTGCTTCAAAGTAAACTGATTTCACAAACTTACAGAAGGTAAAAGGAAGACAATATTACCTAGACTATACAGCTTATAGCTGGCGTTTTATTGATATCCCGAAGCGTTCGGCCTGGGAGATGCTTCACTTTAAAGCTGCATGTGACAATGCTCGGATGGCAAAAAAATATGTCCGTTCAAGTCGCATGTCATCGTGAATCTTCTTCCGTATTATTAAGGCCTCATTTTACTAGTATCCTGTTCATCCAGAGGAAATTTATTTGCGAGACTTGTATTGTTATATACTTCAAGTTATCACTCGTTACAATTTCGACTTCAGCCTCGAGAAAAATTCAAATCCTAATATCACACAGATAGAGATGGATCACCATGAAAGCTTTCTAATCTTCATTTGCTGCTGTTTTTATCCGGCCAGACTTGTTGCACAAATTCCACCAGGTCAGATTTGAGGGCTTCTGGTTGCTCAAGCGCAGCGAAATGACCACCCTGACATTGTAAATTAGCTCGTTATTTCCTCTAATTTGGGTGAAACATACCTTCTGGTGCTGACTCCAGTAAACTAGATTACCGGTCGTTTCTACCCATGAGCGAGGGAGTGGTGCAAGCTCCTTGGGGAAAGCAGAATAACCAAATGGTACTTTGATATACCAACGTGGTTCATTCGCAGCCGCGACAGGGGAGGGGGGTAATTCTAGATTAGCGTCAGTTTTTATTCCAAACGCTAGTTTTATAACGACGCACCTGGCGATAATTATAAATGGAACGAGCAATTGTGTCAGTCAGCCAATACAGCGTGATAGATTCGAGAATGTGTTCTGGGGTCAGAGGGTCGTCCACCCATTCCAGGAACTTCTCACCAACCCTAACCCAGTTAGCCAGGTATACAAGTCTTCGTGTCCTGTCTCTCGGATTTTCTTACCATGCTAGCAAGGATATCGGGTTACTTGCGAGAACATGACCAATAGTACTTGGTCGAGTCGCATGCTCCACTGAATAACCACACCCCATGGTTCGAAAATTTTGGAATCTCTCGAGGCCCTGTATCTCGAACGCATTCAACTTTTCGTCCGTCATGCCTTCAGGTCGACCCATGAATGTCACGTTGACTGCTTCGAGTTAATATCGAAAAAGGAAACTCAAATAACAGCCCGTTGACATTACTTACGATGCACAGCTTTTTCCCCATTAAAGTCAGTACCAGACCCAATATAAAACTTGCTCATGTGTCAACTTTGGGACCGCTTACCTTTGCAGCTTTCATAATCAACGGCCAAGGTTCTAGCGATGCGACTTCCAATGTCACCACCTTGGGCAACATATCCACTCTCGAACCCCAGATCCTTCATCAAGTGATCAAACGCGCGGGCAATATCCGATGTGTCGAAGTTCCTATCAAGTGGAGGGCCAGACGAGAATGTAAAGCCGGGAATTGAAGGGACAATCAGATGATATGGCAGAGTGTCTGGCGTATACTCTTGCCGAAAAAGATCTAGGATAGGAAGAAACTCCAAAAAACTTCCTATTTGAGATATCAGTCACGGAACCTGCAACTTAGCAGCATTTTTAATCAGGGAACTCCTACCGGGCCACCCATGAATCAACAAAATGGGAATGGCGTCCTTCTTCCGTGAGAATAGGCCAACAAAGTGAATCGTCAGATCTTCAATTTCAGTTGTCCACTGAGGGAAACTGTTGATTCGATCTTCAGAGGTTTTCCTGTTAATGTCAACATTGGCTCGAATTCATACCCAATATGACAACCATGGTGCAGACGCAGTACCATTTGTAAGACCGCAGCCACTGATCCCGCATGGCTACCAACCAATGAGTGGTAACGCCATATGGAGAATCTACTTGAGAGTTCTCGAATGTAGGAGGAGCCAACTTCGATAGCCTGATCAGGGTTTCGAGCTCGGTGAGCCGACTTTTGTCGACAGCGACCTTGAAAGGCGAAGGAGATACCCGGGCCGTGGCTGGCAAGGTATTGAACAATAGCGACATTTTTGTTTGCGTAGTATGAATATATGCAGCGCACACTAAAATTTAAATAGTGCCCTAACTCACTGGCAAGTTTGAAGCAGGGAATGAAATAGTCTGGTCATCGTCATCTGCTGACCGAGCAACACGGCTAAGCAGGTGCGGGGAAAGATAAAACACATGATTTCACTTTTTTATGCAGATCCTTCTACATTAGTGACATTATGTCGACAAGAAAAGGCAACTTGAACTTTGTTTTGCTGTTGAGTCGACTTTCTGGAATCTCTAGGATGGACAAAGGAAAACCAAGGTATTGCTGAATGTCGCACTGCATCACTTTGTGTGAAACAATCCAGAATGATGTTACAGAAATGATTCATTCTATAATTTCCGAGACTGTGATTGGTGCCTTTAATTTGATATTCATAAATATCGCCCATTGCAACTTGTCTTTCGGGTTTCATCTCAAAACGCAGTGTTGGATGCAATATTAGAAGAGTACCAACATTTGACTCCAGATGACATTGCCCCACTGTGAAATATCAGCCCCCCACCAACATTCGGAGCCGCAGCATCAATTCAACTTCTAGATCCAACGCAATCACAATGTCACATACTGTGCAGCAACCCAAATCTACGAACACAGTGTTTCTGGACCAACCGCCCAGTTGTCTGGAATTCTGTCCGGAAATTCCAAACCACTTCGTTGTGGGCACCTATCTCTTGTCCGAGACAAAGAGCGAAGGCGAAATCCAACAAACCAAAACTGGAAGCGTGCAGCTCTGGAAACTGGATCCTGCCACAAGTGAATTGTAAGCAAGATAGTCTACCAATTTGATTCGTACAGCAACTGACACTTCAGCAGATCCCTGGTGCAACAAGTGCCACTTCCCTACGCCGTCTTTGATCTTCACTTCCACCCAAGGAATCGAAGCCAATTCGCCATTGCAAGTAGCACAGGATGTATCGCCTTGTTTAATGTGAATCCTGACTCGGGTAATGATACATCAAGTCAACCAAATATCGAAAAAATATGGACAAAGCAAGTCCATGATGACCCTTCAGTCCCAGCGCTTTTTCTCGCATGGACTCCGGAGAACTGGTTTTCCAACCCTGCTGCGGATGGATTCGCCGTGACCTTCTCAGATAGCCGGACATCAGTCTTTGGGACCGTTAAGGATATCACTGAAGAAGATGGTCTTGACGAATGGGGCTCGTTCGAAGCGAAGCAGATGATTGAGGTTTGGTTCGTTGCGCTCGCAGCAATGACCCCGTCTTCTGGAGAAAACGAGGGAAAAGAAAACAAGCTTCCTTTCATGTACACGGGTAATGATTTTGGCTCGCTGCATACACGCAGATTCGTCAGTCACGCCGAGAAAGAAGTCGATGAGACGGAACCGCTTGCTCCATTGCTTCTCGAGCACGATGATCGGGCCCGCCATCACACTGCAGGTGTCACTGCCATTATGCCACTACCAGTTCCACTGGTCGACGATGCTCCCATTCTTCTGACTGGAAGCTATGATGAGAGTTTGCGAGTGTATCATGCGACGCGACGAGGGGAGGTTCTCGCGGAGGAAGGCCTGGGCGGTGGTGTTTGGCGACTGCAGCTTCTTAATACAACAATTGTTCCTGGAGTGAAGGGTAGCCAAGAGCAGCAATTCCTAGTTTTAGCAAGTTGCATGCATGCTGGGACAAGGGTTGTGCGGGTAACTCTGAAGCAAGAGGATCAAAGCTCCGAGTGGAGTATTCAGGTACTGGCAGAGTTTACGGAGCATGAGAGCATGAATTATGCTAGCGATGTATGGAGGGGGTCAGAGGTGCCGAGCGAGTCGCAAGCCTCATCTGAAGTGCTTTGCGTCTCCAGCAGTTTCTACGATCGTCGTGTTTGTGTATGGAGGGCCATGGTGTAATATCGGATATACAAGAAGCCAGGTGCGGATACGAAAAGCTACGGGTTTGAACAGGATGATCAATACCAAACTCTAGGCATGAATGTTGTCATGAGCACGCTAGATCAAATCACAATGCAACACCGACAGGTATACAAGTACATCTGCACCCGAGGACCAAGACCAAAACAAATTAATAAACCAGTCATATCAATTGGTAACATGATCGTATTGGATTAAACGATCGTCTCCAGCTCCCGAGCGTATCCTAGTGTGTTTTGAATAACGGTGCCGCTGGCCACCAGGATGTCCTTCTCGGACCTCGTGGCCGCCTCAGGCTCAACAGGGAAGTGTATCCGTCCATCGCGAAGGATCCACCCACGCTGTTGGGCAAACTCAATGACCGCACCCTCGGACTCCAGGAAGAGGAGATTCTTGGCGTTGGAGATGGGAAGGGAGGGATATGCCTTCTCGGAACAATCGGCGATTTCGCTGCGGATAGTACCGATAAGAACCTGGGTAGACAAGTTTTAGTAAATGGTTGGTTTCCCGAAACCGGCCCAGGAGGTGTATGGAATGCCAATAGCCACTTACGTTCGAGAACAGGCCAAAGTCTTCGGACGGCACACGCTCCGACTTGGTCTCACGCCACACCTTATCGTAGCTTCCTTCCATGAGGTTTCGCTCCAGCTCAACGGGGTATTTGATATATGCGTCATCCTCAACTCGGGCATCCTTCAAGCTAGCCTCTTCGACCAGTCCCTCCAGCACGGTATGGAAGTTGGCGCTATCACCCATGCTCAAAAGCAGCAGCAAGTAAAGACCAGTAATCTTGCTACGTTGGCTAGTGCTAAAATCGACATCGGAAGAGTCCTGGCCCGGTAAGCCGGCGTGTCGCTCGAGATCATAGAAGGGCTGCAGTTGCTGGTAATATCTTGTGAAGGTCTGGGCGTCGGTTTGGCGGATTGAGGCGATGGCTCCAAGCTCGAGCACCTGTCGGGCAAGAGCGACAAGCTGAGGAGGTGTGGAAGGAGTAGGGAACAGGGCGTTCTGGGTGAGGAGGGCGCGCTTTGCTCGGCTGAGGAGGTCGTTGGCGGCGTCCAGTTGTTTGCGCTCCAGGGCGTTGTGGAGCTCTGGGACGATGGACTTGAGGTCCGACATGGCGGCGGGATATGTGGGGTTTGCTGGACTCAATGAGATATGAAATGGAAGATCACGAGGATCAAGGGAAGTTGAACGATTGCAAGAACAACGAGGACAATGGAAGCTGCTGGATTGATGATGGAGATGAGTGTTGGCTGGCCAGGCATGACGGAGCTGCCGTGGGCGGTCAGTTCGTATTCACGTGACTTGTTGGATTCGCCAGTTGGCGCGGTCCACTTGACTACGGGGAGGTATTGACAATAAATACTGATACGGGGCTCTTTCGGGTCTCGTAATTGGAATGATATAAACCATTCCTCAAATCATTTCACAGAAGAAATCCACACTATTCATTCAACCTAAGTTACTTCTTGGGAAAAAGATCCATGTGATTTCAGATGAAATTCACGCTTGATGACCTATTCTTATCAGCTTCCAGTCTCGAAAAGAGCCAGCTGAGCCAACTTTGAGAACAAGGGTGTTCCAAGTCCCGTTACAGGATCCCAGCCTATGGTGGCATTCCAGCTTGCGAAGGGTACAGAAACCCCATGTGTGCCGCCATAACAGCCCCGGGAACCTCCATCTACGATGTCCGTGAATCCAGATAACCCCGTACTATAGAGCCAAGGGTTAATAAACCCCATCCGAGGCTTTCCTTGCGCCAAACGAACTGCATTTAACTGGGACACAATGCCGGCGAATACGGGCGCCGATGCACTTTTTGACAATTGAGTTAGCTCATGCCAGAGGTATAAATGAATAGCGGAGAATGATACTAACCTTGTTCCACTAATCCTCATATACATCCCATGATCCCGAATTAAGTACCCACTTGCCTGAGCCGACACATCGGGAATGCCTCTTCCTTGGGGGTTATACAGTCCATTCCATTGATCACCCAATTGACCAATATAGCCCTGCACTACTTGATCTTGATATGCAGGGCGGTGGAATACCTCGGAAAAGCCACCGCCGGAGAAACTTGCTCCTCTCTCTGGCCTATGACTATATGTCCCACCGACAGAGGTGACGAACGGACACGAGGCCGGAAATCCTGGAAGAAATCTCGTTTGATACGACCCATCATTCCGTTGGCAAGAACTTCCGACACCAGAATCTCCACTGCTGAATATGACTGACACGCCCCGGGCCCCAAGCTGCGAATACAAATCACAGATTGCCGTGGCATATGAAACCGGAACAGTCTGCTCTGCCTCGCCGTAAGAAGTGGTTAGCACTGCTGGTAACTCTTCATTGTGCAGATTTATGAGATGATGAAGTTGCTCAAGGTAAGGTTCATTGAACGACTGGCTAGCATTTGGTTGTTCCGTGTCCGGCACCAGCGGTCCTCGACCTCCGGTGGCGTAGAAGGTCGCAAGGGTTTTATATGCCAGCGATATCGAATACTGTATATCCAGGCTCGCCTCGGTGCTACCTGAAGGCGAATCCTCGTCGTTCAAGCCGCCATTGATGCGGACAACACTGAAGTTCGCATCGGACTCCTTCGGTGAGAGCCCATTCATGAAATCATACAAGTCACTATGACGGGCGAATTGTTCAAGAAACCCCGAGATGCCTAGCCGGTTCCGGGGGTCTGGGCTTGCCGAAGTGTTCTTGACATCATACAAATCTCGAAGACACTCAGGTCTAACCACGAAGCCACATTCGGTGGTCAAGTCCTCTGGACTAGCAATCATTGGCTTGTCAGGCCCCGGGGCGCTGTGTTGGTTGATATGTCCGAACCGCGTCGTCGGTTGGATCAATGCAATGTTGGAATGGACAGCCTCGGGTACTGAGTAAATGAGCGTTCGGATGAGAGTGTTCTGATTCGCGACATCGTGGTAATAAAAGTACTGAGCCTTCAGCATACGCTCTGCCTGTGCGAGTGGAACCTGAAATTTGATCCAGCTGCCCTCAACAACAACCACATTAGGAGCCACATCCTCGGACATCAACCACGTAATTACATTTTCCATGGTATCGGTGTCAGGGCGCAGCATCTCCCTCATTTCCTCTCGCGTCATGTGCTGGCCATATTTTGGATGTCCTGGGGTTGAGATGTCGATAACCGCTTGGTGGAATTCCACATTTGACTGGTTTAGGGCAAGACGTAAGTTAATAGTTATATAAGGTGAGGGTCTCTCCCCTCTTTTCCATCCACTGGGTACTCCATTCAGCGACTCCATGACCTGATGGATTTCTCCGATGGCCAAGGCTTGATGAAAAAGCCATATTGTCACTATGAAAAGTTTGAAGGCAAAGAACCTGATGTCCTTCATGGCAGCCCTTTCTGAGAACCCAAAGTGATGCATATGTTCTAGTAGATACTAAAAGTTGTAGTATTGAATACCCGAGAAGAAGAAAATGTACGAGGTTGATATCCTTGTGACGGGCTTGGGAACTCGTCAAAACGAGTCACACAGAAAGGAAAAAGATTGCTCTCATGTTCTGCCCAGGTGTCTGATCAATAATATTGGTGTGACAGGTCTGCAGTGGAGGACAACATCGAGTTACAGATTATTCTGCTTGGTGGACTTCTCTGACATATTTTAAATAGTAGTACCAACTCCAAGAACATGGCTGAGCACTTTTCATCTGGTATCGACCTTGGTCACTATCGGAAGATGGCACCAGTGGGTCCCAGCCATCCTTTTGGATAAACATGGGTGATAACGAACTTGAAGCCACCTCGTATACTAGTCCCAGGTGAGATCATATTCCATCTAGGTACACAGATCCCCGACAGTGGGTCTTTATTGCCAAACAGATGTCTCGATAGGGCACCAGTCAGGAACAGTTGCCCGTGGGCGTACAGGTGCGGGATGGATGCAACTATATCCAACCAATCAAACCACCATGTGCCAGTAAGGATATCAATTTGAATGAAGAACATTTCCTGGCAAGCTGGGAATTAACTTCCATTTAGTCCATAACTCTAAGTTGCCTCGACGGCACAGGCTTATGGTGCTTCTTTGTCTTGGGCGCCGGGTATATCAACCAAAAAACAAAACCAAGCCAACTATTGGCCAACCTAGTGTTTGTTGAAGCCCCCTCCAAGCCATCGAGGTGTCGATCATAGTGGCTTTTGCCTCGCACGATCACTATTCGGAATGGTGGGTAAAATTTACTTAGTACGATACAAGCATGACCAAGCACTCTCCGGCGATTTTCCCCTTGGTTGCTATCTGACCGCATACCAATGTCAAAGAAAACTGAAAACTCGATCTGGAGCGCAGATGTCAGTCGTCAAAGTACATTTTCAGTCCCTTTGAGAGTTAAGTTCCTCTGCCTAATTTTAGCAACATGGACCCCTTTGCATTCGAAAGGGTACTTTCTCTCAAAATCCAAATCCAAAGGTGGGTTGTATCTCCTATGGCAAATTTCCAATGGGCCCATTCGGGGCTTTTCTGCCTTTGGTCCACGGTGGGCAATTAACTCCGGGGCTGGCATCATGATCCGTCTAAAACTTGCTGTACAAGGTTCACCAGTTTGAACCGGGTCCAGTGAGGCCTGGGCTAGTATTCTACTTAAAACTCCTCCTAGTAGTGTGCGTGAGATATATAAAGGCGATATACTATAGAAGCAATTTATGCTAGTAGTATTCAATATACTCAACCTTGAAGGTTGACCACGAAGACTGTCATACTACTAGTAGTAGTACTAGCTACACATGCCCAGGTGGAGAAACTTCAACTTCAAGTTGGGATGTTTGAACAGTCCATGAGTCAGACACCAGGGCATCTAATAATCGGGGTTTTAAGGCCTCTCCAGGCTCCACGCGTTTTTGAAAAGCCTCTTGGCGCTCTCTCTATTCAAGTCGCACACTATGACTAACCTTAGTTTTCAGTATCCCAAGGCTAGTCGTAGTGACCTTGCGTGGTTCATAGATCTCGTTACTCGCATTGATCGGGTTTCCCTCTGACATTGCCCTCTTTCACTGGGTAAAAGCAACACTTGCTTAAGATAATTCCCAGAATGATACACGGTAGTTATATAGTACCGAGACTATTGAAAACCTTATATCTCTTAGATGACATCGTCGAGTGAAACATGATCTAGACTCGCATGAATTGAATTATCGCCATTCTAGCCCTTTCGCGATGTTAAAGCTACGCCACTCCGTAGCAGCTCAAAATAATTCCCCCCCCCCCCGGAATCTCGAATATTTTCTATGTCCCTACTCGTCGCGCCGATAATCTCTAGAATTCAAATCAGCCGATTGAACACGATCAGTATCTCCAGCGCGAGCCAAACTGCTAATCCAGCCATACTGTCTTGGCACGGTCGCCCGCCAAAGTCTAGTTGATGCAGAATAATTGACCACATAATAAAAAGCCATTTAAAACTGCCGTGTTTAATTACGGAATGCATTTTGTTCGAGGTATCTGTTTAGATGGTGGACGGAATTGACCGTTCGCTTGTAGGGGACGATACGGGTGCCGGTGCGATAGCCTTTTCGGTGCATAGTCCAAGTGATCCAACCAGGAAGATGCGGCAAAATATCACGTTTGGTTGACCACCACTGCCAGTTACCGGCTGTCCAAGGAACCGTGACGACCTGGGCAGTATCATGTGGCCAAAGTTTCTATAAGCCTCCCCCATACCCCGGAAATGGAACTGTCTCCACATCAAAACTTGTTGGCCCGATTCAGCCTATAGATACGATCCGCTGGATGCAATCTTGGTGGCAGCTCAAGGATGACTCAACTATGTGAGTAACAGTCAGTTGGATAATAGATTTTATTTAGCTAAGCAATCACCGTATCATGAATTGCCAATACCAGTACATATATTGGGATCTAGATAGACTTTTGGGCTCACTGCCCTCAATAAAGATTCTAGACTAAGTCTGTTGACGTCACTAAACATCGATCCAATCTTCACTCTCAATCGGTGAATTTACTACATGGACCGATCTAGTCAAGGGTCTGGTATCAACCGAGGGTATAACACGAACCTGCTCTAGCACATCGCATGGTACCATGGAAAAAGTACAACCTTTAAACATCAAGACCAGTAAATAGAACCACATTGTCGGTAAATAGCCCCTAAATCTTCCATCATACCTTGTTATGGTCAAAAAACGCCTGGAGATCTCTTGAACTCATGATCTAGATACATCATGGTGTGGTCATTGACTAACCGGCAAATAGGTTCTAGATTGCCGACTAATGACATTTTCTATAACTTAGTATCTCAAAAAACATATTTAAATGCCGACGATTCCTCCGATATTATCATCATCAAACATTCAGACAACACTCTACATCCCATCACAAAGGAACTCTTGTTCTCAAACCCCCACTCAACATGCAGATTAAGACCATTCTTGCCGCACTTGCTGTTGCTGGTGTAGCTTCTGCCTCTCCTGTCGAAGACCTTGAAGTCAGAGGCGATCTTGATGCCAGAAACTCCTACCAGTGTTCTGGGAAGGCTTATTGCTGTGCCACTGCACTCAATTACCCTATCCTCTTTTTCTCGGCAGTTGGTTCGGACTGCATAAGCGCCAGTATGATACCCCGTGCAGATATAAGAAACGCAGTTATTAATTAGTCACTTCAGAGGGGTCGGGACCATCGAATTGGAAATGCGAAGGTGACCAAAAGCGTACCCAGTTCCTTTGCTGTCCCCATGGTCAGGTTGCAGTAAGTTTTACCCATCAATCTGCAAATTGAAAGTAGGAAGGACTCACAATATATAGGACCCAAGGAAGGGTGTTGTTTGCTTGAAGTGATCTGAGCTTCTTGCATCGTGCCATATGACTCTCAAATATAGCCAGACGACCTGGACAGTCTTTACAGAGACGAAATCGCCTCTAGGAAGGGAGAATTATAATCGGAAAACATCTAGCCTATGTGCCATGCTTTGTATCTGTTAATTAATATGTAGTTCTCACAAGTTGAATGTATTGTTCTTCCAAAATAATATCCATGAGCTTTCAACTAATACTGAAACTTCCGACGCTTAGAGTATCGATCTTATAGAAAGTACAATTCGCCTTTCCTTTATAATTCTGTGGCGGTATCTCAATTGAAGAAATTGCTATATCATCTTCATTTTATTTACTTTCCTCTGCACTAGTCAATATTTATTTCATTCAAAAATACTGAAACACGATCCATACAGACAGACTGGGCATAGCTTTGATCAGGAGTTCTTGATCTTCCTTGGCCACTGCCCAGTCATTCTATAGATAAATACTATGAGAAACGAGTTATTGGTGAATGAAAATCTAGAATAAACCAATTTGGCAGCTTTTCATAGTACGAAAGATGACCCAATAACCATAGTACTGGGTCGCCAAACCCCGAGCCGCCGCTGATGAACTTGTGAGCCCAGACAACGGTGCGCCACCACTAGACTGCACCCGACCCTCGCAGCAGGAACTTTAAATACCTGCGCCAAGGAGACGCAAGTGAGGGTTTGCCAGGTATATTGATCGCGAAATCCAAGCAGATTACTCCAAGATAATCGAAGGTTGACTGATAGTGGAACATCTTCCATGATCAGGCAAAGATGATATACCCCCCCGTACTAGTACAAGATCGACAACTTCAAGTTGAATACTAGTCCGAGTCTCTTGTACTAGTAGATAAAGAAGTGTCAAACGTGCCTAGTACCTACTACTAGGTATAAGACATTATCATCTAGTAGCAAAGACAAAGCTTTTAGTGAATAGTACTACCAATGGAGCTCCCGTTAACTTTCCAAGGTTTATGGCTGGGAAACTCCCATCTGGATAAGTGGAAATGGATGCCGGCGGCGGAATCTTATCGGCAAATAGGTTTCCAAACAGACTGTACAATAATTACTCTTGGCATTTTGCATTCATTCGTGGGAATGTTCCGGTAGATAAATCTATCGGTCATAACCTTGTACGCATGGCCGGAAATACTTGGCTTGATGGTGGCGTCGAAAAAAGAAGCGAGAGAGCGATCGAGCTATACTTGTACCATGGTCCATGGGATGGTTCGCGTGGACGGGCCCGGGGCTACCCCACATGGTATACTATATCAGCCCGGAGCCAAAAATCGACCAGTGAAAACCTAGTGGTAGCTAGTGATACTTTTTAGCAGGAATAAATTAGTAGATTATCCAGTCTAATCTCAATTTTCCAAGTCTGTTAATCAGATATGTTAAGCCAGGTATAGTCACTTTTTAGTACCTAGTACTAGCCATCAACTTTTTTGATAGGGCATCTAGGTACTACTAGCAGTATAAATCCAAATGGTCAAACTCATGATGAGAGTTTAAATAGTAGTAAAATAACTTCATTTGTCCTAAACATCTAATACAAATAAGATCAGATCCTGGAGAACTCAGACCGAAAGTGTGGTTGGTGCCTTGTGGCCTGACGAGAGATCAGCTGATCAGGTGATCATCCGAGGCCAATGCGGGATGATCGACGTCACCGCAAAGACAGCTTGTTGAATTGTTCAATACTGTTGCCGCTTAGTTTCCCCACTGCTGTGCACTATTTGTTCAAACCTCTCAGACTGCAGGACTTTATTCATCCCGCTGTTGGAATTGCGCAGCAGTTCTATCGGGGCACTCGGTGTTTTGGCTCGTTTTGACTCGACCCCGCGTGTGTCTGTGTGGGGATTCTGTGCATTGACAGCTCTTGGCTGAAGCACATCTTATATCGGCGTCGTATTGCGTCTCAGTGTTGCCTCTCGGTCCCTGTTTGCTCGTCGCTTTGCAATTCCTCGCGACTTTTATATCATTGCGGGGTGGCATGATCCCTTGATCGGACCGACGTCATTGCTATTCCATCCCCCGCGTGAATAGCTTACCAAGTTCCGATTTCTTGCAAGCCACCATCTTATCATCCCCACCCTTTCACTGCATTTCCCTCTTTTCCTCCACGATGGCCGAGCCAGAATTGCAACACGTTCGCCGATTATCGGCCGATAACCAGACCGTCTCCAAATCCGATATTCCCTTGAAGGAACGCTTCTTCCGCTACTTCCAACATGAAATTACCGGTATGGGCCCATGATATGTTTCGAGGGAAAGCGTTCCGATGCACCACTGGGATTTCAAACACAGGATACTTATATTCTTCACATAGCCCTCCAGGAGCAGATGGACCGGCTCGCCGACACATCGCTTGTCGCTGGCGAGCGTGCCGACGCAACCGATCATTGCCTTGCCGGAATCGTGCGGCTGTCCAACGAAGTCAAGGATGCAGCAAGCTACATCCCTACTTATGACCAAAGAGTATACGCAGAGGTACGTAGAGTAAAGAATATCAAAGATAGCCGCGGAAATCCAGCTAACCTCTTCAAGGCCATTAAAGCTTTACAGGACAAATTAAATGAGACACGTGCAGCATTTGAACCTCGCTCGAAGTTCAGCTTTAGGACGAAGAAGAATCCTTCCGCGATCTCGCTCTCCGATGCCGCAACTCTGGCTGCTGAGGGCCGTCGCAGTGTCCCAGGCTATCATTCTCCGGGTGCCTCTTCCATAGGCTCCTCTGCCAATCAAACTCCGAATTACCCATCAACACCCCTCAATGAACCAGACAAGCAGCAACAGGAGCGGCCAGAGGTTGCGCCAACTTCCTTTCCGGGTATATCACCGACGGAAATCCTGGCGAAATCCCAGCTCGCAGCCTCCGCCCCGTCATTTGCAGCCAGCGGTATATCATCTGTCTCTGTCGACAACCACTACAAACTTCACATCATGCTCCCATCTTCGGGCTCAACGTCTACCGTTCCTGCATCAATCACATCTCTACGGCATTGTGTCGTTGATATGTCGATCCCTACCGCAAACGGGAAACCTTATGCCAGCCTAACAATCAAAAATATAAAGGAGAGCTTGCTGATTTGCGGCCAAGTGAATGGTCCGGCACATATCACCGGGGTAGAGCACAGTGTGATTGTTGTTTCATGCCGCCAGTTCCGCATGCACAATTGCACCGACGTTGACGTCTACCTCAGCTGCTCGAGCAATCCTATCATCGAGGATTGCTCCAACATTCGTTTCGGCCGCATACCAAAAGCCTATGTGAGCCTAATACCCCATTCTTTCCCTTTAAATCCCCGCTCTAATACCCTTATTCAGGCCCTGAATCATGACCGTCCAGATCATCAGGATCGTTGGCATGAGATTGAGGATTTCAAATGGATTAAACCTGAGCCCAGTCCCAACTGGAGTCTCTTGGATCCTGCTGATGCCGTTCCGGAGGAAGTCTGGGCTGAGATCGTTCCTGGCGGGCCGGGATGGTCGCTTGACGATATCTTACATGCTATCAAACTGGTGAAGCCATGAGTGAACATTGAATCCAATGTGCAGCCAGCTGGAACATGTATACTCCTTTTCAAAATCTTATTCCGATCGATCTTTCACTTCTTTTGACCTGTCATTACTCATAATATCCACCCGTGATGCGCTAAGCAATCTGTACCATCTTTATGTCTTATTGAATTTGAAGGGATAGGAGGTGCGTCCCAATATCACTCTTTGAAACCAGGTGCAAGAAATCTCAACTCTCTCCTGCTCTCTCGTTGCAAGCGTTCACGAAAAAGTAGCCGATGTTATGATTTCAACTTCTTTGGCTACTTACTAGGAGGCTACGTGAAAAATAAAAAGTCCACCTAATTCATTTATCAAAGAAGCTCGCATCTATGTCCCTTTCTAAACTAAATCTTCAAGTGAAAAGCGAGGATCTGGGTATCCAAATCAAAGCCAGACTCATCGCTATACCGGAACTTTCCAAAGTTCATATGTCCTGCAACCAGAAGGTTAGTAAAAGTCCCCATTAGACCTTGCGACCTGGATCAGAGTTTTAGTGGTGCACACTTACCATCTTGAGTAATAAAGTCATTATCACTCATACTGAAGAGAATATACTCATCTCCGCCGTCTTTATGGGGGTTAGCAGGAACAACCGCTAAGCTCTCCCATTTCTCATTAAGCAAGAACCGATCCTGCGCGCCGCCATTATGCAGTCCGAATTTAGCAAGTTCGCTCTCAACATTGAAGTCCAGGAATGAACAATATTGCGCAGGAGTGATATCCGAATCAATAACCCCCCTTAGAAGAAGCAACCGCCCCCTTCGCAGAATCATAGTCCTTCTTCCCCTTCACATCAGACGCACCGCCCTTGATAGAGAAAACATCCGCATGCCTATATAAAGACTGCGACTCCGTCTGACCATGCCCGCGTCCCGAGTCGCGCGCCAGGACTAAGAAATCGCCGCTGGGCAATTGATGGATCTCCGACTGCGCCGCAACAACAGGCTTGGACTTCGCCGGATCGTCAAACTTGGGCAAGATGACAACCCACTCGTGGATATATTTAGGCTTGGAGGTCGAGATATCATACGCGATCAAGCGGGCAGTTGCGCGAGATGATTTACTCGGGCCACCCTCCTGATCCAGCGCGCTCTGGATAAGGGTGTAGAGCGTCTTTCCGTCGGCGGAAATAGTCAATCCCTCGAAGCCTTGGTTGTTTGCACGGCCGGACTCGGTATCTTCCGGTACGGGGATCTCATTCGCGTTATATAGTGGCGGGGTGTTGGAATTGAAGCTGATAGAGCCGTTGCGGCGAGGCAGGAATGCTTGTGGTGGTTGGATCGCATGCTCCATGCGTCCTGAGGCGCTGAACTTGTACACGTACGGGCCATACTCGTCTGAAACCCAGAATCCGCCCTTCGGGTCGAGGGCCAGGCCTTCGGCGTCGACGGAGATGCGTCGGCCACCCTTGCCGGGGCCTCCGAAGCCGTTGCCTGTGTATGTTGCGACGGGGAGAGGGGGGGAAGCCTGGGTATGAGGCGTGGCCGGTGATATCGGCGTCTAGGCCCGTAGTTGGTTCGCCGTCTGGGCCTGTGAGGAGGATTGTATCCTCGTACTTGAGGCGGATGTTGGGGGTTGAGGGATTTGAGGCGGAAGCTTCGGGGGCTAGTTTGAGGGAGATGCCGAATTTTTGGATGCGGCTTTGGAAGTTCAGTGTACCGTTGGTGTTCCTGTTGTTTCTTGTAAGTATTTGTTCTTCCTTTCAGATTGCTTTATTTCCCTCAGTCACTACTACTTACCAGCCTCGGTCCGGGATTGTGTAGAGAGTCCCCGCATATCCGTCTTTACCTAGCTTGCGCCAGGACGACTGGTCGATGGCGATGGAGCTTCCGATACCTCCAATTGTGTCGCCGTGTTTATCGGTGGCATTTGAAGGAATGAAGCCATAGCCAGCTAGTCCGGTATACTGGTAAGTGGTATCACCACAGGTTGTCTGATTGACGACAGCGGCCAATGCGCCAGCTGCGAGAAATGGAACTGCTAGCGTCAATTTCATCATGAATGATAATTCTCAATGACTGCTGAGAGTGGAAGGGTCGCCATGGCTTTTTTAAGTCTAGCGATGTATGTGTGTCGCCATGCATGGCAGGGGGTTGCACACGCGCATGCTGAGGTGTGTGGCGAGGGCCAAGTCGCATAGTATAAACGTGCAAGGGGGAAAGATCATCATTCGCTGATCGCTATTTATCGCCAAGTGCTTCGGTTATCAATCTTACGGGTGTCAATCTCCATCATGGCGTTTCAGGTGGGCTGTTCCTGTCAATCCCTGCCGCTCCGGGCGTGGATAGCCTCCGCCATTTTCGCGCGGGGTTGCGGTAGCCTCGCATTTGATTGGGATGGGGCAATGAATAGCCGATCCTGAGGACTTTTTAAGGAACTGAGATCTTGCCAAGCTACCTTCCATGATTTGGGAAACTCAAAAGACTTGAAATAATATTATACTGTGTTGTCATTTTGCTAATCAACCATTCCCAGTAGTATCGCCATCCACCTGGGCATGGGATCATGTTTTAGGGCTTCCAAGTGGTCGGCAGCGAAGTATACTTCTGGGCATCTAAACCAAGATCGCGATAGACGGTTTCATTACCTGTAGGCCATTCAAGTTTTCATGTTAGAATTAACGTAAAATCAATAGACATCTAGAATGCTTACCCTGCAGCGCTTCTACCCGCTGTTCATTTTCCCGCTCCAACCGCTCCAACTCCTGCCCTGGTTCCTCCTCGTGGGGCTGTTTAGCCCCTTCTTCGGCTGTCGCGGCCTTACCCAGGGTATCTTGTGCCTCGCCAATCATCAAAAACTGGGCATTGGGATAATCGATAAACTCTGGTTCCAGCGGTATCCATCGGAGGTCGCCGAACTTGTCTCGCACGCTGATGTCAAATTAGCGTTTAGAATATCATCCGGTATATGAAACCTTAGACCAGATGTAGTAGAACTTACGAGGTAGGATAATCCGGCTCCTTGGGCAACTGGGCGAATGGGGGACCAGGGAACTTGGGGTTCTTAGACTGTACGATCCAACTACCCCGTCGATGGAGTCCAAAAGAATCCTGGATATCGCCCGGTTCGGAAGGGATGGTCAACACATATGCCAGGTGGGTGGCTCGCTTCGTCGAAGTAAGTGCATACACCCCCTCGGCGTACGGCCGAGCCTCTTCTATAGTCCGCTCACCGCGGGTGGCAGTCTGGTATGTCGAAGAGGCGATGAAGTTCTCCTGTAGATCTTTCATTGTCTGCCCTGCTTTTTCCACGAATCCCATATCTCGTTCTTTGGGTGAAGTGGGGAGCTTCTTCTTCGGGAGCATGAGCAGGCGACACCGGGCATCTTTGTCGAGTGGTCCTTGGCCTTCGTCGAGCTCGGCGCCCAATGGAGTAGGGCGAAGCACGAAGAAACTTCGAGCAACGTCATTGACACTATGAGGGTCGTCGACATTGACGCGTGGGCGGAAGAAAAAGTAGATGATGCCTTTTTCGAGGATGTTGGATGAAACAACAGCTTCTCTTTCCTCGGTTTTGTGTACGCCGAGCTCAATACCTTCTTCGGGCTTTGAATGAGCAGAAGGAGGAAGATTATATTGCGGCTTCTTCGTCTCTTCCTCTTCTTTCGGCTGAACATCTGGTATTCCATCCACATTTGCACCAGTAATTGTACCTAGCTTCGGCTCGGCTGTCGCATCGGATTTCGATTCCGGCTTTATATCGTGTTTCGGCTGCTTCTTCGACTCTGTGGATTTTTCTTGCGGAGCCTTGCGCTTTGATGCTAGAGGGCGAGCTTTTCCGGGCGTTTCGGTAGAGGCTGTGATTGCATCTTTGGCCTTCTGGGCGGCATGACGTGTAGATGTTCGTGTTGCCATGATGATTTTCAGATTGAATACAAATATTGGCTAATGTCGCATCGATTATATCAGGGTTGACTGAATTCAATTCTTCAGTAGTCCATTTTCCAGGTGAGCAAAAGAGAAAAGTGTCCAGGTGCCCAGGTGTACCGTCAAATACTCAGCGTTTACTGATATAAGTATGACGTCATGTATCCCAACCAGAGGTTGATCGACTCGACACCCCAGAGCATCTGAATAATATCGCATGTATGCGTGTTTTGACCAGAATCCGATGCATATAGTTGAATCAATCCAGGAGGTTGACATGGTTGGACCGGGTGTAGCCTCGAGTTCCGAATTAGTTGAACCGAGTGTCGGTGTTCTGGGCCATTGTTGTACCGATAGTATATTGGGGGTTGAGCCTTTGAAGTATAGATTCATCAAATAGATAGAAATCACCATATTGAATGATTCAATCAATGTCCATTTCATCTGTCAAGGCAGACTCATCTGCTGTTCCATTACTAGCATCCGTAGGCGGCTGATCGGAGCTCGAACTGTCGCTGGCCTGGGTCTCACGAAACTCGTCTAGAGAGGTTGGGCAAGCTTTCTCCGAGTTTCTGGCTAGTCTGCTGCGTCTTCTTCGTTTATAGCTCAATCCAGGCACTAATATTGGACGCTCATCCTCATCCAGTCGGTGCTTGTTTTGCGATTGGGTGGACGACATAGCAGGGCTTGGGATAGTGGCCGTCCCGGCTGGTTGGGCAACCTTTCGTTTTTGACCTCTCCGTGGGGAGAAAAATACTCTTGGACGACAAGTATCTCTGCTGGGTTCAGATTCCAGTTGATGAACTGAATTTTTCAGCTCTCGCTGCCACCGTTCAAAGTAATCCGGCAGCCTTGGCAGTCCTGGTCTTTGATGGACTGGTCTCGGCTCGTCGTCGTCGGGTTCTTCGATTGCATACGGCTGGAGAATCAAGGGACTTGTAATTTCTGTGTTTTGGTCCATTTTTTCCTCATGTACTGGCGTTGATGGACCCGAGTCATTTAGACTATGCCCACTGCCATCTGTTGGAAGATGGTCGCCGTCATAGATTGTAGTTGTGAATTGGCAAAGTTCTGGGTGCAGATCAGGGATATTTAAAGAATCCTCTTCAACCGTCGGAAAGCAATCAGTCATACTAGTAATAATATGGGATCTAGTATATCCAATGGTGTGGTGTATAAGACGTGGTAGTAGTGGCGGTTATAGGTATCGCCTTTGCCATGCTCCTTAAGGGTCTGAGTATCACGTCACCAGTTCCGCGAAATGAAAAAGTATGGTTCCCGATATCCCATGTTAGAGGGGGAGGTAGCATATTAAAGGATGGTGTGGGCATATGAGAAAAAACAAATTCCAATTGGTAAATCAAGGGAAATGCGGCGAAGGGAACCTCTTCATTCCAGACGTTTCCAGCGGGGAGCGTCCCCCAGTTGGCTCCGGGCCCAATAAAGCTTCCCCCAGCACCTTTGCACCCCCACAATAGCAACACCAGTTCCCCATCTGCAAGGGAATCATTGAATAAACCACTCAATAAAAATCAAAGAATCAAAACAAACTACTCAGATCATGAATTTCTCCGGATAGTAATAGTTCAATAGATCATCCCACTGAACCACCCAGATAGACCTGCTTCCTCACCGCCCCTCAATCCCGGGCTTTTGATTGGACCAAGTCACCCGCTCACACAACAGTAAACTAAACGTGGACTCAACTTGCTCCTCCGCAACACTTCCAAGCAAAGGCATCCACGACTCACCACTTCCTCTCCTTCGACCCTCGGGTGGATGCCGTGGTTGTCTCCGTTGTGATATTCCCTTTTTAATCGCGTGCGGAGCTTGCTACTGTGCAGTGCGGCTCCGGCCAACTTGTCAACATGCAGTCCTCTCCAAACATGCTCACCAAGGTACGCCCCTCGATCTCCCCCCATCCTCTCCATCGCGCGCTCCTTGGCCCTGTTGTATGGAATTGATCAATTGGAGTTACTAACCTTCCATTCGTCCACAGTTTGAGTCCAAATCCTCTCGAGCCAAGGGCATCGCATTCCACCCAAACCGGTCAGTTCATCCCGCGGGGACACGCTACATCTCGAGATCTCCGGGAACACGATATCTAACCCTCAACCAGGCCATGGATTCTCGTCTCCCTTCACTCCTCCACCATTCAACTGTGGGACTACCGCATGGGAACCCTCATTGACCGATTCGAGGAACATGACGGCCCCGTTCGAGGCATCGATTTCCACCCAACCCAACCCCTGTTTGTGTCCGGCGGTGACGACTACAAGATCAAGGTCTGGAACTACCAGACCCGGAGGTGTCTGTTCACATTGAACGGTCATTTGGATTATGTGCGCACAGTGTTCTTCCACCCAGAGCTGCCATGGATTCTGTCCGCCTCCGATGACCAGGTATGTTTTTGAGCCTCACCCCCGCCGGTGTCTACGATTCTCGTATTAACCCTCCTGTCCAATGAATAGACTATTAGAATCTGGAACTGGCAGAACCGCTCCTTGAGTAAGAACTGCCTCCTTAATACTAATGCCCCCTTTATGGCATGGCTAACATCACGGTTCCTGCTTAGTTTGCACCATGACCGGCCACAACCACTACGTTATGTGTGCTCAGTTCCACCCTACTGAAGATCTCATTGCATCCGCCTCCTTAGACCAGTCCGTTCGTATTTGGGATATCTCCGGTCTGCGCAAGAAGCACTCGGCCCCGACCTCGGTTTCCTTCGAAGACCAAATGGCTCGCGCCAACCCCAACCAAGCTGATATGTTCGGAAACACCGACGCCATTGTGAAGTTTGTGCTGGAGGGACATGACCGTGGTGTCAACTGGGTTTCATTCCACCCCACACTGCCGCTGATTGTGTCGGCTGGTGACGACCGATTGATCAAGCTGTGGCGCATGAGTGGTGGGTTTAATACCCCAAAAGATCGGACCCAGGAGTTTTTCGTGTTAGCTGACCCATTGATATAGATACCAAGGCATGGGAAGTCGACACCTGCCGTGGCCACTTCCAGAATGCCTCCGCCTGTCTGTTCCACCCTCACCAAGACCTCATCCTCTCCGTCGGCGAAGACAAGACCATCCGCGTATGGGATCTTAACAAGCGCACTTCCGTCCAATCCTTCAAGCGTGACCTCGATCGATTCTGGGTTATCGCTGCCCACCCCAAAATGAACCTGTTTGCCGCGGGCCATGATACCGGCGTGATGGTGTTTAAGCTGGAGCGCGAGCGTCCCGCCTCCGCTGTCTACCAGAACCAGCTCTTCTACATCACAAAGGAGAAGCACGTCAAGTCTTATGACTTCGCCAAGAATGTCGAGTCTCCTCCAATGCTGTCCCTACGCAAACTCGGCTCTCCTTGGGTACCACCGCGCACTATCTCCTACAACCCCGCTGAGCGTGCCATTCTCGTCACCTCGCCCTCTGACGGCGGCACATACGAGTTGATCAACCTTCCTCGGGATGCCACCGGAGCTGTCGAGCCCACCGATGTCAAGCGCGGCCAGGCTACATCCGCCGTCTTCGTCGCTCGCAACCGTTTTGCTGTCTTCAACCCCGCGAGCCAACAAGTCGACATCAAGGACCTGAGCAACTCCACCACCAAGACCATCAAGCCCCCGGCCGGCACCACAGACATCTACTTCGGTGGTACTGGTTGTCTCTTGTTCATCACTCCCACTACCGTGGCTTTGTTTGATATTCAGCAGAAGAAGCAGCTGGCTGAGGTTACTGTCAGCGGTGTCAAATATGTCGTTTGGTCCAACGACGGTCTCTACTGTGCCCTTCTTAGCAAGCACAATGTCACGATTGTGACCAAGACTCTGGAACAGGTCAGCACCCTGCACGAAACCATCCGTATCAAGAGTGCCACCTGGGATGATTCAGGTGTCCTCATCTACTCCACCTTGAACCACGTCAAGTACTCCCTTCTCAACGGGTAAGTCATATATCCCATCTAAGAATATCTTCTGAAGGTACCCACTAACCCTTAGCTAGCGATAATGGAATCATTCGCACTCTTGATCAGACTGTTTACCTTGTCCGTGTCAAGGGACGCAACGTCTACTGCCTTGACCGAAATGCCCAACCTCGGACCCTCGAAATTGACCCCACCGAGTACCGCTTCAAGCTGTCTCTCGTCAAGCGAAACTACGATGAGATGCTCCAGATCATTAAGACTTCAAGCCTGGTCGGTCAGAGTATCATTTCGTATCTGCAGAAGAAGGGATATCCCGAGATTGCCCTGCAGTTCGTTCAGGACCCACAGACTCGTTTCGACCTTGCCCTTGAGTGTGGTAACCTTGAGGTTGCTATTGACATGGCTCGTGAGCTGGATCGCCCCCACTACTGGAGCCGACTCAGCGCCGAAGCTCTCTCCCACGGTAACCACCAGACTGTCGAGATGACTTATCAGAAGCAACGGAATTTCGACAAGCTGTCCTTCCTCTACCTGACCACCGGTGACCAGGAGAAGCTTTCTCGTATGGCTAAGATCGCTGAGCACCGTGGTGACTTCACCTCCCGTTTCCAAAACTCCATCTACCGTGGAGATGTCGAGGACCGCATTCAGATGTTCAAGGAGGTTGACCAATACCCTCTGGCCTACCTGGCCGCCAAGGCTAACGGCTTGACCGAGGAAGCTGAGTCCATCCTTGAGGCCTGTGGTCTCACTGAGGACCAGATCACGCTACCTTCGCTCGAGAGCTCTCTTCAGGTCCCTCGTCCCATAGTCCCCACCTTCAAGTCCAACTGGCCCGTCAAGGCCGCTGGCCACTCCTCCTTTGAGAAGGCGCTGCTCGGTGAAGTCGGCGCTGCCGACGAAGAAGCTGGTGTCGATGCCTTCGAGGCCGAGGAGGAGGATGAGGAGGCCGTTCTGGCCAAGGATACCCTAGATGATGATGAGGAAGATGCATCTGGATGGGACATGGGTGATGACATTAATGTGGAGGAGGAGGTCGACTTCGTCAATGTTGAGAGCACCGAGGCTGGTGCGGGCAGTTCCGAGGCTGACATCTGGGCTCGTAACTCCCCTCTGGCCGCTGACCACGTCGCTGCTGGCTCTTTCGAGACCGCGATGCAACTCCTGAACCGACAGGTTGGTGCTGTGCAATTTGCTCCCCTGAAGGATCGTTTCCTCGAAATCTTCAAGGCTTCCAAGACCTATCTTCCTGCGAGTGTCGGTCTGCCACCTCTGGTCAACTACGTGCGCCGAACTACTGAGGAGACCGATATTCGCAAGGTCCTTCCCTTCATTCCCCGAGATCTGGAGACCATTGCAAGTGTTGACCTCCAAGAGGGCTATGCCGCGATGCGCTCCAACAAGCTGGAGGATGGTGTGAAGACCTTCAAGCGCATCCTCCACAATGTTCTCGTCAACACTGTCTCATCCGAGGCTGAGGTTGAAGAGGCCAAGAAGATCATTTCCACCGCTCGCGAATACGTTCTGGCCATGTCCATCGAGCTTGAGCGCCGAAAACTCTCCACAGACACCCCTGAGGGTCTCAAGCGCAGCTTGGAGCTGTCGGCATACTTCACCATTCCCAAGCTGGAGGTCGCTCACCGACAGCTGGCGCTTATGGCCGCGATGAAGCTTGCTTTTGCCAACAAGAACTACAACTCTGCTCTGGGCTTCGCCAGCCGGATGCTGGCCAACGGAGGATCGGCCAAGCTTCTGGAACAGGTAAGATCACCCATTGATAATGACTACAACGATGTGCAGATAAAAACTAACACTTTCCATTTAGGCCCGCAAGATCAAGGCTCAATGCGAGCGCAACCCCTCGGACCAGATCGAAGTCGACTTCGACCCCTTCGCCGAGTTCGATATCTGTGCCGCATCTTACACTCCTATCTTCAGCGGCTCTCCTTTCGTGACGGACCCCTTCACCGGCGCCAAGTACCACGAACAGTACAAGGGCAGTGTCGACCGGATAGCGGATGTCACAGAGATTGGCGCTCCGGCCAGTGGTCTGCGTTTGTTCGTGCCCAGCCAATATTGACCAGCAGTATGACGAAATCTGACGGCTCTTTTTCCTCTCTCCTTTTCCTCGACCTGAAGTTTTATAACCAAAAAAGAAGCAAGTTGGGGCATTGTCTTATCTCTTCTCTTTTTTTGGCCGCTTGGCTTTGCTGCGCGAGGAGAAGATGTGTGTTGTTTTGTTGGCGTCATTTCACTTTTCTGGGGGGGAATTCCACAAAATCTCTCCTATCACTGAACCCTGTCTAGATGTCTTTTCTGTACCCGAGATTATAATTGTTTAGCGGTCTTAACTTGTATGCGAAATCTGTTCACACTTTTATCCTTGCCATGGATCTAGAATAGAACTACTAGAGAACTTTCTTGGTAGCCCCGTTTATTCCGTAGGTGTGGGGAATGCATAGTCTACAGCTAGAAGTACAGAAATCAAGTATCAACACCCAGAATGCTGGAAACAACAACGAAAGTAAAGTACAAGAAGTGGAGATGTTCGGTAGGAAGGGAGAAGGAAGAAAGGCAAGAAGAAAGGCAAAAGTAGAGTAGAGAAAAAAGCCCGAGATCTCAAATGTCAACCATACCATACCATACTGCACCACACCACACTATCAGAGATAGCAGAGCAGCGCGGCACAGATATAGATATAGTAAACGGAGAAAAACAAACTCAATCACACCTCCCATCCTTCCACCCAGACCTCCACCTCTCCTCCCAAAACCGACAATCAAACTCCGGCTTCCCCAACTTCCGATTAACCTCATTATGCGCCTCACACATCCACCATCCAAACTCCTTCCGCCCGCCAAGCTTGGGCTTGTTATTCCCACTCGGGTGCGCCATCCAGCCCTGGAAATCATCCGCGCATACCCAGCACGGATACAGTCGGGAGAAAAGTTTCAAGAACCCGCCCATATCCTCTTGCTGCTTTGTGTCTGCTTTCTCTGGGTATGTTGCTGCCATTGAGTGGAGAAGGGTCCAGGTTGAGCGGCCCAGTGCTTCGACATCCGGAGGGCAGTCGGAGGGTATTGAGCTTGCAGGTGAAGTTGCGGGGGCTGCGAGGGGGGCTGTGGAGGTTGTGTTTGTGCTTGTGCTTGTGCTTGATGGTGTGGTTGCGGAGGGGTCGGATTTGGCTTGTTTTGTTAGGGCGCGCCAGGAGGACATTGATGTACATGTTCGGCAACTGGAATCGTTGTGTTAAATATTAGCTAGTTGTTCAATGCGCAGTTGTGGTATAACTGGGTAAGGTATTGAGGTTGCGACGTACGGCTTGCCATCCTTGTCCAGGACTACGCCTTTTGGTAGTTGGGCATTTCCAGTCGCACTGTTGTCTTTCGAGTCATTAGAGCCGCTGGCGGTTTGGGCGAAGAAATTCGGCTTGCCTCCAAATTTCGCCGTGATCTGCTCGGGTGGTACTTCGGCCATTGTCGTTGATGTTGGGAGGTTTTGTTTGGGGAAGAGTGCGGCTTTGCGGCGAACTCGGAAGTTTCCTGGTTGGTCTTCTAGTGTGACTAAGCACTCCAGTGAGGTAAATACGCATTTGTAAGCTAAACCTCTGGTACACAGACTTCTAGTAGTATACTACTTCTAATTATTGATCTTCAGTCATATCATGGCGTGCTTATTGTGGAGGAAAATCGAGGCAACTTACTGTCTACAGCATGCAGTGTTGGAAAAAATGGCTGACGTAAGCATATTTGACGCAAATCCGATGACGTTTTTGTTGCGATGCAATCATTAGATTAGCACTGTACAGTTGGTGGTGAGTATGTGCTAGTAGTGGTAGTTTTAGCTGTCACCTCCCCAATTCAAGTTTGAGGTTGAACTCGGTATATCATGATCCGTTGAGCATCTGGCTTGAGTAAGTACCTAGGTAATACCACTACTACTACCTGTTAGGTATATACTTCAAATTCGCGCTACCTTTATCGATTCCAAGGTTACCGGATAATTTGGAAGTTTAGCCGCCCCCTACCTAGGTAGGTAGTACTAAGTAGCAGTATTTACTGCATTCAACATTCAATTGATATTCACTAACTACAGAGCTATATAAATTAGTATATTCGACTATGATCTCTGCCACCTCCATGGATACCTATACTTCAAGTTCCTTCTATGTAGTATTCCAGATGCGGTGGAGTGGTCGATCCCCCGGTTAGCTTTGTCAGCCCTGCACGTCAACCTTCTCCATCACGACGCGTGTTTGGAAACTTAACACTACTAGTACGAGTCGGAATTGATTCATCTACCTGCCCCAAATACTCGATATTTAAGCGATACGCGCCAAACCATCTTTCATCGCGCCCGATCCTCTTTTTACACGCAACATCGCGCGTTGTTGCCAAAGTCCATTAACCGCAACCTCGATATACCAATATAATCATGGCACCTAAATATGCGCTTTCGGACTCGGAGTCCGAGCCCGAAGCTGATACACCCAATGTGCCCTCCGACGCAACATTGGAACAAGCGCTGCGCGACGAGGTTACCTGCCGTTGGGAATCTGGCAGACAGGAGGAAATCACCGTGAAGCGAGTGCGATTGGCCGTTGAGGAGGAGCTGAAGCTCGAGGGAGGATTTTTTAGGACAACAGGCGATTGGAAAGCAAAGAGTGAAGAGATTATCAGAGACCAAGTGGTGAGACTTTTACAATTATCTTCTGGGTTATATCATTTGGATTGTGACGATGAACTAATTTGCGGGATGGCGACACAGCACCAACAAGAAGAAGCAGGAGAAGACGAAGCACCCGAACCAGCGAAACCCGAATCACCTCCTCGGCTTAAAAAGTCCGCACCCAAGCGGCCCAAATCCGATACTGCACCGCAGCCGCGCAAGCGCCAAAAGACAGAAACTCCCGCTTCGGAGGAAGACGAGGGAGACGAGGAACCTGTGCTATCAGGGGATAATAGTGAGGAAGATGTCCCTGAACCTAAGAAGCGCACCACGGCACCGGTAAAGAAAACCAAGGCCAAACCGGCCAAGGAAGCTTCCCCCGAAGCATCAGATCCACCTGACGAAGAACTCAAGTCTACGGAAACCAACGAGGAAGTTACCAAGGATGATTCAGGGAGTGAAATGTCCGTTGTCTTTGACGAAGAGCCAAAGCCAGCACCCAAGCGCCAAAAGACGACCGGGGCACCAAAGGAGAAGAAAAAGGCAGCCCCCAAGGCGAAGGATGACGATGCGGACCCGGACCAAGCAGAGATCAAGCGGCTTCAGGGTTGGCTAGTCAAGTGTGGGATTCGTAAAATGTGGTGGCGTGAATTGCAGCCATATGAGACCCCCCAAGGCGAAGATAAAGCATCTGAAAGGGATGTTGGAGGATGCCGGGATGAAGGGCCGATATTCCTTGGATAAGGCTCGGCAGATCCGGGATGAGCGCGAGCTTAAGGCAGATCTGGAGCAGATTCAACAAGGAGCGAAAGACTGGGGTAAAACCAGTGGGGATGAAGGAGAGGGTGGCGAGGGTGAAGTTCCTCAACGCCGGGCAGCTCGAGGTCGACAGGCGCTGGCATTTTTGGAAAGCGATGGCGAGGAAACCGATTGATGACGAGGTGTTGCCGGAGTTGGATGGTTCAGTCTCATTTAGCATTCCATCCTGCCCTGTATCATTTGTATTAATATCCGATAATAACAACACTTATTGTATGATATCCTGTGATGCAGTGTATGTAGTTTGTCATTTATCGGGCGGCTTTGGGTCCGCTCATGCGTTGAGCAGCCAGGCTGAAGACGGCGACGGATGAAATAAAAAGGACGAGATTATAAAACTGTGATGTGCGTTAGAACTTGCTGAAAGACCGTTTATAAACCATAGAATCAAGGAGATGAGATCATACCGCGGTGCGGGAGTACTCGTTCTCCTCGACCTCCGTTCTAGCCTCGACGAAGAGACGTCGTAGATTAGGGAGATTGGCCTTTAGATATGTTAGAGACGGATCAACCAGCAAAAGAACCAGAGCTCACCATTGAAATACAAGATATTCTCGCTGGTTGCTGTTGACGGAAGGTCGTGGGGGTGAAAGGAGGTCGCCGAGCGGGAAGTTCCTCCCCGTCATTTGTGGACAACTTTTGATCGCCCAAACACCCTTTCTCTCTTCTCTCTTCCCCCCATCGCCCTCCGCTATCTCCTCCGCTCCCAGTCTCTCTCTTTTTTCCTTCCGTTCAATGTTCCTGTCAATAGAGGGTGCTACACTTTGAATCCGTCTCCTATCACCACCTCCGAGCCTCACCTCGCGCGACCGTGAGAGCTCTCGATCCCCCGCAGTCGCCCGTCCTCCTCGACCCTTTCCACTCCCCCCCCCGATTGTCATTGGTGGAGGCACGACCTGGTCGTTGCTGAAGCTTATTCCTTCTCGCTATGGCGATGAACAAGATCCGCGGCGCCTTTGCGGTGCCCCGGAAAGGAGAGACCTTTGAATTGCGAGCTGGGCTCGTGTATGTATCCCCCCCTCCGTGGACAGGTGGCCGTTGGGCCTCTATCTAGCGAACAGAAAGACTGACTGGATTTACAGATCCCAATATGCCTACGAACGGTATGTCGGATCGCCCAATGTCGCACAGGCATTGATAGTATATGAAACGGCGTGGCGTGGCTGACAGATTAATAGGAAGGAATCTATCCAGAAGACGATCATGGCCATGACCCTGGGCAAAGATGTCTCGGCTCTGTTCCCCGATGTGTTGAAGAATATTGCTACCGGTGATCTGGAACAGAAGAAACTGGTTTACCTGTACCTTATGTGGGTATCCTACGACGCAGAGAGAGAACAACGAGAGAGAAAGGAGACACATGTGCTGACCATTGGGATCTTCCATCTAGGAATTACGCCAAATCGCATCCGGACCTTTGCATTCTCGCCGTCAACACCTTCGTACAAGACTCGGAAGACCCCAACCCTCTGATTCGAGCCCTGGCCATTCGCACGATGGGTTGTATTCGGGTGGAAAAGATGGTGGACTATATGGAGGAACCGCTGCGCAAGACCCTTCGCGATGAATCACCATACGTCCGCAAGACCGCCGCAATCTGCGTTGCCAAATTGTTCGATCTCAACCCCGAGATGTGCCTCGAGAACGGCTTTTTGGAGATGCTCCAGGAGATGATCGGCGACCCGAACCCCATGGTGGTGGCCAACTCTGTTACTGCGCTCTCAGAGATTGTTCATACCGCACCCGAGACCAAGGCTTTGCAAGTGACCCCCACCACACTGCGGAAGATGCTTATGGCATTGAACGAATGTACGGAATGGGGACGCGTGACCATTCTCTGCACACTGGCCGAATACCGAACCGCCGATGTCAAGGAATCGGAGCACATTTGCGAACGAGTTGCGCCTCAGTTCCAACACGCCAACCCCAGTGTGGTTCTTGCGGCAGTCAAGTGCGTGTTTTTGCATATGAAGTATGTCGGCCCGGAGCTGGCAAAGACCTACCTTAAGAAGATGGCTCCACCCCTGGTGACGCTGGTATCCTCCGCCCCCGAAGTGCAGTATGTCGCTTTGCGAAATATCGACCTCTTACTGCAGAAGCAGCCCGATATCCTGAACAAGGAGTTGCGGGTTTTCTTCTGCAAGTATAACGACCCTCCCTATGTTAAATTCCAGAAGCTCGAGATCATGGTGCGGATAGCAAATGACCGCAATGTCGACCAGCTTTTGGCCGAATTGAAGGAATATGCTCTGGAGGTTGATATGGACTTTGTGCGCCGTGCCGTAAGAGCGATTGGCCAGGTGGCTATCAAGATTGAAAGCGCCAGCGAGAAATGCGTCAACACCCTCTTGGATTTGATCAACACCAAGGTGAATTATGTTGTCCAGGAGGCTATCGTCGTTATCAAAGATATCTTCCGGAAGTACCCTGGTTATGAAGGAATCATCCCTACTCTATGCCAGTGTATCGATGAGCTGGATGAGCCGAACGCCAGAGCTGCATTGATTTGGATTGTCGGCGAATACGCTGAAAAGATTAGCAACGCGGGTGACATTCTCGGTGGGTTCGTGGATGGATTTAATGAGGAATTTTCTCAGGTATGTATCTTTTCTACCCACAAGGCCAAGCCACTGAAACTGATATGTACTAGACCCAATTGCAAATCCTTACTGCGGTCGTCAAACTCTTCCTGAAGAGACCCGATAAGGCCCAGGGTCTGGTCCAACGAGTTCTTCAAGCGGCTACTGCTGAGAATGATAACCCGGACGTTCGCGACCGAGCCTACATTTACTGGCGTCTGCTGTCGAACACTAGCGATCAGAACGCCACCAAAAGCATTGTCCTATCCGATAAGCCCCCCCATCGTTACCACCATTTCTTCACTCCCGCCAGCTCTATTGGAGCGACTTCTCCAAGAGCTGTCCACTCTATCCTCCGTATACCACAAGCCTCCAGAGCAATTCGTCGGACAAGGCCGATTCGGCGCTGACGCTGTTCAGCGAGCTGCCATCGCGTATGTTTCCATCGTTCCATCTGACGTCTACCCAATTACTAATTCCACCATAGGGAGCAAATCGAGAACGCCCGTGAAAACCCCTTGGCCGCCGCAGCTGCCGCGGCGGCTGTCAGCGGCAGCACCCCCCCCTGCGCAGACGCAAAACAACGTCGAGAACCTGCTGGACATCGATTTCGACGGTGGTGCCCCTGCGTCCGCGCAAAAGGAACCCACTGGAAATATGTCCGGCCTTGAGGGATTGGCCGGTACCCCAGTCCGCGTGCAGTCTCCCGCAGTTGGCGCCCCTGCACCTCAAGGGAACAACAACCTGGATGATCTTCTTGGCGTATTTGGCGACTCTGGTGCCGCGCAGCCATCATCAAGCACTGCCAATGGCGGTGGCGGTTCTGCTGATCTCATGAACGGTTTCTCTGGTCTTGATTTGTCTGGCAATTCCTCGCCAGCACCACCAGCTGGTGACCAGTCCAAGAAATCCACCCAAGACATCATGGACCTGTTCTAGAGGTGTTGTGGTGCGAAAGCGAGGGTGGTTGGTTACTTTTTATATCCAAGTGTTTCTCAAGCGAGGATCTGAACAGAACGAGATAGGGTCGTTTCCTTTCTATTTGTTTACCTTTACATGTTTAATTTTTTTTATCTTGCTATGCATGTGCTGGACTTCTAAAAAGGGCTTGTATGTACATCTTCTACCTTGTTGAAAATCGTCCATGACAATAAATTAGCGGTTGCAATATAGTTTGATTTGGTGTTAGTAGGGTCCAAGTTGGGGGAGTCGTTCGACTTGAGATGCAATTATGGTACCCTAGGGTAGTTGCAGCCGCAAGGTTCCGACTAACTTTTTAATCGGTCAAATCGGGATTGAGAGATAGGTATCGTTGGTATATTAGAGTATCCCTGCATGCAGATGATCGTGCATCGCTAGCGGGAGATTGTCATGTCATCAAAAATTGCTAGCGTGAAGATTGCCATGTCATCAAGTCGGAGTTAAGAGGACATTGCGGCTTCAAATAATTTTCACCCGGAGTGTCCACCCTAAATTGACGCCTGAAGGAGGTGATTGAGTCGGATAGTGGTGAATCAATTCTGAATCTCATTCTATAGAGTAAGCAAGGGGAAAAGAAGCGGGTTTTATTCCCCCAAGGTAGGTAGAGTGCGGAGGAGAGTAGTGAAAATTACAATCTGACCAATGAATTAAGCTTCGCGCCTCTTGGCTCTAATTGCCCCAAAACTGCACTATCTCCGGGGACAGAAAAAACGATCATTTCCGTCGGAAACCGCACCTTGCCATTGCTGACCAATTCACTTGTCTCCCGACCGAGTTTTCCATCGGTCTCTGAGAGTGGGGAGGGAAACCAGGGCCCGCAATTTTTGTGATAAATGGGGCTCTCGCCCCGGGAACTGAGGACCGATTTTGAACAGATCAATCAGTATTCAAGAAAAAAAAAAACAACTTGAACAATGACGCAAACAGACTACAAGTTCGAGGGCTGGATGGGCCTGGATTCCAGCTCCAGCGAGGGAAACATGAAGTGGCAGGAGTTTACCCCCAAGGAGTGGGAGGAGACTGATGTCGATATCAAGATCACCCACTGCGGTATCTGTGGTTCCGATATTCATACCCTTCGCAGCGGCTGGGTGAGTCCATCTATCCTACACTAGTATCTACGAGGTAGTAGCAGTATTAGCTTTCATATATCTCCAACTAACATGTATACAGAGACCTACCACGTACCCCTGCTGCGTCGGCCACGAGATCGTCGGCACTGCAGTGCGTGTCGGCTCTGAGGTCAAGGGTATTGCACTTGGAGACCGCGTCGGCGTCGGTGCCCAGAGTGACTCGTGCCAGGGCCGCCAGGGCGACTGTGAAGAGTGCGCCATGGGCTCAGAGCAATACTGCTCGAAGAAGTTCACTGGTACCTACAACAGCACTCACCACAATGGCGACAAGTCTTATGGCGGTTATGCTCTATACAACCGCGTGCCAGCCCACTTTGCCATCAGAATCCCCGATGAGATTTCCTCAGCCGAGGCCGCGCCCATGCTGTGTGGTGGTGTTACTCTGTACAGTCCCCTGAAGCACAATGGTTGCGGACCCGGCAAGAAGGTCGGTATCATTGGCGTTGGTGGACTGGGTCACTTTGGCGTGCTCTTTGCCAAGGCTATGGGGGCTGATAAGGTTGTTGCCATCTCTCGTCGCTTGAATAAGAGCGAGGATTCGTTGAAGATGGGTGCCGATCTTTACATTGCGACTGAGGATGAGCCTGACTGGGCTACCAAGCATGCTCGTTCTTTGGATTTGATTGTTTCCACAGTGTCTTCTACTAAGGTGAGTACCCTGTATTTCTTCTTTTTAGAAAAAATGACTGAATTTGAGGCTAATTCTGAATCTTAGATGCCCTTTACTGAGTACCTGGGTCTGCTCCGCACTGGCGGCAGTCTGGTTCAGGTCGGTCTTCCTGATGATGGCGTCTTGGCTGCTCCCATTCGTCCTTTGATGCGCCGCTTGAAGGTTGAGAGCTCCCTGGTTGGCAGCCCCGATGAGATCCGCGAGATGCTCCAGCTGGTCGCTGAGAAGGGTGTTCACCCCTGGATCGAAGAGATCCCTATGAAGGATGCCAACCGCGCGATTGTCGAGATGGAGGCTGGCAAGGCCCGTTACCGCTATGTGTTGGCGAACGAGTAAAGTGGATGATGTTATGAAGTATAGATGGAATGATAGACGATAGACGACAGACGATAGAATAAATGAATCAGATATAAATATCCATATGAATATACTTGGTATATAAATGTAGTTCCAATGGGAAGGCTCGAATCGCCACGGGTCTCCGTTTTCGGCCGCGCTAGACCTGATTGGGTCGCCCCTCCAAAGTCCCCGCGGACTCGCGATGATTCACATTTGCCCGCCTCTTCTCTTCCGATCTTTGCTTTCTTCTACATTCTCGTTGGTTTCGAGTCAATTGACCGATTCTCTGTCTCTCACACCATGTCGCCAACACTCTCACAGAAATACCTCAGCACTCGTGGTGCTGAGTCCGGAGTACGTTTGCGCCCTGAAAAATAAGTGGGGTGTTTCAATGCGCAGCAACAGATTCGCTGATCCAATTCTTATCTTACAGAAATCCTTCGAGGATGTTGTTATGAAGGGTCTTGCCAGTGATGGCGGTCTCTTCATTCCCGAGGAGATCCCCTCTCTGCCCGAGAACTGGGAGAGCTGGGCCGATGCCAGCTTCGAGGACCTCGCCTTCAATATCATGTCCCTCTTCGTCTCGCCCGATGAGGTTCCCTCCGCCGCTCTCAAGGATATCATTAAGCGTTCCTACTCTACATTCGATCACCCCGAGCGCACTCCCCTGGTCGAACTCGACCCCGAGCAAAACCTCTTCCTGCTTGAACTTTGGCACGGACCTACCCGGGCATTCAAAGAGTATGTCTTTCCAATGCCCGATGTTACATGGACTTGTTTTAACTAACATCAAAAAAGTGTCGCTCTTCAATTCCTCGGAAACCTGTTCGAATACTTCCTGAAGCGTGAGAATGAGGGCAAGGTTGGCAAGGACCGCCACCACCTTACTGTCGTTGGTGCGACTTCCGGCGACACTGGCTCAGCAGCCATTTACGGCCTCCGCAATAAGAAGGACACCAGTGTCTTCATCCTTTTCCCCAACGGAAAGGTGTCTCCCATCCAAGAGAAGCAGATGACCACCGTCCTCGACCCTAACGTGCACAACTTGACCGTGGAGGGATCCTTCGATGACTGCCAGGACATCGTCAAGGCCCTGTTCGCCGACCCGGATATCAACTCTACCCACAGCCTCGGAGCCGTCAACAGCATTAACTGGGCCCGTATCCTCGCTCAGATCACCTACTACTTCTACTCTTACTTTTCTCTGAAGAAGAAGGCCACCAGCTTCAACAAGGACAAGAAGGTCCACGTTGTGGTGCCCTCTGGCAACTTCGGTGACATCCTTGCCGGATATTTCGCCAAGAGCATCGGCCTCCCTATCGAGAAGCTCACCATCGCCACCAACGAGAACGACATCTTGGATCGCTTCTTCCGCAGCGGTGGCCACTATACTAAGAAGGCCCTGGGCGCATCCGACGAGGGCGTCAAGGAGACTCACAGCCCTGCGATGGATATCCTAGTGTCAAGCAACTTCGAGCGTCTGCTTTGGTTCTTGGCTTTCCAGACCGACAGCGCGAGCACCGCGGAGGAGCGTCGCCAACACGCCTGTGAGAGCGTCACCACCTGGTTGAACCAGCTCAAGTCCCAAGGCGGATTCCAGGTTCCCGCCGCTGTGCTTGAGGCTGCCAAGGTCGACTTTGAAAGCCACCGTGTCAGCAACGAGGACACCATCTCCACCATCCGCAGCGTTTACAAGACCTGCTTCCCCAAGAACGGACCCAGCAGTGCTAAGAGCACCAAGACCGGTGGATACATCCTCGACCCCCACTCTGCCGTCGGTATTGCTGCCTCCAAGCGGTCTATTGAGCAGTACCCCGGTGCCTACCACATCTCCTTGTCCACCGCTCACCCCGCCAAGTTCGCTGGCTCGGTTGACCTGGCGTTGCGCTCCGAGGACGGTTACGTCTTCCAGGAGATTCTGCCCAAGGAGTTTATCGGCCTTGAGCAGCGCGAGAGCCGCGTCACCCCGGTCCCTGCCGGCGCTGGCTGGGAGGGTGTCCGTGAAATCGTGAAGGCTGAGGTTGAACAAGAGCTGCAGGGCCAACGGTAAATCGTTGATGATTCTGTTGATTATGCATAGACCCCTCCTGTTTGATTTTACTTTTCATTTCCATCTTCATGTTACTGGCACTTTATCAAAAGTTGTTTGATGAGAAAATGGTACAATGCTTGCATTTATGTTATATAGATCTTTCTACAATCGAATGAAAGAGACGTCCCCCCTGTGCGGATGGCATTTGACCATTTTGGAACCTATCTATCTCTCATCTGGTAGAAAGATGACTTTGAAGAATGGCGGGGAAACCCTTAACTCGGGCCTTACTTTGCACCACAATAGGATAATTGTGGCGCCGAGTCGATTACAAAATGATTCATGACCCCACTCCACTGATGCTTACCTATCAGCACTAGATATTGAAATTCTCTTAATGAAGATGTGTGGCCCCATCGAGGCGTCCCATGCCAAACCGAAGAGAGAAAGAGACCCAATAAATTGGATTGACAACCCTCGCCCTTTCTTACATACCCCGGATTTCCTCCGAGTCTTCACCCTCCAACAACCAAGCAACTACTAGTACTACTGATACTTAATTCAACCATGGCAGCGGAAACAGCCACCCTCCCAAACCAACTCGACAACTATGAAAGGCTTACCCCCGAACAAGCAGGCCATCTCCGCCATATCCACAACCTCAGCATCGCACCAGACGGCGAATGGCCACACATGGGCACGCAAGAACCCATGCAATAATTTCTCGACGCATACCGGTACCAACTAGCAACAATGGTCTACGCAGCCGGCGCAACGCACTACCACCGCCTCCCCGCCATGCGAAGTCTCTTCAAACCGCTTCTCCGGTCCCTGATCCGAAAAATGCTCCGCCGTGAGGTCTGGGCATACTGGTACCCGACCTCTCAGTCCGGGAGCAGGGTCGATCCGGATATCAAGGAGCTGCGGAAGCCGTGGGCGGGCCCGATTGTGCGGGAGAATATCATATACAGCGGGCATCTTTTGTTGATGACGAGTCTTTTTGAGATGCTGTTTGATGATGGGGAGTTCGTTGTGAAGGGGAGTCTGGGGCATAGTTGGGATCCGTTTTTTTGGGGGGTTTGGGGCTGAGAGGTTCGAGTATGATAATCGGAGTTTGCAGGTGGCTATTGTGGATGAGATGGAGAGGAATGGGTGGGTTGGGGTTTATTGTGAGCCTAATCATGTTTTTGTTGTTTGTAATCAGTTTCCGATGAGTTTGGGGTTTCGTGGATATCTTTTATGGATTTGGACTGCTGCTGACTAGGGAGGGGCTCTTCTCCGACTGATTAGTTGATTGCGATGAGATATAATGATGTTCGAGACTAGACGACGGTTGCCGATGACGTCCTGGAACGATATACGGCTGCACTAGAGAAGAAGGGCATGATCTCGAACACGGAGTTGTTCAAGGATTGGCTTGTTCTCAAGCAGGACCAGACACTTCCCGCTCGGAGCTGTGGATTTAATGCGTGGTGCGTGTGTTCCAGTTTCGGTGCTACTTTGCCGTGGCATGTCATTGTGTATGCCAAGTACTTATGTACTTACCCATCGATTCCAGGGCCGGGGCATTCATGAAGACCTGGAACTCCGATTTCGTGAAATCAGGCTACCAGGCTCATTCCAAGGGCTTTATTACCAACAAGGACGGAAGATTTGAACTTCAGCATCCGATGGTTGCGGGCGTCCTTCGTACTAACGAGAAAGAGGAAACTATCACATCCGAACCACTTCAAGCTGCCAAGGAATACTACCTGGCAAATCAAGACTCGATTTCATTCCCTTATCAACAGCCGACATTTGGATTTGTGGTCAAATGGCTTTCCGAACTAGGAAAGACCACTGAATTAGATGGGCTTCTCAAGTATGCCGATGAACATTTCCAGCCGACGTGGGGACGTGGAGGGCTGTATTATCCTCGCAATGATTTGGCGATGGATGAGCAAGAAAACTGGACGCATATGGATCCTTTCTCGGGTAGTGCTGCCATTGAGTATGCTAGATTGAATGTTCTAGACGGACAAAAGAAGATGTGGGAGCGAAACTAGACGGAAGATGATGTTGCGAAGATACCATGGGTGGACTCTCGATCTATCTTCGGGTGTTGATTGTTTGAGAGGAACCTGGGATGAAGATGCCCGATCGTTGATCATTACTCTTCGGGAGTGGTCTGGTAAGGGTACTCGTGTACAGTTCACAGTGAAGAACCTCTCTGGAGGTGGTTGGTCACTCTATGAAAGACGCGGGGAGAAGTCTATTAGCAAGCAAGTGGTTGTGGTTGTGAATGAGGGCAAGGTGGATGTGGATGTGAGATTCGAGGCATATGAAGAAGTTGATTTTGTCATTGTCAAGGAAGAAGCATAGTTATTAGTTTGAAGTATAGTATATGTGCTTCTTACAAGGTCAACAGTGAAGTATGTACGTAGTACAGATGTAAATGTCGATCTTAACCCAAGAGGGACACCGCCTAGCCCGTCGCTAAGCTTTAGTGCGGGTGTATGACTCACCGCCCTTCCCCCGGTTGGTATAAATACTTCCGCTCTCCCACCTCCTTCCTCTTCTTTTTTTCTTTTCCAGCTCTCTTTGCCAATTGGCTTAGATCAAGTGTAGTATCTGTTCTTTTCAGTTTAATCTCTGAAAGTTCTCTCCGGAGAACATCTTATGATTATTCTCATTTTTGGATCTCGCGGCTTGGTCTCTGTGCTTGCGCATGCCTCGCCGCACCGTGTCATCGGGCTCACACTATCCCCGATCGACGCGAACTCCCCTTTTCATCAATCGAGTCGGCTTGCCTGACCGCTTGGAGAAGATCGGGTTGTTCTGTCTCGTACCCTTTGTCTTTGCGCATTCTGTCCGTCATGTGATGCGACCAAATGAGACAAATCATTGCCTTGAACTCCCTTCACATACACAACCCCTTGACTTCAGCAATTGGAACGCCAATGTCCACCGGCAGGGAGATCCGTGCCTGAATAACTCAAGGCAGCGGGAGTCCTTTCTTTCAAGGTCGAATTTGTCTGCTGTCGTTCGTTATTGAACACAGATCAGTCAATTAAAGCTATGATATGCTAGGCTCTGCGCAACTCAAGGAATTATTGATCACCCCTTCAAAGCGAAAGAAACTTGAATACAACCTCCCCTTTCTCCAGGGCTCCTTTTGCTAAACCTCAATCTCCGAACATGTGGTCCGGGTTCATTCTCCTTATCGGCCACTTCTGATGACAACCTCTTCAGAGGTTGGTCTGCCTTAGGCGTAAAGCATCTCCGCATGCCGCCTATAGTGACAATCAGTTGTAATAGTGCTACTGCTAGTATTACATAGTAGGCCAACCTGCTGAGATTGCCCGGATTTGTCTATCATAATCTCAGAAGTATATGAAGTTGCGCATTTATTTTGTAACCTAGAGGTGGTAGAAGTATGAGCTTGAAGATTCAAAAAACAAGATTTTAGTATTATTATTATGTATTATCTAAATCAAGAAGAAACAAACAAAATCTCGGAATGACCAAGCAACTCTTTCTCCGCCCCTGCAGGGAGAGATCAAGCGGGCCTTAGCTTGACATAAAAGTCAACCGAGTAAGAACGACATCCCGAATTTTCAGATCCTCAGATCTCCACCACAAAGACCGAGCGAGAAATCGTGAAAGATCCGGGGCTTTCGAGGTACAGGTTCGAGATGTTGAAGCTGCACTCAAGCCTAGGTAGGGCTCGTTTACAGAAGAGCCATCAGGCCGACGACACCGGCCAGGAGGCCAGCAACGGGCTTGGTGTTGGAAGCAGCACCCTGGAAGGGAACGGAGCTGGTGGCAGGGGTCTGCTCAGCGGGGGTAGAGGGCTGGGCCTCAGGAGTCTCAGGCTGAGCGGGGGAGGCAGCAGGAGTCTCAGGCTGAGCGGGGGAGGCAGCAGGAGTCTCGGGCTGAGCAGGAGAAGCAGCAGGAGTCTCGGGCTGAGCGGGGGAGGCAGCAGCAGGCTGAGAGGGGACAGCAGCAGGCTTGGAGGGCACAGCAGGGGCGGTGCTCTGAGCAGGGACCACCGGGATAACAGGGATAGACTGAGCAGGGGAGCTGGGAATGACCTTGTTGATGATGGTGGGGATGCTCTCACACTCGGTGCAGACAACAGTGCTGGTCTGAGTGATGGTGCTAGTCTGGGTGACAGGGACAGTAAGGGTGGTGGATCCAGAGGTGACAACCGAGGAGGTGACTAAATGGAGAGTTAGAGACATATCTAAAGTGGATGGCTACGTGGTTATCAGGACATACCAGGGCAAGAAGTGGTCACAACAGTGATGGTCTTGGTGGTGGGCTTGACAGGAGTGGTGTGGTGGGTGGTGACCGGGGTGGTGGTCGACTTGGTGCTGGTGGTGCACGGGGTGGTGCTGTGGTGGGTGGTGACCGGGGTGGTGGTCGACTTGGTGCTGGTGGTGCAAGGAGTGGTGCTGTGGTGGGTGGTGGTGGTGGTAGTCGGGGTGTGAGTGGTGGTGGTCGAGGTGGTCGTGGTGGTGCACGGGGTCGACACCGAGTGGTGCCCATCAACGGGACGGACAAATTCCTCACCGCGAGCCTGCATCACACCGGCAAAGGCCGGGCTGGCAGCAAGGGCCACAAGAGCAATGGAGGGAATCATTTCGAGAAATTGAAGGTTTTTCCTTGAAAACTTGCTTGAAAAAGATGGTAACGAATGAAGATGAGGTGGAAGGGATAAGAGAGAAATGTTGAGGATGAGGCAGGACCTGGGACCTTTTATGCTGTTTTTGAAAAGAGATTATCTCCATGTCAAGTCATGATTGATCCAACTTCCATGTTTTCGCATAGGAGAGCAAAGATTGTCCTGACCCACACCCTGCTGTCTTTGGCTGAAAGCAGGAACAGTGACAGTGAAACCATGGCTGTCAGAGGCACCGATAGACGGCTATAGGGTGATAATAGTGGGCGATGATACGTCTCTATGGTGGATTGAGATGCAAACGTGACATCTTGCAGTATCATTTTTGCCAGTAGTCCATTGAGGATCCACCAGGCCTCCCAATGCGGAAGTAAATTGAGCAGAAGAGCTGTGATCGGCGATGGGAGATCTGCAAAGTCAGTCTTCATGTCAAACTGGTTAGCAATGGTCCGATCTTTGCTCAATCATTCAAGATTGACGAGAAGGTTGGTTGTATAGATCCGAACAGGTTGTTCATTTGGTAGATGACTGGAGGCATATATCAGCGACAAGAAGCGTTCAAATGAAAACATGGGCTATCCATCTAGCTAGGGTGACTAGATGACGAATGCGGAAGCGTACAAAAGCCTCAATTCGGTATCAACCGTCAGTGGATTAGTGTCAACGGGAGATGATTAGCGAGCTCCAATCAAACTCCGAGTATGCATTGTCTCTTTGCGAGTTGGAGGATACAGGAAGTGCCAACCACGCCCATGCCGTTCAAGGGAAGACAGAGCGTGGTGGGCTAATCGGAGGGTTTCCTCGAGCGTCCAGGAATGTAGACCAAGGCCTTGAGAGATGGAGTCCTCTTCTCATTGGCAATTCCTGCTGGTTGGAATGTGGAGCGGAGACCTGGCCGCCGAAGAAGATCCCGTATAGGAAGCGATATTTTTTGCAGGTGAGACATGGCATAGAAAATTGGCAGCGTTGCTAAGAGTTGTACCGTTCTCAATCCATGACGAGACGATAGCGACCCGACTGACCGGATTGGACCTTGATCCCCACGTCCCACTGCTGAAGCGTGGAGAGATTCCTAAACAAGCCGATGAAAATTCTACCTTTGACTCAGCTTTTACCAAAACGAGCTGGTTTGTAAATGGAAGTGATCCTTGCCATTGAGTGACATTGGGTCGAAGTCTTGTTGTCATTCAGGGCAGCTCCAGGTGCTGGCAGGCACCCTGACAAGATGGCTGCAAACGGCAAGGGGAAGATGAAAGAGAGAAAAAAAACCTCCTGATCCAGAGGGTGCTGAGTCACGGCCAAGTTTCCCTTCAGCCCTGCAAGTTCTAGACATGCAGCGAGTCATGAGTAGATGGCATGTAGTCGAGTTCACCTTGAGGCAGGAGAAACGTGTCGTCCGTTTGCGGGCATATAGTTCGTAGGCACGTGACGTAGGGCTTAGGGCAGGACGCGTCTCGACGCGTCCGACGCGCCTTCCAATTTGGGCAGCCCGTGACCCTTCCAACGCATCATCGCATCTTCAACTTAAAGACTTGACTACACTGCCCGCCATGCCGCACCCAGTGTCACCTGCTGGATCGCCTCGAAAGGATGATGAGGAACTTCCGGATGCCCCCGTGGAGGGGACCACCGAGAATGGCGTCAAGGTGGAAGATCTTTTCAATGACGATTCGGACGAGGAGTTTCCAGCTTCCACCGCGCAAGACGTGAAGATGGAGTCATCCCCAGCCCCTGCGCCTGAACCTGCACCAGCTCCGTCTGGTGTCGACTCGGATGTCATGCTCGCCTTCTACCAGCGACTCTTTCCCTTCCGATACCTGTTTCAATGGCTCAACCATGGCATTGTACCAAACCGAGACTTTGGAAACCGAGAGTTCGCCTTAACTCTCCAGAATGATGCCTACCTCCGATACCAGTCCTATCCTACCGCTGATCTGTGAGTTCTCCTGCACTGGGCGCATACCTGCAATGCGAGCATTGAGTCTGATTGAATGGATTGCAGATTCCGAAAGGACATTCTCAAAATGAACCCCTCTCGATTCGAAATTGGTCCCGTGTACAGCACCAACCCCCGCGATCGCAAAACCATTCGAGGAGGCCAGATGAAACCAGTTTCCAAAGAGCTCGTTTTTGATATCGACATGACCGATTACGACGATATTCGAACATGTTGTCAAAAGGCCGCGATTTGCGGCAAATGTTGGGCGTTTGTTACAATGGCAATCAAGGTTATCGATGCCGCCTTGCGTGACGATTTTGGATTCGAGCATATTCTCTGGGTTTACTCCGGTCGTCGTGGTGCCCACGCTTGGGTTTGCGATCCACGGGCCCGCAACTTGCCGGATGACAGACGCCGAGCGATCGCTGGTTATCTCGAGGTTTTGCGGGGAGGCTCGCAGAGCGGCAAACGAGCGAACCTCAAGAGGCCGCTGCATCCTCACATTACGCGCAGCCTCGACATTTTGAAAAATCATTTTGCGCAGACGACACTCGTCGACCAGGATACTTTCGCAAGCTCGGAACAGGCAGATCGACTTTTGGGATTGCTGCCTGATAAGTCATTAAATGATGCTCTGCGAAGGAAATGGGATTCGTCTCCAGATCGTCCTAGTGTCAGCAAATGGGCCGATATAGATTCCCTGGCCAAGACTGGAAAGAGCAGCACATTGAACACTGCCACCCTTCGCGACGCAAAACAAGACATTGTTTTGGAATACACTTACCCGCGCCTTGATGCCGAAGTCAGTAAGAAGATGATTCACTTGTTGAAGAGTCCCTTCGTCATTCACCCTGGCACGGGCCGAATTTGTGTTCCAATCGACCCTCGGAAGGCTGAGGAGTTTGATCCTCTTTCTGTGCCGACTGTTATGGAGCTTCTGGCGGAGATTGACGAATACGATGCCAATCACCCCGCTGGTACTACAGAAGCAGATATGCCCGATGCAGACGGCAGCACAGTAAACGGCTCAGACATCAAGGGCACTGGCCGTAAATTGCAGGACTACGAAAAGACTAGTCTCAAGCCATATGTTGAATTCTTCCGTTCATTTATTGCTGGCCTCCTCAAGGAGGAACGGGTGGTCAAGCGCGAACGTGAGGACACCAAAACGGCAGTGAAGGCTGATCCGATGGATTTCTGAGCCATTTGGCATTTTACGATCTTACGCTCTGTGATTATCATCCGATAGGAGTTGCGCATATTTCCCCGGCTGTTCGGTAAGCCCTTCAGGCGTTTTTCTGGTGTCTTTACAACGAATTTAGTCTCATTATATATATTATACTATTCCTTTTCACTTGTTGAAAGCCCTGTATTTTCATTCATACTCATCTTCATCAGAACTCTCGCCATGTTCTACTTTTTCATTCAATGAGGGGGTACTGCATCGCTCTCGATCGGCCCAATTCTTGCAAACGGAGCCTTTGGAGATTAATCTGCCATTTACTGTGCTTCTCCGGAGAACTACCCTTCGAGAGGTCGCGGTTTGTTGTCCAAGCCGTCGGCTAGCAAAGGGGCTCGTGAATAATAATTTGAATACCGGCTGCAGGTGCTCATTTTCGACTAGCGCATTCAGTGTCTCAAATATGCAACAAAGCTCATCGAGCCATTGGTCTGCTTCATACAGGGACACCCCGTCGACGATGCAAAACACACTCGTGTCTAGTTGAAGTTGCTCAATGAGTTTGCAGAATATGTCGCAAAGATGTGGAAGAGATTGTGCTTCCAGCGACTCGCGATAAGTCCGCGAATCGATGAAATCGATATCGAACTGCTTTCCACTGTATAACAATTGGCTGATTATACTTCGCATGAGCCCCTTGGGTCCGCTCATACTGTCGTGGGTAGTTGTATGCTGACCACAGAAAAAGTGAAGCACTATGTGCTTCTTGCTTTTCATCAAACCGAGGACCAAGACTGCACAAAATACAGACATGGCTGAAATACGACCCGGGCCTGGGGTATATGCGTTTCCATCAACAAGAAGCAAGTCCGGCCGATGTGAGGCAAGCCAACGTTGGAATTCAGGTGTTTTTGTTAGACTTTGGGCCTGCATTTGGGCTTTCGAATCAAAAGTATGCCCCTGTCGAGCCACATATTCGAGATCTTGTGTTGGTCTCATATAAAAGATCTGCAATGCTTCTAACAGTTGGGGCAGTTGCAACATTCGATATTTGGGGGAATTAGGTCTCTGTTTTGCGGTCTTCTGCAGCTCGTATGCTAATCATGTCCATGGGTGTCAGTTCGGAATTGAAAGCCAACCTTGAAAGAGGCTCATATAAATTGTTACTCTACCTCGAATGGTATCCAAAAGCATATAGTACAGCCCAGTTTTTGCGTCAAGCGCATGTTCCGTCAGTAAGCGATCGATATTTTCGTTGATTCTTTCAACTCCAATCTGTATGCTGTCGATTTTCCCTTGGTCAACTTGAGCTTGCTGCGCAAAGTGATTGAAATTATTGTTCAAGTTTCGGACATCGATTTCAATTGTTTTGGTATTCGAACGCACCGCGTGCAACTCCGTTTGACTGGAGGCAACAACTTGGTGAACGGCATTGAGCCTTTGATCCCGTATATTGTCGAGACACCGATGCACGTCATTCAGCTTTTTATCAACATCGAATAATATTTCGTCAATTGCTGCTGAAGAGATCGGTGCCGAGGCTAAGGCTGAAGTTCGATCCCCTAGTCGGCGCTCAGAATATAAGCTGACTCATTTGAGATACTGCAAAGTAAACTTACACCAATGATGGCGGTTTAATCGATGGATCAGCTTCGTAATAGCGGTCAGAACAGATTCATACAAATCCAATGCACACGATCGGAGCTTTTCGTTGGACCTAAAAAGCTGCCGCTTGATTTGTGTCGCGTCGAAAATTGTTACAAATTCCCGGAATGATTTGAAGATCTTTTCTCGGGCTTCGGCTTGTTCCCTGGCAATCTGCAAGAAACATTCAAGTTAAGTTTCAGCTTCTCTCATTCTGCGATGTAGCTGCTCACTTGAAAGACAAGTCTGAGACCGCCACTCAGAACATTCATGCCATCGTCATCCGGAACCAAGTTAAACCACGGGCTGATGGCGGAAGCATAGTCTCCGGCTTTCCTGAATGCTTTCCGACCAATGTTCTTTGAGCCTCGGCCCTTAGCAAAATACTCTTCTTCAGCCCTGCTCATCTCATCAAGCACATCAGTCCATGTGTGTTTCCCTGTCGTGTCAAAGCATAAGCCTCCATTTCCCCTCTGCCGTTCGAGTGCTGCTGCCAAGTCACTGCGTACAGCTTTGTGAGCATGAATCTCTCCGTGCTGCATTCAAGTACACCTACCGATGTGGGGCCCATTCTACATACTGCTGTCGTTGGGTATCGAAGTAGGCGTGCCTCTGAAACGCTTCATGATGCTCCGGTGCATGAGTGGATATGAAATCTCGCGCGACCTTTCCCTTTGGAAACGATTCAGGGTTTCGTATCGAGCTCATCTAGTTATCTATTGTTAATCGCCACGAAAATGTTTCGTCTGGGCAATAAATACAGGAAGGTTGGAGGGAGCGAGAGAGAACTTGAATATACAGGATATAAAGTGGCAACAGGCAGAGGACGTCTGATATCTTGAGAACTGGTACTATATCACATCCCTGGAGACGCCCCGGTCAAAGGCTGACTACGACTTCAAGATGAGGCTGATTGTCAGACACCCCTACGCACTTCCACCAAGAGGGGCTGGCAAAAAAAAAGCAAAGCCGAATGACTGGTGCACTAATCAGAACGAAACACGCATTCAGCTAGATCTGCCTCATCTTACCCGCATAAAATAGCATCCAAAGCGAGCCATTCGCATGTATCGCCCGGGCAAAAGCCACACCCACGGGGCCAATCATCATCAACGGCCCCAGCCCCTACGCAGTAAGTTCGATAGAAGGGGCCCTTCCCGTAAATTTGTTCATTTCGTCAGCAATTAGCTCCACTTGCAAGTTTTCAATACGAGAGCGCCATCTAATTGACCAGCCGTGCTTTTTCTTGTGCGCTGACAGGTGATTGTGCAGTGGGCTGAATGGCGGCGGCGGCGCTTAAATCCATATAATTCCCAAGCCAACCATTCGAGGGTAAAAGCATATCATCCGGCTCAGATTCCTGGTTCTGGCGCAGAGAATTATTCCGAGAAATTCGATCCGAGCTCATATTATCGGGATATTTGGCGAAATTTCTAGCTTCCAAAAACAACCTCCGGCTCCCTTCATACTGGTTCATGAAAAGGCTAGCCATGCCTATTCAAATGAACCCTAGCCAGAAAGGAAATCTGACAGGAAGATTCTTTGGAAAAATGGCGACAGGGGTGAGTCTTCCTGCGGAGGAAATCAAGATATAAGGCCAACTGTCTGAAATTATTAGGCCGATTCCGATTCTACAATGCCAGAAGAAGAAAGCCTAGCCTCAGAGTCCGAATCTGAAGTTGGAAATGGCGGGGAGTTTTCAAATAATATGAAGCCGTGGGAGGCTCCACAATCTCAGAGTGTTTCACAGGAGAGACTTCATATCTATGTTTTGGAGAAACGACTAGCTGCTGTGGAAGCAAAGCTTTTGGAGAATTCAAAAGGCCAAAAACAACAACTGAACAAGGAAAAGACTAGCAGCCGATCAGTCATACGAAAGAAGACCCGTCGCATATCGAATCCCTCCTCTCTGCCAACTCTCTCCCAGGTATCATGGCTTGACTATGATGGATTCAAAAACAATTCTAGAGAGGATGAGTATCAATGTGCAATCGAAGTCCTCAGCGCGGGATTTGATGTGAAAAAGGAAATTGAAGAGACTGATCCACAGTTCTCCTTTGATTTAACCAGTAATCCCACGCTCAACCATGGCAAATCGAGGAGGTTGGAAAGATCTATGCCCTCAAGTATAAGATCTGCATATAGAGTGCGAATTCGATCTCCATCTCTTCTGCTCATTCTCAATAAAGTCATCGGGTACGGGAGAATGGACTGGACCACTTTTGCGCGCCCTTTCAAACCATTGATATACTACCATGATACTATGAAAACCCTTCTATCTGACCTGGAAGCCAAATGGGGCGAAACGGAGCGCAGCCAACCAGCCGAGCACTGGTCCATTCTGAGAGGGGGAAAAACAGATCAGAGTGCATTGGAGCCAGGGATCCCGAGAAAAAGAAATTCGTCTAACAGTACTGTTTCAGCAGACATGATTGACAGTGTCGAAGCTCTACGGGCTATGAGGGTCTATGTCGAATTTGTTGACAAGGAGCTGGTTCCTCTTTATCACCAATTTGAAGAGCAAACCGGCCAAGTTGCTCCACAAAGAGTTAGGTTCGACGACCTGTGGTATCTCTTTCGCTTGGGGGAGCTTCTTTTCAATCCGAATGCCCCGGACCCCACAAATGGCAAGGCAAGGGATAGATCGTTTCGAAGTCGCAGGGTGATGAGAGTATATTCAATCACTTACCCCGACCATGGTACCGACGGGTATTCCCAAAATGACAAAGTATTGATCAGGTGTTACTCAATCGATCACAACGGTGAATCGTATATCCCAGTGAAGGGGAAAGTGATAATCCCATACTTCGAAGGAGAGAAGGATATCCAATCGCTGGACATTTATCCTGTCAGATTTGCCCAAGACCATCAACGAATACTGCAAGAGTTGGATGAGCAAGGAAGACTCTTCCAGAGATGCATTTCTGAGAAGTATTTGTCTTACAAGGGCTGGACTATTGGAGACTATGACTATCCAGAATACATCGATAGTGATGTGATTGTCGATTTTGTCGAGGCACTGAAAGCACATCCCCGCTGGTCGACCATTTCACATATACCAGCTTTGCACGATGGCGAGGATAATTATTCGGTCATGGTTGACGATGTTCCGGGGACTATTTGGACTGATAAAGAGCGGACGCAAGTCGCAGCGAACTTCCAAGATGAAATTTACACGGGCGCATCCATCGACACGAGAGAAAGAAATGTGAATCTCAAAACGGACAAATTCCTCAGTGACCAAAGGGAGAGGCGCAAGAATCCCGATGGAGTTTCGAGCGGACAACTCGAAGACGAAGACTTCGTTTTATTCCCCCGAAGACTCTTTGCCTATTCTCTTCAAGACCGCAAGTTCGTCCCCGTGGACATTCGAAAACTCAAACTTGTAGCAGATCAAGGCGAGCAATTCAAGAACGTTTTTATTGCGAAGGAGCACAAAAAGATGATTAATGCGGTGGTTGATTCACACTTTGAAAGGAAGAAGATTGAGAGAGACCCGAAAATGGCAAACATGAGTCAGGATATCATCCAGAATAAGGGAAGGGGGCTTGTCATCTTACTGCATGGTGTTCCAGGGGTTGGAAAGACCTCCACAGCGGAGGCTGTCGCCAATGCAAAGAGAAAGCCCCTATTTACTATTACATGCGGTGATCTCGGATTCTCTCCTTCTGAAGTCGAGTCATCACTGAAGGAGATCTTTCGTCTAGCGCATCTATGGGATTGTGTTCTGTTGATGGATGAAGCAGATGTGTTTTTGTCGCAACGGTCGACTTGGGATTTGAAGCGGAATGCTCTCGTATCAGGTGCGAATTGTATGCTTCAAATTTGACGAGCCTGGAACTAATGACAGATAAACAGTCTTCCTTCGGATTCTGGAGTATTACAACGGTATCCTATTCTTGACGACAAACAGAGTTGGAACACTCGACGAAGCTTTCAAATCTAGGATCCATGTCATCCTCTACTACCCACCACTTAGCAAGAACCAGACAGAAGGGATATGGCGAATCAATCTGAGAAAGCTCAAACAGATCGAAGAAGAACGACACGCCATACTCGATACTGGTACCGACCCGGATGAGCTTGCCGAATTGCCAATGAAAGTGGACGAAGAAGAGATTCTAGATTTCGCACTAAGCCACTGGCAACATCATCAATATGGAAAGGGAAGATGGAACGGACGACAAATTCGAAATGCTTTCCAGATTGCAGCGGCGCTGGCACGATTCGAAATGCGCACTGTCGCGAAAAAGCGCGAAATGGAGAAAATTCCCAACGCCCCTTCAGAGGCTTTACAGGGAGAACTGAAGGCAAGGCATTTCAAAGCCGTCGCAGAAACAAGCCATCACTTCGAGATGTACATGAACGAAACTATGGGCAAGACGGATGCCGAAATTGCACTAGAGCAGGGGAATCGCGCTGATCATGTCAGTCGGCTCAAACAAAAAATGACGGAAAAGCCAGTGATCCAAGAAGAACTGGATTTTGATTACTACGAGGGCCATTCTGGCGTTGAAAACAATTATCGAGAAGGTCGGTCTCTGCCTAGACCTTCAAATACCACAGGATGGGGATCTCAAGGATACACGACTTTGCGACAAAGCCTGGATGCTTCTATCTCTCTAGGAAATCGACCTGAGATGACTAGATCTAGTTCATCAGAAGCATTTTCACCCTTTAAACGTGATGACAGGACTGGGAGTCTTCACTTCCCTAAGGATACCGTAGATGCCCCCCCAGTCCGCCCTCATCCAGAAGCACTGAGACCAGGATGGCCATCAGACTTGGATTCGAAGACTAGATCGGCGAGGAGGAAAACACAACCGGCTATTAGTGGAACTTGGTCTGGCATCGAGTCGGATTATGAGTGATTCTGTACTGATGACTTGAGTGACTTCTCTTAGATGTGCATTGAAATTAAAAGAATATAATTTGTCTAAAACAGGATTACCGTCACCTTAGCCAACAGAGAATCAAAGAACCTTGGGAAAGAAAAACTTGGAAGCCAAAAAAGCTATTTAGTGTCAAATCCACTCTCTTCCTCCAGCCATGTCTTGAAATCTTTCAGGTGAGGATTCGTTTTTTTCAGCGCAGAGATGTCCGCACCATATCCAACATCGTAGAACCATTGGAACATGTAGCCTAGATCTTTCATCATCGACATGAGAATCTTGCTAACAAATTCAAAAGTCATCGGTACATTCTTTCCGGTTTTGGAATTGAAAATCTCAGTCATTTGATTAAAAGTGAGCTCATCACCTGCAAGCGACAAGGTCTTTCCCTTGTAATGGTCCGGGGAGAGAAAAGCCTTCGCGCCAAAGAACCCAATATCTCTAGTTGAGATTAACTGCAAAGGCTTATCTTTGACAGCGATTTTCCACGATGTCGTGAAAACCTTGCCGAAAAAGTCTGGGGTGAAGTTTTCCATAAATGCCACTGGGCGTAGAATCGTCCAATCCATGCCGGAGCTTTTTGCCCTTCGAACAAGGTAGTGCTCGATATTGTGCTTGCTGATAAAGTGTGGAATCGGCGTAGGGCTCTCAAACGAGGATTCGCCACCTCGATCGACGGATGAGTATAAGAAAAACTTGACGTTGTGTTTAAGAGCAGCGTCAATCAGCCCTTTACCCTGTTTCTCCTCTGCATCATGGTTTGATCCACCCGGAACAGGAACCTAAGAAATCTTTTAGGCGACGTCTAGCATCAAATTTGAGAAACATATTTCGTACCTGAACACTGAAAACGCCCCAGATAGGGCTCGATGCAACCCTCTGAGCACATATGAAAATATCCTCTGCCTGGTCGAGATTGCCTTGAACAAGTTTGATATTCGAGGACTTGCTTTGAAGTCTCTGGGCACTGTTGGAGGAAGTATCTCGAGTTACGGCCAATATTTCAAAGTCGGCATTTTGATCGAGAAGTGCTTGTATCACGCTGCCGCCTTGTTTTCCGGTGGCCCCGGTGATGAGGACAGTCAGCGGCATTCTATACCTGAAGAAAGAAAATTTGAAGTTGTTTTGAATTCATGGTCTGCTTTTCTCCACGCGAGACCAGATATTTATAGCGAAATTTGATGTTGAGTAAGTCGGTCTTCGGCTTGATATTCACATCGTCCATTCATAATCTCGGCATTAACTTCAACCCCGAGATCCACCACGGACCCACATCCCCCTCAATTTAAACGCAGGTCAGATAATCAATCGTTTGATTACAGATCTGGAATGAAATCTCTATCTTTCTACATTCGTCGGCCCATGAGTGCAACGCGCTTCTTTCTTTCCGTCGGGAAGACGATATCTCAGCGGAATGGCTCCCAAGGAGATGAGACCTGACAGCGCGGAGACCTCATTACACAAGCGCAGCTGTACAAGATGCAATCAAAGAAAGGTGAAATGCAATCGGAAAACTCCTTGTACTGCATGTATCAAGAACGGAGAAGAATGCACCTTTCCTGGAGATAAACGTGCACCACGGCAGTTAAATCGACCTCCCGTTGGCGAGCTACTTGCGCGTCTCAAGGAGTTGGAATCAGAGGTAGACAAACTGCGATCGAACAACTCAAATATAGCTTACCGAGGGGAATCTCTTTCGCAACCGAGGGACACTATCCAGGAGTCTTTCCAAGTTCCTAACTTGAACGCGCTCAGTCTACCAGGCCAGTCCTGCAATATTCGCGATGACTTCTCGTTAGATGAATTTCGCCTTCAATATCTTCAGCCTAGACAAATCCAAAGACTATGGCGTTTGCACGAAGTAAATGTTGCCCCTCTCATCGCCATTCTTCATCTTCCATCCGCCCAAAGGATAATCAATAACGCCATGAATGGCGTCGAGCTCGACGCTGCAAATGAGTCACTAGTATTCGCCATCTGTTTCTCGGGGGTTATCAGCACGGTACCAGGGCAATGCCAGTTTGAAATCGACCATGAATACGAAGTCGCAAGAAAAAACTACGAGATCGCATTTGAAAGAGCTCTTGACTTAGCGGATATACTCAAGGCTAAGAACGTTGTAATTCTCCAAGCCGCGGTACTATTCCTTCTCTGCTCTCGCGCAGGCGGAAACACAAGACTAGTCTGGGCGAAAACTGCTGTCATTATTCGGCTTGCTCAAAGCCTGCAGCTCCACATAGATGGAGAAAAGCTGGGCCTCAGCCCATTCGAGACAGAAATGCGCCGTCGGCTGTGGTGGTATATCTGCATTCTCGATATGCTTTCCTCCGAGGAGCAGGCTGTGGATACGCAAATCAGACCCGGAATGTTTGACACAAAATATCCGTCCAATATCAACGGACAAGATCTCTTCCCTGAAATGACTAGCCTTCCACCAGAAAGAGAAATCTTTACTGATATCACACATTGCATCATGTGTGTGACGGTTCTTAATGATGTGTACTGGTCTCCGACGATACTCGATAAGAGTGCTCATATTCCTCAGACGGACCAGGAACACATAGTAACAAAAGTTGGCAAAATGCTGCACGATAAGTATTTAAGCCATTTTGATCTGGATGTGCCTTTGCAATGGATATCTGCCACCATTATCCGTCTCCAGCTGGCAAGAGCATGGCTACTTGTTCAAAAACCCTCCGAAGAGGTGTCAAGTTCAGGTTCACCCCGCAACGATACAGCCTTTGAGACTGCCATCGAGAGTGTGAATTTTTCATACTTGTTACAGACAAATCCCGTCACCACGCAATGGATTTGGCTATGCAAAAGTTACAAGCAATGGTATATTATGGCCTATTTGCTTACAGAACTATGTGCTCGTCCATTATGTGCCGAGACTGACCATGCTTGGGATGTCGTGACGAAGATGCTGGTTCAGTGGCAACAGAGTGTGCAGCACCATACTGCCTTTGAAAAACCATTCGCCGAGCTGGTAGAGCGGACTGCTGCTGTGCGAGCCGCGAAACTGGCGAGCCAGCCTTCCAACCAAAAAGGATCTGTCCGAGATTTGCAAGAGGATCCATTCGGGGTTTCGGAATTGGAAATCAGCATTGGTTGGCTACGTGAATCTGGACTCTAGTGTCAATACGAAAAGATAAACTTGGAAGTTGATTCATATATGGGGTAGATTATTGGTACAGATACGGTCAGATGCGCTCAAGGCACATCCACAGACAGTTTGGTTGGTGGGGGTTGTTACAGCACAAAGGAATACAGGGATGCTGATCCAGGACGTGGCCTGGGAGCTTCGCAGAAGAGTAATCAAGTCGGGGCAACTCGAGTGGGTTCATTGCTTAAGCAGAAACGAACTTGCGGACGTCTAGGAACAAATATGTTAGCACTTGGAAGTTGATGTAGGGTAAATGAATACGTACTCTCCAACCACCGCATGTACTCCTTCTGCTCCTTGTACGCAATGAAGTCGGTGACCATGTTCTGGAACTCCAGGTTGAGGCCACGCTCCTCGAGGTAGCGGCCCCAGAAAGCGAGGAGCTCAGGGTCGAGGTTCTCAGCTGGGGGACCGGCGTAGAGGCTCTGGCGGGTCCAGTCCTTCTCAGCGGTCTGGGCGTTGGCAACCTCGGCGTTGCTGTAGTGGGCGATCTCCTCGATCTGGAGGTCACCATCCTGAATGACAGCCTGGACCAGGAGGGCACCGTTGCTGGGCTTCTCGATAGCGACGTTGATGCGGGCAGGGAAGGTGGGAGGAAGGATCTCGTCCTCACCCTCTACATCCTTGTTCTGCTGGCTCTGGTATTCGCCCTCATCACCGAGGGTCTCATCGGCCAGCTCATCCATGGGGTCCTCGGCGAGGTTGTTGATATCGGCGACGGTGAAGGTAACCTTGACACTGATTTTGGAGGTGTTTTAGCTATGAAATGACTAGGGGTTAAATGCGGATATGCTTACGTCTCATTGCCAAACTTCTTGGTCAGGACAACCTCCTGCTCGCCTTCAACATCCTTGACCTTCCACTCGCCGGCATCGAGAACGTAATCGATACTGGCCTTCTGCTCACGGGCATCCTCGACACCGGAGGCCTTCTCGTGCTTAAGCTCCTCGTCGAGCTTCGCGATCAGCTCGACATCACCTTTAAGTAAACATCATATGATCAGCAACTTGCTTCACCACTTCGAATCGGAAACCTCTGGAAACATCACAATTCCATCAGAGTGACTAATCACAAATAACTTACCCTCAGCCGCGGGCTCGCGGAAGACGCTGGTTGTGGAAAAGCTGGCGTAGGCGGGCTTAGCGACCTGTTTCCAAGGCTGGACGAAGGAAGTCTTGGGAAAGACGGCCGGACGCAGAGAAGTGCGGGCGACGGAGCGCGAGAAACGTGGGGCGGCACGGGAGAAAGCACGGAGAGACAGCATTGTGAAGTTGGGAGAGATGTGATTGATGAAAAGGACAAGAAAAAGTTGCGGGTTGCGGGTTGCGGGTGAAGCTGGAGGACACGCCAAGCCTTTTCCATGGTTGAGCCCGGCACCGCCTGCAGATCTGCCGTTTTCCATTCTACAGTCCATTAAGGTAGGTGAAAGATATCTAATCTTATGTCATTACTGTGGTATGGTATTTACTAGTCTCCAATTTTGTGCTCCATGTACGCCAAATAGCCCACGAAAGAAAAGAAAAGAGAATAAGGGTAGTCGTATCATGACATGCCCTTGGGAGGGAAGGTCGAATCCTTCTTCTCTCCACCTTGGACAAGGCGAACAAATTTCAAAGGACTGAGGCCAGACCATTGCCCATTCCATTGCTTCAGTGCCAGAAGGACTTCCATCTCGGTCAGATCCGGTGTCCAGAATCCTGTCTTAAACTCCTTCTCCTCCGTGTCTGTCCGTTGTCCGAGTACTTCTTCCCGCTTGGTGGGTGGACGACCCTTGCGACGTTCTTGCTTAAGTTGTGCAAGCTCCTCCGCATCGCGATATATGTACCTGGAGTCGGTTAGTACAAGATGATCAGAAGAATGCGCAGGTTATGCGCCGGGGCCTTACTTGGTGATCATCTCGGCCAGTTCAGCCTCGGAGAGGGGCTCGGAGATGGGTTGAACTGCTTCATAGAAATATTCAATGCGATCCGCTGCAAGGAATTAGTATGTGTTCAATCATTGAAAACCTGGGGCTAAAGTACTAACTGTATGGTTGGCGGGCCTTCATGGAGATCGACGTATGTTTGACCAAGCGTTCGTCCCGATGACCGGCACGTCGGAGCCGACGAGCATCGCGACTGTTCTCATGTAGGGAGTTGACAACACCTCGCTTCTTGGAGATGTGCTTGTGCACTTTTTGCAAGGTACGAGACGGCATGGTGAATGGATGGGAGGGGAATGATTTCACCTTGTGAATCTTTGCTTGTCCCGCATCAAATTAATTTTCGGGCGTGCCTGCAGAATCGGGCGGTGGCCTTTTCCTACCGCCTGCCGTAATCAGAAAGTATCACATCGCGTCTGCGCGTCAAGGAACAAACGAGAACAAACATTCCAGCACCAGCCATGGAGGTATTTCCTTCATGATTCGACTTGGCTTTTCCGTTCCTCTTTTTGCTTCGGTTCCCACGCGTTGAGCCTTGAACATATCAATTCGCATGTTACTGTCTCTCGAGTAAATACGAGGACCCGCTTGTACCTCGACCGGTGCCCACCATGGGTATCAAAGGTATGTTCCTGTGGTTCCTGTGGTTCCTGTGCTCCCCATGAAAGAAGGAAGGGAGAGGGGTTTGGGCTGATTTCGAATACAGGATTACATGGTCTCCTCAAATCTATCCAGAAACCATGCCATCTGAAGAAGTTCAGTGGCCAGACCCTTGGAGTTGACGCCTATGGATGGCTACACCGCGGGACGGTGGCATGCTCTGTCGACCTAGTTTTGGATAGGCCGACTAGGAAGTTCGTGTCCCTTTGCTAATTGCGTCTCGGTATTGCAAAGTCGGCTAATTTGGACCTAGGCATCTCGATTTCGTCCTAAATCGTGTTCGCATGCTCATCTACTTCGGAGTGAAACCCTACCTCGTATTCGATGGCGACAATCTGCCCAGCAAAGCAGGTACCGAACAAGACCGCCTTCGAAGACGTCAAGAGAGCAAGGCACTCGGACTCGAACTACAGCGGAAAGGCAAAATGCCAGAGGCATATCAGGAGTTCCAAAAGGCCGTCGACGTCACCCCCTACATGGCCCGGCAGCTTATCGAAGAACTGAAACAGATGGATGTACAATATGTGGTGGCTCCGTATGAAGCAGATTCCCAATTGGTGTACTTGGAACAGCAGGGTCATATTCAAGGAATCATTTCAGAGGATTCCGACCTGCTCGTTTTTGGAGCTAAAAGGCTATTGTCTAAATTGGATCAGCATGGCGAATGCATTGAGATCAATCGAGCGGATTTCACAGCATGCCGAGAGGTCAGTTTGGTGGGCTGGAGTGACGCGGATTTCCGCCACATGTGCATATTGAGTGGTTGTGATTATCTGGCGAATATTCCCAAGATGGGATTAAAGACTGCTTATCGCAGTATTAGAAAGTACAAGACTGTGGAAAGGGCACTTCACATGATACAATTTGACGGCCAGTTTAAAGTGCCAGCCGACTACTTGTCTAACTTCAGGCAGGCTGAACTGACATTCTTATATCAACGAGTCTTCTGCACCACCGCCCAAAAACTTGTCACCTTGACGGTGCCCGAGGATGGGGTCAACATCGACGAGCTTCCTTTCATTGGAGCTGATGTCGAGGCGGCGACTGCGGCCGGGGTTGCTCGCGGAGATCTAGATCCGTCGACGAAAGAACCGATTGAATTGAAACCTATGGCCACAGGTAAATTACCCCTGGGTATCAGCCGTCGCCAAACACTTGGTTCATCTTCAGAGCTGAAGCCCAGCAAGCCAATAAACTCTTTTTTTACGCCAAAGCGCACGCCTCTGGGGGAGCTGGACCCGAACAGCCTCACCCCATCTCCGAGCCAGCAACGGCTTCTGGAGCGGAATACGAACAACTCCTGGCAAGCCAACTCGGCTCCCTTGCGCTCTAACTCGACCCGCAACACTCCTCTGCGGGCCTTCTCCGACCAAGCTGGCCTTAGTCCTATGGTCCGCAGTGTTGAAAGGAACTCATTCTCGTCTCAGCCTACCCGAGGGTCAACCCTGCAGCGAGCGGCAACCATACAACCTATCAAGCGACAGAGACTTTGTTCTGAAGCTGAGGACGACTCCCTTCCGACACGTCCTGATTCCCGCAGTCGGTTCTTCGGTCCCAAGGCAGACCAAGCAAGCCCGACGGGCCAGAAATTGTCACGGAGCAAGAAGCAGCGAAAATCGATGATGGATGTTTTCTCTGATGAAGTCGCCGAAGATATCTTCTCCAGTATCCCCGATGTAGCTACTAGCGCCGAGCCTACCGAGCCGCAAGGATCGACGATCCAAGCATCGGCTGCTAGTGATCACGACAAGCAGACTGTTAATGCCTCCTCGGTCAATAGCGCAACCAAACTTGCGCCCCCGCCGGCCACAAAACCTGCCAAAGATGATGAGTTTGATCAAGCCTTGGAGTATCATGTACAGCGACAGAACACGACCATCCTTTCCAAATTTACCTTCAAATCAAGTCCGCAGACAGAATCTGTCCCAACTCGCTCCCCGGCTACTCGACTTCCTGTGATTCAGCCCCGCGATCGGCCTGCTCCTCTTGGTTCCCCCAGGACACCCGGAGGAAACCCTCAGAATCGATCCCCGCAGCGCAGACGCTTGACCCCACTTCAGCGTATGGGGCATGCTGCATTGACTCGGTCCCACAGTATCAACTTCCCGACCAAGCTTCGTCTAGCTAATAGTATGGAATCTCAATCTGATACTAGTCCTATGCCTGCAGAGTCCTGTGTGACAGGGGGCAGCAGCGCTCAAGGCAGCGAAGATCTCATCATTCCCGACAGTGAAGATGAAGAGGAGGATGAAGAGGGAGAAACAAGGATGTCGGCCCGAGCTAAGCCTTTGGACCTCAAGCGTTTCTCATTTGCCGCCCATTAATCAATTACAAGCATATTTCGGTTTCTGGTTTGGGTTTGGAGTATGGGAAAAGGGACATCAATTTGGGGCATGCATTTGCAAACACGGGTTAGGCATCAATTATTCTATTGCGGCGGTGTGGAATTTTACCATGAGAGTATTGTAATTGGTCTTTACCATCTATTCAATCCAGCGCATACTATTTCATTGATCAGCAGTCTGTCCACGTAGTACTCCGTACTCCATACGGACGTATTCTATCGCAAGTAGAGTAAATCGAAGGCTGGGGAGGCGACCCGCGGGTTGATGGTGGGGCCCAACCTTATCGGGACCAATGCTAGGCCTATCGTGGCTTAGTGTGCAACCGGCACAGCAACAGGCCCCCGGCAGAATGCCAAAAATAGGAGGCGGTGGAAGTTGGTTTCCCGGGAAGCGGGAGAGTAAACAAAGGCGGTTGGCCCAGCCTCTCGATATTCCCATACATCGTCTCCATCCCCAGCCTCCAAGGGCTTCAAGATTTGCGCCTGACGTGGTTTTCTATTGCAGCTACGATCTTTCCTCCCCCTTCCCCCCTTCCATTCCTTCTACACATTCCTCTCCTTCCACATCTTTGTGTCACCACTTGCTGTCCAGAAGACTCCAAGACCTCTGACCATTGTCGAGACTTACATATAGGTGCGATCCGGACCCGACGATACGCCGCAGCACCTTCAATTGTCTTCGAAGGACTTTGAAGCTTCGACGCGAACCGATTGGACACTATTCCGACATCTTCATCGCATCTCATCTCCCGCATTCCTCCTCCACATTCCGCTTACGACTATCGTTGACGAGCGGAATTCTTCCTTTACAACCACGCCCTCGACCGCCACGGGGTAGCCAACAGAGTTCTGACTCTAAGTACGGCTTCAAAAACTCCTTCTCGGAGCCCCGAGAAGCGAGTCTATCGACGTGAGGCATCGAAGCAGCTCATCTGTGCCCCCATAACTGGTCGCAATGGCGAACCGAGTCGCAGCGTCATGGCAACGTATGTGACAAACACCAATCAAACAAAGTCCAAAAGAACGCGAGCATACTAACAAAGAACATAGGGTTCATTCCTATGATCGGATACCACCATGTGTTAATGATAATTATCGCAATTGCCATCATCCTTCTATGTGAGTATCCGCTGACCTTATAAGTGGCATCCCACGTGTGTGTTTGGAATGTGGCTAACCTTTCACAGCATTATTGTTGGCCGGATGCTCCTCATCCTCCCCAGAGATCCCGAACATCTTCCTCATATCCATGTACTATGAAAGCTACAAGCCTACCTTTGACTTGTCACAAGTCGACCCAGGAGTTACGAGCGCGATGGCAAATATCGTCGGTACCGCCGAGTTGGAAGTCCGCGTCGGATATTTCGGTATCTGTGTTCAACCTGATCGTGGATCTTTCATTTGCAGCTCCAATGCCACCGCTCTGGCGGAGATTGTCACTGTGGACCAAGATCCACTCAACCTAATCTGGGTCGCCTCCACATTCAAAGATGCCGTCGTGTTCCCATATCTCCTGTAAGTTGATGCTCTAATAAGCCCCATCCCTCACAGATGCTAACCGCTATCCAGGATTGTTGCCATTATTCTCGCCTTCTTCTGCTTTATTCTCCTCGCAACATTCCCCGGCTGGCACGAGGAGCGCGATGAATCTGGCTCAGACGTCGAGGTCAAGCCCTTCCCTTCGCGCCCTGTCTCACAAGCCGCTCTAGCTTTGATCTTTGTTTCGACTGTGTTTGTTCTCGTGTCAGTGTTATGGCAACATACCGCCTCCGTTGCAGCGAGTACGATTGCCCAGGATATGGGTAACGGCAGTGTGAAGAGCGGTGTCGGCACTTCCGCCATGGTGCTCGGTTGGTTCGGATTCGTGTTACTAGTCGTCGTAACGATCGGATTGCTTGTCATGATACTCAGCATCAGTGTCCTCAGGAAACTGACTGATGAGGACGAATGATCACGCTGATAAAGCCCCCGCAATATGCCATTCATGCTTTTCTTTTTTATTCGATTTTCACGCCTCCTTTTTTTCTTCTTCGCTACGACACACCTCTTACTACCTCTTATCACCAACGACACGAATGGGAAATGATTAATATGCCAAATGGAAATGGCTTAACACACGGAATGGGAATACGATTGGGGACACTTTGTCGCCATGGGAAACGGTTGGACTTGAACAATGTGATACACGAACATATCGAGGATTGGCCTTCATGACACCAACCTCCCTTTCCCTGGAAAGGTTGACACCGGACCTTCTTGCACGCTTCAAAAACTGCCAGGAAAATCATGAAGGCCATTCCCTCAACCCAAATCTTTGTACAGTCTCGTGACCGGTGTTATGGGATCTCTTTTTTTTTACCCCTCATGTACTTGGGGAATCATACTTTTGGATTCCCTGGCGTTTCTCTTTTCATGTATAAAACATGCTTTGAAATTTTCAGCACCAAGTCTTATCTCTGGACTTAAATGTTTACCTTGACTTTGCTTTCTTGCATAGAGTTGAGGATCGCGCTTAAATAGCTTTTTGAAAAATGATAACCAAATACCCATCTTAAACTATCTATGCCTCCATGTAGGACTTCTCAATAGCTCGGCGACCATTTCAAGGATGCTACTAATATTGATCACATGGCCAGCCTAAAGCTGCCGTCTTCCGCACGGATCTACAAAATACAAGTCTAAGCTCGAAGTTTCCGAGTCAATCTTGTCCGTCCAATTTCTTTCTAGCCAGTTATTTTCTAGCGATATGGGGACCTCAAAGTCAACTCCAAGACTCTAGAAACGGGTCATGCACGGGAGGCTGATAACAGTGGCATGGTGGATATACTAGTAGTATGTACAGAAACTCCATCGAATACCTGGTTTTAACTCATAATAATCATAAATCATCAATCAAGACCTTTTCAACTGGAAAAGAATCGTTTTATCCGTAAACTCTCGTCCATCTAATACTCCAACCAAATTTCATGTTGCACCGTGCCGCTACCTGATGCGTTGCAAGCATCAAAGCAGACCCCAGGAGTCTCAACGATTTTGACAGCCATACTCTGTCCTTCAGCCATCTCATGCACAAACTCATCATCCACAACAATTTTGAGTCCGGCTGCATTAATATGTAGAATGCTGGATATATCTTTTTCTCTTGTTTCGGCGGAGGTCTTCTCCAATATTTTTGATATTAATTCGTGTACTGTTCGTGATTTGGGATAGATCGCGCGGTAATGTTCATTATGCGATTGGTCGTTTGTGGTGATTCGAATGTAGAAGCATGCGGCTTAATTTAGCAAAAATGAAGGTCAGTTTGGATTATTTTCGAGATGTCGACAGTAGGGTTTGCTAGGATGGTCTTACCTGGCGTGGTGGACAAATGGTCCGACCTCAACAATGCCGGCGACACTTCGTGATTCACTGATTTTTGGAGACTGCTCATGGAGCTTGGGGTGTCCATCTCGTTGAATCCGGCTAGATCTGACTTGACAGATGAATCGTCGCCATTGGATGAGTCTCTGCGGTCCATAGAGTTTGATTGCGGCGAGTCATCCGCATCAAATGAAGGGGATGGATACAATTCAGGATCATCTTGATACCCACCACGAAGGCTTAGCGCACTTTCGGGACGACTGGAGTAAAAGCATTGTTCGAGGGCGTCCAGCCTTTTCTGCAGTTGCTGCTGAAGGTTGGCTTGCTGTGGGGCTTTATGGAGATCTTCTGACAGATCGCCTTGGCGTTGCAGGTTGTTCTTCGAGTAAGTGAGATCTGGATTGGATTTTGCGGAAATGCTACCTCGTTTCCTCTTATTTGAATATTCGGGTTGAGATGGATCGTTCATTTGCAGCTGTAACTTTTCCATTCTTTTTCGGATACTCGCAGCGTCGTTCGATAGTTTCCGCTCGGCGCCATGATCGCGGAAGAGCTTCACATTACAGAAGCAAACTTCTGGTTCTTGTATGTTGATTTCACCGAGTTGCTTTGTCTTAGCGCAAAGTCTGACCTGTATTCCCTTCACTCCCTTGGAGAGCGTGAAGTCGGTGGATAAAAAGTTGAAACGGACCGGGATGCTGCATTGGGGTACTTTATCGGTCGGATTGCCGGTCCAGGTAACAGAAAATCCATCGAGAGAGATTTGTTCAACGCGCGTGAAGGGATTATTTTCGCCCATATATTCGACGGCCTTGAGTTTCTTGTCGCTCTTTTGTGGCGCATTTGATCCTCGTGATGCTTTCCATAGTCTCCAATAGGCAGCGGGGTCCGATCGTTGTTGTTCTTCATCAAATGAAATCCGGATGAATGTTCGGTACTGCGTAGATTCGGTAGAAGATACCATAGACGGCATTGAGTCTACCACCCTGAGATGGTACACCTGGCCTTTATTGAGGTATGACACAGGAGCTTCGCTCATATCGTTCACTATCGCAGTGGAAGCTCGAAGAGTGGTGGGGTAACGCATTCTGAAGGTGAAATGTCAAAATCCTGGTCATTGGTAATATCGTGGACGAACTTACTGGTTGCCCTCAGGGTGTGACATCCTTCGCGAGTAGCCAACACCGTCATTTACTGGTTGGGACTCTTCCATTGGGTTCCATGACAGCTTGTCATCTGGAATGGGATCGAAATTAAGCGGCTCAGCTGGAACTGCCATGTTTCCAAAGTCTGAAGTCAGCCGAGGAAGCTGGCTCGCTGCATATGCACCTTGAGGGGAGAAAGGATTCATGCTGTTCCATGTTACTGAGGGATCGATATTATCCAGCGAGGTAGAGTTGGCTTGGTCTCCGAATTGATCTCTGGTTTGCCAGTCCAAAGGAAGTTTAATATCAGTTTGAGAGATGTTCTGTGAAGGGTGACACCCCTCTACCAAATCATGGAAGGTAGTAGGGGCTTTTAATTGCGATGAATAGTAAGTATCGAGAGCTTGGCTTTCGAGTGCCAGACACTTTTCAGACATTGCTGGGTATGGATCTGGCGGTGCAATTCCGTCGAATGAGAAGGAAGGGTCGGATAATTCAAGGCTCCCCTTCACTTTCTTGCAGGCGCTGACAGTGGATCAGATTTCATTCACGGAATAATTTACAGGGGATGGTGGCCTACCCTTCTGATGGTGTCATATTATTATCCACCTTATTTAGAGGGTTACCCGATTCAATTGCGTTGGTGGTACCCTCGTTAAAAAATGATTTCCCACAGAGCTTCTGAAAGCGACCTATTAGATCGCCATCTGGTCTGTGAGATCCCGTTCTGCATGGTAAGATCACCCGTCATTAGACATTTGAGGTCATAAAGTATCATATTGAGTAATTGAATGGGCTTACCGATGACTGAACATTGGCGAGAAGGAAAAAGTAGAACCTTGTGGAATCAGTCTGTGTTGGAATTGTCGAGGCCCAAGCCGATGTAAATAGACCACGAATTTGATGTGAAAGCGTGAATATTATATTTGGGACATAGAAACAGATAACCATAAAACCCTTTTTCTGGAAAATTAATATGCAGGTGGCGGCAAGCTTTCCCCCAGGAGCTATCAGTAGCTACTTATAACGGGCTTGGGTGCAAATCGAAGATCTCGGTCCTTCCATGGCGCCCCACATAAACGATGAAATCATGGCTATCATATCCGATAGCGTGTACCCTTTGGAAAGGTAGAGATGATAGGATGAGATACTGCACACTGGGGCGTAGCAAATACAACGGGCCACTCCGCAGTACCACGCATGGGCAAACCTTGGAAGTGGATGATTTTTCCACCTCCGGTCCCAGTTGCGTGACCTGAAGCTTTGGTTGGGTTGTCCGCGTTAAAAAGGGATCATTCAGCCGTCGCTCAGGGGGGGCTTTCTTGCGTAATTGCAGATCTTCGACTCCTTTGATTCCGATTGATGGTGGGCATTTGATCGTTCTACAAATGAAATCCCACCTTCAAGCATTGGCTAATCCATATCAGCTCCTTCCCCTGTTTTCTATGTTTTTTTCCTTGTCGGTAGCACGTAATGTATGCATACAAAGTACTGTATGTGGCGGATGTATCTAGAACCAACAGGAGCGACAGTAACCACGCATGCGTCCTTGATCAGCGAACCACAACGGCTGGTTGAATTTCATTGGTCGGCTAATCTTCCCGGAGGCGATCGCCTCAGAATGTGGAGACCTTGGCTCCACTCAATGTGACCAGCCATGTCAGAAGCTGATATGAAAAGAAGTCATGGCATTTTTAACTATTGGAGGGAGACAGCATCCGACTGCCCCACCGCTAATGTGAAACCTCCCCGCTATCCTCAACAGTTACTCTGTACCGCATCTATAGAAAAGAATGGAAGGATCGACAGAACTCAACAACGCCACCGTCCACTTCAAAAGGGCCTCGAGTTGGAGTTTTGGTGCTCGAGTATGTACTTTTGATTACCGCAATGATATCATACCAACCTTGATGTAAAAAAAAGTCTCGACAGCTTCTGTCTAGTCTATCTTTAGCGCCATATTCGGGACCACACTGACACTGGAGGAAGCCACCGTGTCATGAGCAAACATATCGCACAAAAAGCTCACCTGAGTACTTTAAAAGGTACCGAGGGGAGGCATCTCGTCTCATATTTGGTTGGTTTAATTTGAGAAATCCAATTCCCGAATTTAGTCCGATTCTTGACTTCCGACCCCTCGGAAACTTTTTTTAGGATGACGTACACATATGGATTTCAGAATCCAGGCATCCGCAAATTCCGAATATTCAAAGCCCGGAATCAAATATTCAGAAATATTGGACCCTGACTTTGAAATTTTCCCTCACGCGCCATACTATTAGGAAAATGTAACCTACATAATGGAGGGCGGTCGCATACTCCCAGTGTAGATAAATCTAGATTGAAGGGTCTACGGTCAAATTTCCATCTTTAGAAGACCCACCCAAGGTTGATCTTAGGGCTTACTCTGATCGTGCCTCACAGATACAGAAGTGAATATAAAAAGTTTTTCTGGTGGAAATGAATTACTAGTAGGTCTCGGAAGTTCAACTTCAACTTGAACCTTGGAAGTTGAAGTTGTTGCCGACTGGTCCTGATCAGATTCATTCTAATACTACTCCGTACCCAATAGATATATAAAGCTAGCCTAAGCTAGGTATTGCTGCTAGTAGTATGCATAAAAATTACTGGTGGTGTATACATACTATAGTATATTCTAAGTTGGAAAGTTGGATCTGAAAGTTTGAAGAGAGAGAGAGAGAGACCTTTTACCGGATTCTTCGTTGTGAAAATATACTACCTAGATCTCTCGCTCCCTAATATTAGATCAGTAGCTCACATACACCTCTTACAACTACTATGAGTGAGCCCAAGAGCCCAAGGGAGTCCAGATTTCTAGACGAATCGAAAAGAATCACCAAAAGTACCCCTCTAAAGTTTTGTAAAACCTAGTAGTAGTTAACTCTCACGATCTAAAAAGTCAAAGTCCGAAGTAACGTTTCATATGGATTCATGAAAACGGCGGAAGTCAAGATTATACACCATTCCAGGTACAACTTGAATGTGAGTAATTGAAATACGCAGTCAGATGAAACTGGAACCCATCAGCTTACTACCTACTTCTGAGATAGCCGCCGTGACACAATGGCTGTTCCTTATAGCTGGTCCTTTTCATCCAGCTCCCTCTGCAACTGATCCACCAGCCCAACTGCAGCGAATGCTCCCATCTGCGCAGCCTGAACAACCGCTTGCATCGGTGTTCCTGCATCACCAGCAGCCACGCAACCAGGTAAGCTTGTCTCATTGAACGGCATAGATAGCTTGATACCCCCTGCCGGCATCATCTCCAGGCCTAGTTGGTCTGCAAATGGTGCACGCTGCTCCGCGCGGGGATGGCTCACAACAAATCCTTCTTTCTTCGAGGTTCCATCCTCAAAATGCAACACCACGAAAGGTGGCTCGTCCTTCGAACCGTCTTGATGTTCGAACTTGATGATCTTGCGATCGTCGTAGGCAATTTTATTGCTGTGGATTATGGCCTTTGCCGAGGTGATGAGCTCAGGATTTCCGTTGGTATAGATATTAACGTGGTTGGCGAGACGTTTGGCCATCCTAGCGACAAACACGAGTGACTCGGGAGATGAAAGAGCGCCTGTAGCGAGCGCACCGACGGAATTTGCGCCACGTTCTTCGTAGCCATGGCAGAAGAGACAGTGAAAGCTTCAAAGATCAGTATAAATCAAAGTCAAATGACATAGAAACTACGGTAGGAAAACTTACATGCTGCGACCCCAACACTCCGCGTACCCCTCTGCCTGGTCCTCGACTACATCTCGCACGCCTGTCCCTAGCGCTAGCTTGCGCCCCTGGTAGGTCTTTCCTTGATCATCTACCGCTTCAAACAAATCGGCGACTTTCCGAACCGTTTGGATTTTGGTAGACACAAAGTCAATAGTATCATATCGCTTTTGGAGGTCTTGCTTGGCCTTGGCGCGATAAATGGCTGGATTGACATGGTCAAAGCCGGGGACATTATGCATGTGAGTTGCTCGCTCGTTGCGGTAAATACCAGAGTCAAGCACCACGGAGGTATAGAGCTGTCGGGCAAGACCAGTGGCAATGGAGAGTCCTGCTGGACCACCTCCGATAATGAGAACGTCGTATGTTTTGAGCATGTTGTTTGTGATGTTTAATCGAAATTTGAGTTTGAATATCGATGGTGAATTCTTATACAATTCAGTGAATTTGATGTCCGAGATTGATCATATTTGGCTAGAACCAGGAAACAAATTGACCTTTTATAGCTTTGAAAAGATAAAATAATATGAGTACCTTAGCGACACACTCCTTACATTTAATAGCAAGTGGCTGCAATAGATGACTCTGATAGGTTCTCTGGGATTCCTCTCCTGGAAGCCTCGGAGAGTTAGGTTCGGGAAAGTCACCGAGTGACCTCCCGACTCCTTGTGAGTTAATTTGAGATCTAGAATGCCATGTAGGATTTGAGGCGCAATAGGGATCTAAAAGGGGGTCTTACTAACAGGAAACTGCATATTCTTTCATCTATTACGTTACCTCACATCCGCTGCCTCGAACCCCAAGCCCAGATTCATTTGTACTAACTAGTGAGTGAGTGCAGCCCCCACCAGTTTGAAATTGCGAGTTTGAGGATTCCTAGTCAAAGAATTACTTCTTGCTATTCTAACTTTCGATTATTAGGTTCCATGCTGACTCTGATCAACATGTGAGCTGCTCGCGGAGGGGCGCAATGACTTCTTCAGCACCCGATCGAACAGCCCCTTCCCCACACACCCTTTCTACTCTAAATCGGTCTTCGTCCCGATAAAGTGAATGTTTCCAAGTGCCTCTCAAATTGTAGATCCGTTAATGGAAGACAAGAGACCCAGCGGAGAAGCTGCACAAGGTCCACCAAGGAAGAAAGCTTCTTTACTCCATTCAGACTCCAGGACGTTAGCAGCCTTTGGGGATCTGAATATCCCCAGTCTCTCGCACAGCTTTCTGAACAGATAAGTAAAGCAGACCCCAGACGGTGGAATATATTTCCCACTGGGGTAGTTTACACCATGCGAGACCACAGCCGCCAACAACAAAGCAACTGATAGACCATCGGTCGTTTTCAGGAATACTCGTGTCCACAGAAAAAAGGATGGTTCCTGCGTCCTGTGCTTTAGTCTCCCCGGAGATCCCAGCAGTTCTCCATCATGGCCTTTAGAAAACAAGAATGATTTTGCTACAGTAGCCCAATTTTTTTTTTTGGCCAGGACGCTGTTTCTTTGCAGACAGTGGTGATGGGAATTGGATTTTGCTGTAAAGTGGCATCGTGACGGAAAGGATCGTTTTCTTTGCCTAAAACAATTTGTCGTTCGAGGTTCCAATTTCACAGAAAATACTATCTGCGGATTTCTTCATATTAATGACCGGAGTAGAAAGATGCAGTGATCTTGGCTTCAACTCCGCGGCCACACTTTTCGCGATCGTCTGCGTGCCTTTGCGATAATGAATCGTAAAGGTAGTAATTGCTTGATACATTTACTAGCTCGGATTGTAATTTCAAACTCATTTACTAATCACTAGCCACTACACTTTAGTAAAATGTGAAAAGCTTAAAAAATCCGTAGTGGTGACGCAATACTATAAACTCATCTTAGTCCCGGGTGGCACTTTATCTCGTAGTTCCGCTAAATATTATCAACACGCACCCGTAGCTCGTTATTTCCACATAAACACTCTGGTATGCTCAGTGATGGTGCTCAGCCTGTTAATGCCACGCTCTCGGATGTACGGCTTTACGGGCAAAGGATATCCGTGGACGCAGTGGCTCCAGACCTACCTGAGTTCACTCGTATATAACCTGTCTTAGAGCGAACGAAGAACATTTTCATCACTAGAATCGTATACTTTATTAATCTACTGACAGTAAAGTACCTGGCAACATCCAAGTCCAAGGTACCATCTGCTACCATGGAGACAATTCGAGATACAGCTTTCGGCAAGCTAGTGCGGCTCGGTAGTCGATACAGGTGGATGCAATATCCAGAAGAGCGTGATACTTCAGTATGGCCTGAGTATCTCAAGACAGAGCCGGAAGCAAAAGAAGAAGAGGAGGCTTCCACGCCGGTGACTGAGAACGAAAACCCCGAGGATCTGGAGACTTTCGGCCTCTACACAGTAATGTCTCAGTGCTCGAATCGATCAAGGCGCATGTCTACAGTATCAACTCTTGGTGGTGGAAGGAATAACTCTTTGCAAATCAATCAATCGTTGGTCATTAGCTGGTGCGGGCCTAACGATCCCGAGGTAAGCTTTCCGTTCCACGATGCACAGAAAATGGCGTACTGATATCAAACAGAACCCACAAAACTGGAGCAAAACAAAGAAGATGTTCGTCAGCAGCTTAATTTGGCTACTCACATTCGCGATTTATGTGGGTTCTGCTATCTACACGCCTGGTATTCCAGGCGTCGCCGAACAATTTGGCGTGAGCACTGTTGCCGCCACCCTCGGTCTGACCCTATTTGTGGCAGGCTACGGCGTAGGTATGTTTCTCAATCCCTATTCCAGAGCACATCTAGAAGTACTAATCTGAATTAGGACCCATGATTTGGTCACCACTTTCGGAAATCCCCATCATCGGCCGCAGCCCAACATACGTGCTAACCCTTTTCGTCTTCGTCTTCTTCAATTTTGGCGTCATATACGCAAAGAACTTTGGGATGTTTCTTGCATTCCGATTTCTCACAGGCTTCATTGGATCGCCAGCTTTAGCCACCGGTGCAGCCTCTATGGGCGATATGTGGAGCCCCAGGACGCGTGATTATATGATTGGAGTCTGGGGCATGTTCGCCATTTCCGCACCAGTCCTGGGTCCAATGCTAGGTGGCTTCGCCTCTTCAGCGAAGGGCTGGACGTGGACTATCTGGCAACTGCTGTGGGTTTCAGCCTTCACATTCGTTTTGTTATTCTTCTTTCTCCCGGAAACCTTCGCACCTAATATACTTGCTCGTCGGGCCCGGCGAGTACGTCGTATTACGGGAAATTCGCAGTATATGTCCGATTCTGAGATCGAGATTAAAGAAGTCAGACCGATGGTACGTACCCACTAAATAGTACCATTTTACCAGCCACATCGATACAATTGCTACGAGTAGGTAGCTAACCACTGATTCTAGGATGTTATTTTTGAATCCCTCGTGCGACCTTTTCAACTCTGCTTCCTTGAACCGATCGTCCTACTACTCAACCTCTACATATCGCTCATATACGGCATCCTGTACATCTGGTTCGAGGCTTTCCCAATAATCTTCGGAGAAATTCATGGCTTTAACCCGGGCGAAACCGGACTGGCATTCATGGGAATCCTAGTCTCAACCTGCTGCATAACCATCCCGGGCTACTTCTACTGGAAATATCGATACCAATCGCAACATTTCGATAAAAACGGGAACATCGCGCCGGAAATGCAAATGCCGCCAGCCTGTGTCGGTGCATTTGCCCTGCCAATTTCACTTTTCTGGTTTGGCTGGACAGGCAATTTCGAGAGCGTCCATTGGATTGTGCCGATCATTGCTTCTATGCTCTTCGCGGTGGGTGGCTGTCTGATTTTTAACTGCATCTTTTGTTATCTTGCACATGCTTATCCGAAATATGCGGCTTCTGTTCTTGCTGGCAATGATTTCATGCGATCATCGTTTGGAGCCGGGTTCCCGCTGTTTGCAACGGCCATGTTCCATAATTTGGGGGTTGGTTGGGCATGTACTCTGCTGGGGTGTTTGACGCTTGTCTTCGTGCCTTTCCCTTTTATTCTTTTGTGGAGGGGACGGAGGATTTCGGATGGCGAGTAAATATGCTCGCCATGATATTTGAGTTGATGTATGTGCTATGAGTAGTATGGCAATTTTGATAGGAGGAATGGTTGATTATGAATTTTGGCAACCATTTATCATAATTCGTTAGTTCTAACATATCATCGTTGGATAATCACCCGCATTTAGTCAGGGATTTATTAATCGAGAAAATTTCAGTTGCTCGGTCTGGGATGACGCCCTCGACGCCTAAATTGCACCTCGTTCTGGGTAGACGTAGATATTTCGGACCCGTCGGGTCTGGAGATGCGATCGAACAAGCTTCGATCTCGACCACGTACCGGAGACGCACTGCGTTCACGGGCCAGAGGTGGGTCGCGAGGCCGCCGACGTCCCCGGTAATTGGATTCTATTTCCTGGGACTCTCTATCTCGGGACTCTCTATCCCGAGAAGTCTGTGTTGATGTTGCATACTGGACATGGCGATCCCAATCTTCAAGTGAAGTATAAGGGCTTCGCAACCATGCCAGCATTTCATGGAGGAAAAGTCGGGCATTATCCCGGCCAATGAAGTCGCGCAGCAGCTCTTCTGCTTGTCCGGAGCTGCCCTTGATATCGATAGTTCGCAAGATAGCGATGACATACTCGAGCAGGAATTCGGCGTTATTTGCCCTGCGATCCTTTAGCCTCTGGTCTCCAGCGCGCGGCACGCGACCTTGGTCTTGTTGTTCGTCTTCAGGTCCGGGGGTCAAAAAGCTGAAGACTTGTAGTTCCCGGCGGATCCATTTCCGCGCCCGTGAGAGCAAGGCTTCGTCACGATTGAAATTTTGTGGTGTCACCTCACTATATTGAGAGAGACGATTCGATCCCACTCGTAGCGAGTATAAATTATTACGATAGACGTTGCGCCGGGCCGAGAGAGGATCGGCAGATATAGGTGGTCGCTGGTATAGATGGGAACGCGTTCCTCGCCGGCGTGATCGCGCATCTCCTATATCCAAACCACCCGCCAAGGCTCGGCGTTGTGTGAAACTCCAAGATGGAGTAGTATCGGGTTTAGCTTTGGGCTGTTCGCGGGTGGGTACATTGTAGATTTTCGGCCCGCGGGGAGCATTCAAGTCATATTTGACCGCAGTGAGGCCGGTTTTACCTGTTATTGTGGAATCAGCTCGGTGCTACTAGCTCAAGGTAAACCTGGGAGGTATTTACACAAAGGACAGGAAGGCTGCTGTTCCAGCCAGCTAAGCAGGCATAAGTAGTCGAAGTTCGAGTGATTGCATGGTATGGCGACACTAGGCTCCGTGATTGAATCCAGGCAGATGACACAGGGGTCCGGGTCGTTTGCTTCCCCATTCGCCCCCTCATCCGCTACTTCCTTCAAAGTTTTCTGCAAAACCTCATGTCGCACATCTGCCTCGTCTGCCATCGTCCACGTCCAGCCATGGGAATCTCAGCAGTAGTGAAGAAGCAACGTGAGCGGCGGCTCTCAAGACGCGATCGTCTTATCGCCCCGATATCACGTGCACAAACCATTTCACGTGGTGATAAGAGCCCGCAGCTTCCTTTCTTTGACGGAAATGTTCTTTGTCGCGAAGCTTTGCTGGAGTATACCTCCTCGACTTCTGTTTTCGCCTTATAAATGAGCTAATGAAATACAGCCGAACCCCTACCCTGTCACATATCCGGTCATCTGCCCGATTACCTACACAATCATCGACCCATTCACCTACGCAGATGCGGTCAGCCAAAGCTGTTGTCTCCGAACTTGCTCTTGCGCGCATCGGTCCCGCCGCGATGTCAACTGCACAGCGCCAAACAGCCTACACAACCACCTCGCTGAAGCGATGGTCGGTCGCTACAAAGACACTGCCAGGTGGGTACTTCTGTTGTATTTCGATGACCTTGGAAGCTATGAAGCTAATCATAATCACTATCCACAGCCGTATCTCAAATCCGTTCTATTCATGTTTATGATTTCGACAATACCCGTGAGCCTCGTCAATCTGCTACCGAATAAATCCAAATACTTATCAACCATCTCTCCAATAGTATTTCTAAGCCCTTTACCGAACCCGCAGCTCTGGAATGGGCAAACAATCGGCCTACTGCAGCACGAAGAAAGCTTTGCGAACGGCGGTTGGTGGCATGACCCCAATCTTCTGTCGGCTACCGGACAAGGAATAGACGTCGAGGAGCCAAAGGGATGGAAAGGATGGTGGAATGAGAATATCGTGCGATGATCGTGATTCTTTTATGCTCCGACGTGCAGTCACTAACAATCACCAGCTTCGTCTTGTCCAACTCAGCATGCAGCAAAAGGATGCACTCACGGTCCTATTGACTGGCAGAGGCGAGGATCGCTTTGCTGATATCGTCAAACGCATGGTTGCGAGCCAAAACCTGGAATTCGATATGATCGGCCTCAAGCCAGAAGTTGGTCCTAACGGACAAAAGTTCCCTTCGACTGCACACTTCAAACAGAAATTCCTCGAAGATCTTATTTTCACTTACGAACAGGCCGAGGACATTCGAGTGTATGAAGACCGCGTCAAACAGTATGTTATGGCTGGTCTCGAGAGTTTTTTATCTGAATTTAATTAATGTTGACCTCTTAGTGTGAAAATGTTCCGCGATTACTTCGAGGGCATGAATATGAGCTTGCAAACCGGACAAACTCCTTTTCCCAGAAAACCCATCAATGCTGAAGTCATCCAGGTATCCGAGGGCGTCACGTATCTGGACCCAACGGCAGAGATTGCCGAGGTGCAACGCATGATCAATTCTCATCATCTAGCGTTGGCCAATTCAGGCCCTAGAAAGATGAGGTCATCTTATGGTGGGTTCCGTATCAGGAAAACGGTGCTCTACACAGGATACTTGATCTCTAAAGAAGATCAAATGCGTTTGATCCAGGAAGTCCTGAGCCCAATCCTACCTCAGGGATTGGCCGACTCAAAGGACATAAAGTACACGGCTAACAACATCATGATTGCCCCCCGTCCCGCTTCCAAGCAGATATTAGACAGAATCGGCGGCGCCGGCAGGAAAGTAAAATGGCAGGTTACCGGCACCGCAAACTTCGAGAACAAAGTATGGGCCGCCCGAGTACAGCCTATTCCGGGAAATACCACAATTCATTCCGAGAACGCCGTGCCTCTCGTCGTTTTGGCCTGCCGCAAGCCTGCCCGCCCGGTGGATGCGAGCTTGATTCAAAATTGGCACCCCGTGCCAGCAGAGATGGCGGTGACTTTCCAGACAGAGATCGGAGAGAAGGAGGTCCTTTCTGTTGATGAGACCAATCAAGATGGAGATAGAATCAACCCATCAGGCAAAAACAACAAGAAACGCCCACGTCAGCAATATGAAGATGGCTTCTCCCATGCGCAGTCAAGTCATCACGCCAGCTATGACGGACCCGCACCTTCACATGGCTATAATTCCAAACAATACAATTATGACGATGGCCCTCGTCGGGGATCTCAGCGTGGCCGAGGCCGTGGTAACCCAAGAGGCCGAGGGAATAATGGCCGTGGTGGTCGTGGTCGTGGCCGGGGTGGTGGTAGTGGCACGGGCCCTTCAAACCCATACTACAAATCGTTGGACGACTCTTCTGGTGCGGCTGAGGGCGGGAATTCTGGTGGAAATCAAGTTGGAAGCTATCCCATGGACTACTAAAGCCTCTATCCAATATTTCAAGTTCTTATCAGATACCGCAGCTGTCACGTCATTCCTTCCATCCTTCCTTCATTAGCATAGCATCTAGCCTGAGTTGCCCGGCGTCCACGTGAGGCCAGGCATATCTCCTTTCGGGGAGAATATCATATCATCTTCAAGTTCTTTCGCACTTGTCTACTAGACAGTAGACTTCCGCTAGTAGGACCATCGGATGCCTACGGATTCTGGTACTGAGATGGTACTGGTACGTACTCATATACCTAACTGGTGGTAATACAGGGCATGCAGCACCTTTTATAAATAGGCAGGATACTAGTGGTAGGTTCAAGTTGTTCAGATAGCCCAAAGGTGGTGTTCCCGTAGAAGTGCCTTATCAATCAAGAGAATCTCTGTTCCCCTGTCTGGTAGTATCTTATCCAAGGGTTCAACAAATGCATTTGTTGCAATAGTTATTATATGCTTTACCTAAGTAGGTTATGAACTTGGAAACAATTACTAGTCCTCTGAAAGTAATATTACTAGTACTTCCAGTCCCGACAATGTAAAATTGAAGTTTGGAAGGAAAATCAACGATGCTATTGGTTTTGGGTATGAAGTAGTCGTTATATCATGAAAGCAGGAATACAGACACCCTTGGTCGTATCACCTTCTATCTGCGGCGGAAGCGGCCACCACCCCGAGATCCCCTGTTATGGATTTTCAATGACCGGTAGTTGGCATGGGTTTGAGGGTTGACCTTTCGTTCCTTGGGTTTCTTCTCTTCCGCTGCTGGAGCGGGTTTCACAGGCGCCGGCGCCGGTTCCTTAGGTGCTGGCTTGACCTTGGAAACCGCTTCTTTCAAGCGATCTGAAAAGCTCTTGGGTTTTGACACAGACTTCATCTCTTCGCCGTATTCAGGGTCTCCATCGGAATCTAGGTCGGGTTCCTCGTCTCCGGACTCGGGCTCGGACATGGTATGCAATGATGCGAGATCATCCTCATTGGCGTCCAAGACGTCTTGGGGAATTTCATCTGAATGAGCCTGTACTTGTGTCTCTGGGACAACGTCGGCAGCCAGCTCGTCGTCACTTTCTTCTTCCGGTTGAGGAGCGGCATTGCTTGCTTGCCGTGGTTTCGCTTGCCGAATGACTGGTCGCATGATCACTCGCCGAGTAGTTCGTTTCTGGCCCTTCTTCTTATAAGGTCGCTGCGCTTCTTGTGGAGGATGGGCCTCTGGGACTGGGTAACTAAAGCCGTCTGCGTCGCCCTCCATTTCGCGCATCAGCTCCCACTCATCATCCATTTGTTCCTCTTCTGCGTCCAGGCGTTCCTCCTCCATGTCTCGTAGGCCTTGGACAATTGTTGATAGACCCTTTCCATGGAATCGGCCTGGCTGTCTGGATTTGATGGGACTTAATCCAGACCCATCCTTATTTGACGGAGCAGGGTATCGTCCTGAATTCGAACGGCGCAAAAATGACGGGGTTGCTGAGTGGTTGGTCTCTGGGGAGTGCGTGTTAGACTTCTGATTCGCACTTGCTTGCGCTTCCTTCTCGTCGTCTGCCTCCACCATGGCCGCGTAGCGCAATGTCGTGGGTGTCGCGAATAGATTGGCAAGATAGAACTGCTTAGTGGTCGATGCCGGGGTTCTTGTGATTCGGGACGATTCCTCCTCTTCCTCTTCGGGGACCTCTTGGATAGAAGCGATTGTTTTTGGTTTAGATGGTGTTTGAAACCCGGCGGTGAGAGTGTCCTTCTGTCTATTCACAGAGGGAGTCGCATTGCTTCCACCCGACTCGGAAAGAAGGTCAAAGAGCCCAAGAGATTTGCCATCCCGCTGAGGTGTAGGTCCAATCGCAGCCTTGAGAGGTGACGGTGCTGGCATATTCTGAGCATGTACATGTGTACTCGGGCTAAAGAGCCTGCGGAAGGTAGATGGGGAGTCGTAGGGGTCTAGGTTGGAGGGATGGTTCGTCTTCTCGCTACGGGAATGGCGAGGGGTCGCAAAGAGACCCCTTGATGCTTTGCGGGGTGTCGTCGAATTGAAGGCCCCATCTGCCGGACCTGACGGCGACGCATGTCTTCGCTTCCTGGACTGCGATTCGGGCAGTTTTGCTTCTGCTTGCCTGTTTGCGTGCCGGTTGAGTTTGGCTTCGAGGTTCTTCAATTGGCCATATTCCTTGTATTTCTGGGCTTGAAGAAGATGGAAAAGAACAAAATCAGCTTATTGCAAAAGGAACCAGCAATGATTCAAGGTATACTTACCAATATGCGGGTTCTGCTTGATATCGTCGCGACCAGCTTTGCGCCCACCGTTGGCAGTGGCAAATTCTTTTTCCCAGACCTTTAATTCCTGTCGAACTGCGATAGCTTTCTCGGCAGCTTCTTCACGAGAGCAGAGAGCGTGGTGGTCTGCCATTATGCATTGAATTGGAATGGGTGTTGGAGAGGCAAACGGGGAAGGGAGCAACGCGGAACGCGAAACCACTCAACGCGGAGTCGCGTCGGCGCCGCTTGTACACTTCCACTTCTCCGCCCATCAGCTCAAGTTTAGCACAGACTCACTCATGTGTTTCCACTCGTGCCTGATCAACCACTAGAAACGTATATGCCTGACAAGGCTACCGATTTCGGTCGCTCGGATCCTTTATGGTGGCGGGCACTACTAAGTGGACACCCCCTTTGGCTATTTGAACACTCCATCCTGCCTATTTAGAAAAGGTGCTGTATGTGTATTACCACAAGCTACAGTAGGAAACCACAATTCTACATTCTCATCGCCGGGTACCTAACTGAGTATGTACCGGTGCTAACTATCTCAGTAACTAACTCATAATATACCTAGGCTAGGTAGGTACTGCTACCAGTAGCCCTAACTAACTATCCACTACACCACACCTTGTCGCCAAAAGTTGTATATAAACGACTACAATCTTTTACTTTGGACTGACCTCCCGTGGTACCTAGGTAATACACATAGAGCACCCTTCCAGGATAGGCAGGATGGGGTGCTCACATGGCCATAGGGGGTCCATTTATCAGTGGCCGTGGTGGCTTGCATCTTCCACCAATGATGCATCTCCACCTAAATGCATCCCAGGGCTGCGGCACCTTAATATAAGACCACCCCGGAGTCCCTAGTGACACTCAAAAGAACTTTTCTATATCTCTATATCTCTCTTGGGATATCAAACTGGAAATCTGCTGCTGATTTCATCGCACTGATCTTTCGTTGGATTCCATTTTGAATCGCAAATTATCGCCGAGATGCCCGAATCACCCTTTGATCCCGAGTTTGACGCTCTTGTCACCAAGCTGCTCGATGAATGGAAGGTCCCGGGCTTATCAATTGCTGTGGTTCACGGAGATGAAACGTATTCAAAGGTGGTGCATGATCCAAGATACTACTGCGAATTTATAGACCGCTGACCTCCACAGGCCTACGGAATTTCCGAATTGCCAGACAAAAGGATGGCTACCGACACTCTATTTCCAACCTGCAGCACGACTAAAGCGTTTACCGCTTTGGCCACTTCATTGGCCATTCAAGACAGCAAAGATACGGATAAACCAATTGACTGGGACACTCCAATATCTGCCATAATTCCAGAAGACTTTGTCCTTGCGGATGATTATGCGACGCAGCATACGACACTAGAAGATGCCCTCTCGCATCGTTCTGGTCTCCCAGATCACGGATGGATGTTCACGTTCACACCGAATGACATGGATTCAAAAACCCTCGTTCGGTCTCTCAGACACCTACCTTTGACCGACCCGCCCAGAACCACTTACCAGTATTCTAACCAAATGTACGCATCAGTGTCCTATGCCCTGGAGCACTTGACAGGTGAGCCATTAGGATCATTCATGAAAAAACGCATATGGGATCCTCTAGGCATGAGTGATACATACTTTTCCACTCAAGAGGTCAAGGACAACCCTTCGACGGCGAGAAGGCTCGTCCATGGATATACTTGGCTGGCCGATGGAGAAGGTGGCTACTACTATCATCTCCAAAAGGCACTGAGCTGGATGCCCAATAAAGGAGCAGGGGCCATGGTCAGCACGGTTCTCGACTACACTCATTGGTTGCGTGCATTGATAGAAAAGAGTGGACCACTAAAGGGTCAGGACTCTTTGATCAAACCCAGAATTATTCATTTCGCAACAGGCGACGTCAATCCGCCTTCCCCATACCACGGCTATGCCCTAGGATGGTACGTCGACAACTACCGCGGTGAGAACTTTTATTGGCATACCGGTGGATGGCCGGGGTTCAGTACCTATGTCGGCTTTCTCCCAGAGAGGAAGTTTGGCCTCGTTATTATGGGCAACTCGGACCCTGCAAGATTTGCTTGCTTTGAACTAGCTGTTTATTTGATGGATAGGCTCCTAGGCCCAGCAAGCCTGCATCATACAGAGCAGATGTCTGTCTGTCTGGCAAGGCAACGTGAAGTGGTGAACGAGATATTTCAGCCAAAAAAATTGGAAAATAGCAAGCAAGTGGTTTTTCCTAGTTTGCCCAATCCTCCGATTCCGCATTCGCTGCCATTGGAGAAGTACGCAGGGACATACAGGCATCTGGCAAATGCCTGGATCACGCTTGAGTGCAAGGATGGCCAATTGACTGCTGAAGCGTCTCATGGAACGCTGCCGTGTCAGCTAAGCTTTACACCTGCAAGCGGCGAGTTCTTCATAGGACATTCTAAAGTGCTGAATCTTGTTTCGTTACAGCCGTTCGCTGTGGAGTTTTACATTGAATCTACGGGAGTGGTCGCGAAAATCGGGATGCTTCTCGAACCAGCTATGAAAGGAGAAAAGATCTGGTTTGAGCGAAGCCCTTCGTGATGGAGTAGAATCCGATATGCTGGGGCTGTCTTTGACAGCGATGGAGATGTTCAAAATGAATGTTCCAAGATTGATTATCCAGAGGTATTTTATAAGTTACAAAAACATCTTGCTCACAAAAGCTGCCCAAAATTATGGCCTTGCTATGAAGATAGACTGTTGCAGATACTGCAACATCCATCACCAACTCGTAACCCCTTTTAAACGGTCAAAGCCACCTCTCAGTTGTGTATCGGGGTGAACCACCTTCCCTTGAAGAATAGTATATTTGATAATTCCCTCACAATGCTCCGGTCGTACACGCGCCAGCCAAATCATCTGTTGATCTTTCTTCCGGTACACAAGTACATTTGCAGAAAACTTGTGCCCGCCAACATGCGAGACGAAGAAGATTCCTGCACCGCCAGGACGAGAGTCATCTGCATCGCGATCTAATCCCAAAGGCCGAAGATGCCTCTCCAACTCGCGCTTGATTAATGGAGCCGTTATTCCACAGCGCGCGTCCCGTCTTCGGTGCGAGCAGAGCAAGATCACGTAGTCTAGCTCGCACGGTCGAGTTGTCATACCGTGATCTAGAGAGGCAACACCATTGCTACCGTTCTTCTCCTCTCTGGCATTATCGATATATTTATGGACGAGGCTGGGAACGTCGGCTTGAGAAACAGAGTCCACAAATGTGAAAGACGGTAGAATAAGCACCGACGTGCGTTCTTTTGATTGCTCGCCGGTTTTCTCGTCCGGGATGTGGAGATTCGACGCGGAGACCATAATTCGCTGGAAATGAATTAGTATAAATGAATTTGAACTGATCAAAGCCGGGCTAAGTAATTGGTCAATCTTACCCCGAGAGCCGATTCCGCCGAGGACTGATGGAACGCCTCCATTAAACTACCCTTCTCATGCTCGACCTTTTCCTTCCAATCGGATTGGCCCGTCGCAACGAGAACGTGTGCGTTGAACTCTTTGATGTGGCCGTAGAGGGGCCGCAAATTTTCCACCTTCACCTTGGAAGGAAAATGTGTTGTGCAGTCCGCGCAGTCCTTTAGACAATCGGCCCCATCTAGCGCTGGGTTCACCCGAGGAACGAAGTAGTCCGAAGACCGACCTAGCGAGAGGAGTGAGCGTAGCATTGTGGTGGAATCGATTTTGCGACGCTGTCGTAGGCTTTATGAACTATACGAAGTTTCACTGACGATCCTCTCGGAGGGTTTCAAAGTCGGTTTAAATGTCGCGGTCGGTCATGGTTGCCTGGATTGAGTATGGTATGTCCGAGCAAAAAATATCCCCGGCGGCGGTTAACCCCGAAGTCCGAGCTTATCGTAACAACCTTGGAAAGTTTGACACTTTTCATTCTCCACAATAAACGGCCCAGGAAAGCTGGGCTACTGTTTAAAGTTTATTGGTTTCGTGGCTAGTTGTTTCAATTACTGATTAATTCATGGATGCCCGATATCTGATAGATTCTCTACAGGTTAACGCTGCAGGGGGCAACCCGCAAATTTGGCCGGCAAACATCTAATTCGGAAAATTCTTTATACACTCATATCAGGAATATCGGATAGAAATCATGATGTCGAGGTCTCTCACTCATTGAAGTTCATATCGGTCTGGAAATTACTCCAATGATAATCCAATATTCCGAATTCAAAATTGTGTTCGAAAGGGAACTCATCATTGAATCGTTCCGAGGACGAAAAGTCGAATATACCATCCAGATTCAAAGGCTCGTTTCCATCCATTCGAGAAGAGAAAGCCGCATCCTCAACTGCAAGTTGATGTTTATCGACCAGATCCCGCGAACGAAGAAACCCCATACAAGCTCCCTTGTCGCTCATCTCATTGACTCGAGTCTCCATTGCTTTGAGGACATTCGCGACGCGATCGGCAGACTCGGCCTGTGCTCGGAAATGATGGATAACAGCAAGGCATCGATGCCAAGATTCGTCTATCGTCGATGGCTCAAAGGCTAGATCGTCACTCTTGTACAAACGCGCACAAAGAAGTACAATGGCACAAATGCAAGCATCTTTTCCTGAATGTTAGAATGATGTATAAGTATGAAAATGCAAAATAAGACTCACAATGAACCTCTCTCCAGCCTGCTTTATTAGGGAGGAGTATCAGATTTGTGTGCATATGATCTATTAGCTCATGAGTCGCAGTAATGCATAACGAACCGCACTTTGTGATACTGTGCTCCTCGAGTGTTTCCTCGCGCGCGATTGACTCTCGATCTGACCGAGTTCTTCGAGAAGCACTGTAAAGAAAAAGTGGTCGGAGGAGAAGAATCCGGATATAAAGAAGCCTATAGATGGTGAACTTGTCTGCTTTGTTTCACACGTAGGATGAACCTTGAAGTTATTATTACCTTGAGTGAAACACGTAACCTTGCCATTTCAACTGTCCATACAGGACGTTTTCCATGGGTTCTTTCAGGAATCCAGGCTTGAGATGGCACGGGAGTGTGAGAGACAGATCATCCAAAGAGGAACTCAGGGAGAGGACAGTATGAAGTCGCTCACGGGCCCACTGATGGGTTTGGCTTTCGTTTGTCGCGCAAGATTCGGAATCGTGTTGGTACAGCTGGGATAATGTGTGATTCATGATGTTGAAAAGGCGGACAGAGAGCACGAAAAAACCCATGAGAGACGGGAATTCTCTGGGTTGAGATTTCTCTAAATTTGTCCATAGATACTCATCATCAATCTCTAAGGGTAGTGGCACGTTGGAATTGCCATAAATCATTCCCGGGCGGTTGAATGTCAGAGATAGTAATCTACGGTGAGACGTCAATCCCCTGCTAGATTACAAATATCAAAGGAGAGACAAACCTATCGATTATGACACAAGAGTGCCATATTCTCCGTCGCATTTCTTGTTCGATCTGAGATTTCTGCTTCTGAACGCTGTGCTCGAGGTGGAGACCGAGAGTTTGCGCGCATCGGATAGCTAGCCCAACAACGTTCCAGCACCTGTTGGCGTACCGTGTGGATTGGAGATATATCCCAGTAAGTAGTAGAAGTTGGACATCTTCAATTGAGGGGCTATCCAGTGAGTCTGTCTGAAAGAGCCCCCTGGATCTCTGATAAAACATATCTGCCAAGCTTCCATCTGCGGTTTGCTGGCATCCATGAGCGAAGACGATGTTCACAATTGCTCTGAGGACAGCATTATTTGCGGGAAAGCTTTCTTCCCGTGCGTCAATCCTCGGCGTCCAAATATCCTCATAAAGTGACATGAAAGATGGTTTATGCCGAATGGGGAATATAGGATGTACAAAGGCCCAATATTGATGTATGAGGTGATCGGCTCTTTCGCGACTTGGAAGATCGAATACATCGGCAGTCTGGCCTTTTGGTGTTCCCTTCAACCCGGTTCCTTGAACAGAATCTGACTTGAAAGCCGAGTCCAAACACTCGGTATTCTCGGATATGCCCACTGCTCGTGCCATCGATTGCATAAATGCAGGAGCAGAGGACCCGCAGCAATGGCATCCGTTGCTCTCTTCAGGCGAAGGAACCATCGTCAAGGCATCGGTTTTTTGATTTGAAACTTCGCCAACGGAACATTCCCATTCCGTGGATAGTAATCGATCGTGCAATGGAGGTGAGTCGACTGATCGAGATCCAGGGTGACGGCCCGAGCGTTCGAGCTCTCGTACCCTCTTCTCCAGAAATGAAATATAGCTGTGAAAAGGTCAGACCCTGCAAAAGCGACCGAGGGGAGCAAGTCATACCTTTGGGTTCGCAATGTTGACGGCTCATATTGGCATCTACTTGTGAGTCCCTTCTTTTCGCACCTTGAACATGCAGGCATGTTTCCATCGCAACGCGATTTCACCTGGCGACACTCGTTACAAGCTAGTTTTGTTTTGCGGCGTTTTGCTAGCGAGAAGCTGTTGCCTGCGTGGCCCAAAACTGGCCCTTGCAATATCTGTTCACTTCCCATATGGGCCATCCTGATGTCGTGATATTGTGGAAGTGCCTAGGTGTGGCAATTGCGGGGAGACTGGAACGAATTAACAAGGTTTAGGGACCCAGTGGAGCCGCGGCCTTAAGGTGGCCTCGGAGGCGGGCCGAGGTGGCTGGGAGGCGGCGGAGGGTCAAGTTGGCGGCATTCGATGTTGTAGAGAGAGGATGAGAAGGTTGGTGATTAAGCAATAGTGGACAAAGCATCGGTTACAATTGGAAAAGTAGACCATCCTGGCATCGTAGCTCCGAATGGTCTAGGGGTCTTGGCCCTAGCCGTTTGGGGGGAAGAGTGGTTAGGTTGATTAATGAAACGCTGGTAGCTGCCTTGAACCACCTTTTTGCCATTTTTGTTGTTTGTCCAGGTCAGAAGATCGATTCCAGCACTCGACGTCTTCTTTTGTTTCTTTCTTTTGGCGCTCTTTGTTGGTTGTTGTTGCTTTCAGTGAATCGTGCCTTCCTTCCGTTTGCTGTCCCCACACTAGTATCAAGCGGTTAATCTACCTTAGGTATATACAGTGTCTTCAGTCTACTAGTATATGAAAGGCAGTACTAGCTCTATTTAGGTGGCCTTGTGTATTTGTTGAATTTTGTGATCTTCTGACAAACCTGTACTTTCAATCTTCCAGAGCGTTCAAGTGTGTGCCAGTATACTAATAGTATATCGAAACAGCTTACTGGGCAGGCTGCGGGGGAGCGTATCCTACCTAGGTAGGTATACTAGTACTAGATAGTTCCACAACCAAGGCTCGGGTAGATCGGCACCTTCAAGGTAGTACTAGTTCAACAACAGTCATTGGAAAGAGTCTTTTGGGTCTTCTCCAACCAGTACTAGTCATTTTGTTGATGATTGTAGAGCCTTTAGACAGATACAGGCCAATCATAGTCACCGGGGAGATAAACTGGGTCCAGATATCCTATGTGGGGCCACTTGGGGAACTGCCTAGGATACTTTGGATGGTTCTTCCGATAGCCCTGGTCATGAGATGAATCTAGAAGGCAATGCTGCGGGCCTTCGGATATCGAACAATCCTATATATTATAAGTGAAATAAATTCAATTTCAGCCGAGTAAGGTATAGAGATTATTTCTATAGTACTGTTCAACCAGATTTCCTATTACAGCCAGCTTGAAAACTTTTGGATCCAGTCGACGATTCTGTAGATGAAGCTGCTTCCGTCGTCGGGATTCCGAGGAGTCGGATACTGTACTTAAATGCTTAGCATCCGAATGTGCATCCGAATGTGTTGACGATGTAGTGTGTCGATCATGGCACACAGTTTGAATCGCCATTCAATCAAGAAGGCCGGATTTACGCGAAACCCTAGGTATGCGGGGGAAATGTGGGGAGAGGTACATAAAACGTTAGAAATGAGCTCGCGCCGGACTTTGCCTATTTAAAAGTGCCTGATTCGCATTTGTAAAATTTCCCTACTCGAATTATCTCACTAAAGTTCTGGACAGTTCAACGACAGCGATTCTTGAGGTGTTGCCCGCACAAAATGTCTCTTCTTGGGAGCCCTTCATTCTTCCCTGACTACCTCGATTCAAAGCCAAAATGGGCATTGTCTTTCTTGCTCATTTCCGTTCTTATTCTTTTACCACCTTTGACAGTTATTTATAACATTACACTCCATCCGCTGCGACATTTTCCAGGTCCGTTTCCAGCGAGATGCTCTAGCTTATGGGGGTTCTCCCTTAACCTGCGCGGTCGTCGAGCCCATGAGATCCAAAAAGCACATGAGATATACGGTATGAAAAATCCTCCCAAAAGAACTTCCAACGAGTAACACTAAACTTTCCCTAGGCCCGGTTGTCCGAGTTGCGCCAAATCTACTCTCGTTCTCGAACCCAAAATGTGTCCGCGAGATCTATAATTCCAAAATCTTTGTGAAAACGCAGGGGTTTTATGTAAATGCCCTACATTGTCTAATAATATTACGCCTACTAACAATTATCAGCGCGCAAAGAAGATCTTCCATGAGAACCATCTGCTGTCGTTTCGGTGAGTACTCGACTTGATTCTCTCAGGATTTACTACTATGAGTGGTATTACTCAACATTATAACTTTGTAGAGATCCAATCCATCATGGCTCTCTCAGAAAGCTACTATCTCGCGGCTTTTCTCAGGCAGCTCTATTCGAATTCGAACCCCAAATTGGCGAAAAGATCAGAACACTGCTCGACCAGTGGGCCAAGTTATCTTCATCCCAGAAGGCGATTGATATCTACCCCTGGGCCCATATGTTCGGATTTGACACAATATGTAACGTTTCAAAAGCATGGGGATTCATGAACATGGACTGATATGATAAAGATCACCTAATGTTTGGAGTCGACCCCGGTTCTTTGAAAGAAGGCAAAGAAAGCTCTATCATGCCTTGGCTACGTTCATGGAGACCAACGTTTAATTACGTATGTTTTAACAACTTGAAATTAGAGAGTCAAGCTCATGACTGATTCTGTGGCCATACAGAAAGAACTTTTCCCGTTTCTTAAGCAGTGGGGACCCAGATTCCCGGGGCCAGTTGGTCAGAAGTTTCGCAATGTCCAGTCCTGGAAGGTGGTCAGTTTCATGGCATACACCAAAAATCTCGCGCTCTTTCCATATCGCCCTAACGATGCTATGTTTTCTAGTACGCGACTGAGGTGGTACGTAGCTGCCGAAAGGATGAGGTCAAAACGGCGTTCCTCAGCCGCGTCTTGGATGGGGTTGATGCATCATTGGGACGACCTCTGACCGATTCTGAGCTTGCCGAAGAATGCATGGGTGGAATGTAAGTCTCTTATCATCAACCTTTTGCGTTCAGGAGATTCATAATAGGTTGCAAATAGGTTTGGAGGAAGTGGTACCACGGCGAACACATTCGTTTTCGCCCTGTGGGGCACCCTGCGAAACCGAAATATCGTCCAGCGCTTGAATACAGAGCTGTTTCAAGCTTTCCCCGACAAATCAGTTTTTCCAGACTCAGTTGTGAGCTACCTGTTTCATTCGCTATCTTTAATTGCTCTTCTATAACATAATACGGAACGAACTTGGTCCAAGGCTGATTGACGGACTCAGACATGTGCAAAGCTACCTTACCTCAACGCAATACTACAAGAGACACTGCGATTATATCCGACAATCATTGCTATGTTGCCAAGAACAGCAATTGAAGATACCGTCTTGGACGGGAAGAGAATTCCCAGAGGAGTAAAGACACTTCCCCTATATGCTTTTTCGGATGCCAAGTTCCTAAAATTTCCATCTCTAGACAAACGTTGGAACCCAAAATCTCACAATACACCGGTGCAAGGAGATTTTCCCAGAACCCGAAGAATTTATTCCGGAAAGATGGCTGGATAGTTCACTCGAACAAAGGGAAGCGCTAGTCCCTTTCTCAGTTGGACCGCGGAAATGTATTGGGTCCAAGTGGGTGTATTCGCTATTGGAAATTTACCGGTCATCGTATGCTAATTGAGTCTTGGCGCAATAGCCTGGCAGAAATTGAGCTTCGAGTTTTGCTGGCTGCCTTTTTTCTTTAGGTTTGACGCGTCGGTTGATTCTTCCTCAAAAGACGAAGATATGGAGCTCTATGACTCTTTCAGTGCATCACCGGTAGGAGGGAAGTTCTTGCTCAATCTTAAAGAAAGGCCTTGAAGGTAGTCGCAGGACAAAGAGAGTTGAGGAGCGCTTCATTATTATGTTGAGGAGGAGAAATATCATAGCATACGGCAACGCAGTACTTCCGACATTCTGAAATGAGGCGTTGGCTGGAGGAGAAGTGGGACTTCATCACGTCGGCACCTCAGGAAATTAGCTTCATAGCGGTGAGAAAGTAGAGATAGATGACTTATTTTGGCCTCCTAGTAACTATAGCAAAAAGATTGGCAAAATTACCGACTTTGACATACTCAAATACCCTAGTTTCTTGGCATCTGTACACAGCCCCATTCCCCTGGCCCAGTTTGAAACGTTGTCCGGTGCCTTGCACCTACCTGCACCTTCAAGTGTCAGCTGATCTGCCCCTGCATTTGGCCATGAATTTTGTCCCAAAAACCGAATTACTGACTTCTGCATCCGATTTTACCATATTGAAGTACTTGATAGTGGAATCTTAATATGCACGTCGAGATACGATCTGACCGAATGGATCCCCGTGATGAAAATCAACATCTTTTTTCTTTACCGACAACAGTTGCCGAAGGTCACCACCCGAAGCAAAGATGCGGCAGTCCAAGCATCAGTGGCGAGCGTTTCGTATTCAGTATCACGTTCATACTGCTTCTGATTCCTTTGAGTCTGAGCATCCTACTACTGTATAGTGATGCCCACAAATGGCTCTTGCCAGGGAACATGTACAACTTTGTGAATCAATACCGGTCCTCGGTCCAAACAGCGGTCCAGGTTATTTCCGCTACTTTGGCAGCCATCGAGGTCTTTGCACTCTGTCGCCTAATCAATCTGGCAACCCGCATTCACTTGAAAAGAGCTCCAGTGTCACTAAATATGCTTAGCTTCTGGTCGGCGCTTTCAACTTCTACAGCTAATTGGAGCTTGCCTTTCTGGATGATCGTCGTGACTCTCCTGGTCGGTAATTTGCATACCGCTCTGACCGCAGTATGGACTGGTGCTCTTACCCCAGTGAATACCCTGAGCACCCAAAACACCACAATACAATTGCCTCACTGGTCTAACAATAGCCTCGTCAAAGAATACCCAAGTCAGATTGATCAGACGGGGCCGTCTGCTCGTAACATTAAGGGCTACTTCACATATTCGGTTGGCCTAGGCCTTCTTGGGTCTCTGCTGGGGTCGGCTAATTCAGCTTCTTCGACTGATAGCAGCATTCGCAATCACAATAAGCTGGATAACACACGATACAATTTTCACGGCCGATCATATGGAGCAGGTTCAAGTGCCGGTCTCACGGATCAGTCTGTTCATAATATACCACACGCAATCAACTATACCTATAGCGAGATGGCTCTCGCACCCTCTGTCTCCTGTATTTACAACAGCAGCTCGGAATATGCCATCGTCCAGCAAAGCGAAGACAATGTATATGCCGCCTACGGATATCTCCCAGACAGCGCCAGCAGAGAATGGTCCGATTATGTGGGTTTTGGAGCTGATGCAATTGTTGCAGTTGCCGTTTCACATAGCCCTACCACGTGGTCAACAATGCGATATCTGGCTATTGCGGCGGGTAGATATTATAAGAATTTAGACATGATACAATGCGCTGTGAGCTTTACTACGACACGGTTCAACGTCTCTGTCAACATCAGTGAACGAAACATCACTATCCACAATATGACGGTTTCCGGTCACTCGGAAAACTCTATCCCGGATATTGACCCGCACGGCAATATCACTCATGTAGTGATGCGTCAACTAGCGCTTATTTCCGCTGACCAGACCAATTTCTACCGCTCCACTGTTGGGGACGTCTTCAACGCTAGTATTGGTGACTACCGAACCTCTGTCACAAACAACGCGACCACTGAGCGATCAATATCGGACTCACAGATTGCTCTGAAAGGGGTCGAGAACGCAGTGATATCTTTGGTCGACGACATACTCGTTGCCTATGCATCTGCCCAGCTAATGGTCAGTGGACTGACAGCTTCCGCGCCAGCGTTGGTGCATGCCGAAGCCATTCGTGTCGGATCACGGGCCTATATAATCGTAATTTCAGTTATCACCATTGTGATTGTGATACTGGTAGCTGTCGAAGCTGTTCGCATGCGAGGATGGAGAGCGCTCCCGGCATTTGATTATACGGATACTCGAATGCTAGTTGTTGCTACGTCAAGGGGGGGAAATGGAATCGCCGAACATGTGGACCGTGAAGGAGACCCAGACTGGGGCTGTGTTCCAATTTTGTGGAGTGGCTGGGCACTCCATGACCATGGATCGATTTCTGTCGGGACTTTGCGTAAGGAACCAGAAGCCCTATTTCCGGTGATTTAGTGACGCAAAAATCTTCTTCCTCCGATGAGTAGAGTACCTGACATTGAATGCTTATGTTGTGCAACCTCAAAATTTTGTTACCGCTTCCTTCTGCAGTATTCCAGTCAATATAGTCTTCATCATGTTGTCTCTTATCCAGGAGAAACGACTGCTTTTATTGTCTTGCCATTGCTTGTATTCCTCGCTATGTATCCGATCTGGCTCTCAAAGCTGTCGTTAGATTCAAAACAGCCTGGCATTGAATCTTATCATGAGCTTACCAAACCTACTTTATGTCCTAATCATTCTACGTTATACCTTATTCTACGATTTACTATAGAATTTTATTAAAGGTGTAGATTTGAATTATAAAGTTTAGATCACTCAATAGTAAATAAACGTCTAAATGAGTGTCTCTGTATGCTCTCAGAGAGCTGCTTGTGCCCTCTTCTCTATTAGTCGTGGCGTTCCGAGCGTACTGGCCACAGAATTAACGTCCATATCGAATCTTTTTGCAATGCCACCTATTTTGCACGTTCACCATCCACCACTACGCCTAAATTTGATGAAATTCGCGAATCTCGCGTAATCAAGGCTTGCGCAGCCGCCCCAATATCAAGCGTATTGCACGTGAATTTGACGTGTCTTAATGGGTGCTCCACGGGCGCATCAAATATGGAAGAACGTCACTTTGTTGCCGCGATCCTACCAATATAGCGTTGACGAAGGCTCAGGAACGTGTATTGCAGGATTGGGCTGACTATATGCAGCGTCATTATATGCCATTGACGCCTGTAATGGTGGAAGCATACGCTAATCGCTTGTTATGTGTGCTAAAAAAAACCTCGATCACCAGTCTCGCACATGTGGGTATATCATTTTATAAAACGGTTACCATTACACAAAAATCTTGTCCCAGTACGACAAAAATTTAAGGATGTCAAGTGTATTGGTGCTGAAGAAGCTAGAGCTCTTGAACTGTGGTATAATAATCTCGCAAGGGTTACTAAAACCCTTTCGCTGTACTTGGTAAACAACTTTGATGAATATGGCTTTGAATCTGGTAAGGGAAAGCCTCAGAATGTTATAAATGGTACAGAATACCGTTCAGATCTGCCCGAGGCAGAGTATTTAGAAAATATTACAGTACTTGAATGTATTACTGTAGATAGCTCTTTACTTCCTCTACTCTATATTCTAAAGGATTAACTTTCTAGGAAGATCAGTTTATATATCTGAATAATTACTCGAGGGTACTATAACTAGTGTCTCTAAAAATGGATATATTAATGATAATCTTGCTTTTGAATGGTTAAATTATTTTTAGAAGTATATTATTAATTAAGTCTGCCTAGATAAGAAGAGATTATTATTATTTGATAGTTATAGATTATATAAACTGAGGAATTTATTATATAATACTTTAATTAGGACATTATACTCTTTTTTTTCTTAGTTTATTTGCCTTATATCTACTAACTACTTAAGAAGAAATCTTTTCTTGTACTAAATTAATATTTTAAGAAGGAAAATAATAAGTTATCCTTCTAGGGATATAAGTCTATAGGATATATCTGACTGATAGTACTATAATTTTTAAAGCTCTAGAGAAGAAGATACCTATATTTAATAATCTAGTTATACCTGATTATGCTACATATAGGGAAAAAACCACTACCAGAGTTTTCCTTATCCTCTAGTGTTGAAGCTATACCTTCTGAAAGTATAGACTAACGCTTGAAAAATTACGCCAGATATGCTAATATCCCAGGTATTTAACTAAAACACCAGCGTAATATTGATCGAATATTTCAATATGCTAAGATTAACGCTGAACACACTACAATTACTTCTAATACTGTTACCAAAATAGCAGCTATATGTACGCCATTACAACATCAAAAAAAGTAAGTATCAGATTAAGCCACTACGCAGAATGGGATACTCAGTATTAAGGATGCCAATCACAGTATTGCTACGAGCGTGTTAAAACGCGCGAGAACTGCTAAAACGAAGCTCCGCAACACATACAAAAAGTAGTACGGCCGATCGCCACCACCATCTCCAAAATCATTAATTTTACCGTTAAATGACGCAGAATTGGTAAAGTTACCAGAAAGTGCCCTATTTAGTATAGATACTATGCCGCTACGTTGATATATTAGATAGGATTGCAATAAAATTCGATTTGGACGTTAATTCTATGTAGACGTGGGCCACCTATACCACATAGAGAGTGAAAGGGCCATGGTTCAACAATTCCTACACAATCCGATCTTGAAAGGCTTGGGTAGTACCACTATTATTTAGGCCGTTATACCCGGCATCGAGGAGGAATTGTTCGGTTAAAAGACTGGCTACAGAGTCAGTATAAGTGGATTGGGTGGTATCGGGCTCGGTAATTTCAGTATCAAAGGAGTAATCGATAGTAGAGTGATCGGGAAAGAAAGAGAAGGTAGAGATAGTGGAGATAGTGCTCAAACTAGTATTGATACGATCAGAATTAAGATTGAGGTTGGCATTAGTATTAATATTAGTATTAGTATTAGTATTAGTATTAGTATTAGTATTAGTATTAGTATTAGTATTAGTATTAGTATTAGTATTAGTATTAGTATTAGTATAGATATTGATATAGGCATTGATATTCTATTGGGATTATTTTAATTGTTAGAGTAAAGGGGTCTTATTTAGAAAAAAGTGGGGATTAAGATCAGCTAATAAATTAAATAGTATTTAATTGGGATCTAATTTTAAGGGAGAGTCTAGAGGAGTATAGCTTTTATCTTTATCTTTAATATTAACATCTTTAAATATATATTTATAAAGTAAACAAGAAAAAAGAAAAAGAAGAGGAGAAGAAAGAGAAGGAGAAAGAGAATAAAAAGAAGAAGTAGAAGAAGGTAAAAAGAAAACTTTAGGTATATAAGATAGATTACTTAGACTCCCTCTAGACAGAAGATAAATATAATCATTAATCTCTCGAAGAAAGAATATCATTCATTTATCTTTATCCTTATTAGTCAAGTCTATACCTAGTATTATCCCTAGTATCATACTAGGAACAATACCAGGGATAGTAACAGTACTTATACTAGAGATCCATTCAGCTAGACTCTCAATCACCTAGTAAATTTAAGTTTAGTCTTTAAAATAAGAAAACAGAGACAGAAAAGACATCGCCAGCGGAGAGACAATTCATCACAGACGGCCGAGAGGGATTACAGTCCCAGAGTAGAGATTTTTCCAGGGCAAACTATTAATTGAGATCGGTGATAAACTGTAACAAATCACTGGCATTCCGTCGGGGGGGGTATTAGGTATTATAGAGAGATATAGTGAATAGGAGAGGTTAAAAGAGAAAACATGAAAACAAAGGAATCCTTCAAGTTCAAGTTAGAAGCTACAGTGAAAAAGCAACTTGAACTAAAAGACCCTGCGGCAAAACAAAGCAGGGACGAAGATTATTGGGTCAGTTATACTCCAGGGCTGTACTACGATATAGCAAACAATCACTTTCAAGTTACTCCTGTTTTGTGATACTATTTATGTTTATATGTATTTCAACTTGAAGTTCAAGTTCTTTGTCAGTTCCATGGATCCTCTTCAAGTTCCAAGGTTGTCTATACCATGATCTTTGTTCTAAGTCTGGAAGAAAAAGCCTCGAGACAATTTACGAGGTTTTCAATGGCTGATTACATGTAGATGATTAGTGTATTGACTGCTGCGAATTGAACGAATATTTCAATATTCCAAGGCTATAATAATGCCGATTCTGCGCATCTAAAATGAAATTCCCAAACCGGGCCTTTCAGGACTTGGTGCCTCGCTTTTGTATCCTCAGAGGAAGCGGTTGGAGAGAATCTCGTTCGACGGGGCTTGGTATGTCATCATCGGCTTGTTGCCCGTCGAGGAAGAACGGGACCCCAGCAGGGAGTTCGAAAACTTCATTGAAAGGTCCCGCATCTAATTCATTGACTGTAGTAGGCTCCTCGGCTGGGTTCTCTCCGATTTTCTTAGAAGAATCACCGGGCATATCAGCCGGTAGCTCAAAGCACATGTCGGCGGGTGTGTCGGCGGGTAATTCGGAAATAAATTGAGTCTTTGGCTCAGCACATAACTCAACAGGAGGTCCAGCTTGTTGATGACCATCCTCGGCAAGCTCCTCTTGACGAGTCTTGGAATCATCCTGGTGATTATCGCGGGTAAGCTGCTCTGTTGATGCCATCGGTGAGACATCCATTTGCTCATCAGGAATCCGAAATTTCTCCGACTTCAATATCTCCATCAATGGCCCAGCCTCCGGTGGTGGTTCAACTTTCCCACTCAAAAGCTCACTTGCCGATATGGTTATACCATACATCTTCTTGTTCGTCTCCGGTCGCTCCCCGATGATTCCACCCTCAAATGACTTGCCACCGAAAATACCTCGTGACTTTGAGTAGGCAAACATACCAGCCATTCCCTTTGAGCTAAGCACACCGCTGAATTCCGCACTTCGTCCGTATGGCCCTAGTGCGACAGAAAGATTCTTGCCTAGCGTGATTGATCCCGATTTTGTGAAGGTTTTGATTGCCTTCTCACTATTCAGCACGAAAATAAAGTCTGTCTTTTCGAAGCCTAGCTGTGTGCCCAATCCAATCCCACCCGTTGACATTGCTGACGGGGCGGACCAGCTGCCGTCTTCAAGACGGACAACGATAAGACCAGATCCGAAACGAAATGATCCTACAATTCCTGCTTTTGTCGCGGTGAATATAGCCAATCCCTGCGAGGTATTGGTTAGCATGATCCGTTAAAGGAAGCTCTTTGGACGGTTGCCTGCCTTTGCGCGTGATAGGATTGCGCGTGGGATGCCGTGTTCTGTATCCTCATCCTGCGACTTCTTTTGCTTAGGATACAAGAATGATCTGAGGATTTTCTCTGCTTTTGCACATTCGCCTGGGATAGAGAATGGATCAATATCTTAATGCTCGGACTGGTGATCGAAGGAAGTACACACCGGACAAAGATGTCACCGTCGGGGTCTGCAGCTGACTCTGCATTTTGGGCCCACCTCGACAGAGTCGAAGTGGAGGATGTCGAACTAGAGCGTGATAATATGCTCGCGTTATCCGCCATGGTTTCGAGGGCCTTGTGGATGAGGTCAACCTTCAATATTGCCTGGCGAGGCGATCTGTGGTTTTGCTGGTGGGGGGGTGTTCTACGATATCCTAATGTAGCTTGGGATCGCCTTATACAAAAAATAGCAGTCAGGCTGATACCGATGGGTTGTTTCCAAGATAAAACGAAGGACTAGAAATTTGTCTTGGTCGTCATGGAGGGGAAGTGCGAGGGGGCCAAGCTTTTCGAGGCAAGGCTGTCGCCGATCGGGCGTTAGGGCCGTTCCATTTGTTCGTGGCGCCTCGTGTTGTATTGTGGCTTCCACGGACCCGAACGACGCGGAAAAGTAGAAAAAGCTTGTAGGTCCAGCAACTTGAATAGTAGATTCCAATCTACCATCAAGGTTTATAGTAGTGCATCCGAATTCTGAGGTTTGGCGTGAATTTCCGCAAATGTCCTCTGCTCGTATGCCCCTTAGGCATCACATAGGTAATTTCAAGTTACGCGTGTCGGTTTGAGGTCAAACCTTTGGCAAGTATATCATATCCGGAGATCTGAGGCTCTTTACTCCGGGAGAACTTGAAATAATTAATCATTATACGGCCGTAAAAATAGGAAAAGAAGCTTCTGGGCGACAATGGTTGAGACTAGTACTGTAAAAGAGTGCGTGCCCGAAATCGGAGGAGCTTTCCGCATTGGGAAGTCACCCGCTGAGTCAGTCACGAGAAAAGTGGGTCCATCTGCTGCCGGACACGCGGGTGCGGGACAGCTTAACTGCATTCCCCCCGGAGATTTAGGGTAGATCCTTTCGATCCTCCTATGTTCAATTGAACAGAAAGGGATCCAGTTCCAGATCTATCATGGAATCCCAGGGCCTCGGAACTATCTCAGCCGAGCGGCCAAAGAAGCGCAGACGGCGTACAAATGCATGTCAGCCTTGTCGCAGCCGTAAGCTACGCTGTGATCGCGAATATCCCACGTGCACGCGGTGTTCGAAAGGCAGGACGCCGTGGAAATGTGTCTATGAAGATGGATTTCTATGGCAAGCTCCTGCCACAGTCGGCGCTTCAAACCCATCTGATCAAGGGCCCACCGTTCCCCAACCCGAACCCGAACAGTCCATTCAGACACCCACAGACTCGGCTTTGACGGTATCAACTCGGCCGGACGCACTCGTTTCGACCAACCTCGGCCTCGGCCCTACGCTGGATACTAGGCCTCAAGATGGCCCACACCAGCATGAGCCTGAGAATCATATTCAGCATCATCACAACCACCTAAATAATCATCACCACTCGTATTTGCATTCACATCCAAGGGGGAGGCACTCGGGGCGAGAGCGTGGATTTCTCGAGACCGTTCTCGGCGCACCCAAGGCCGCAATTAACCAGGAACCATATGTGAATACGGGCTTGTTGCAACGACAAAAACGATTGGCACCGGAGCCTGACGTGAATTTCTCGTCGCAGATCGACAGTGAAGACATCGACGAGGCAGACGAGGAAGATACATTGTCGCCGTCGCATCAATTGGATCTTTCGCCACGTATAATGATGAGGGGCCGCGAGACGAAGACGCGTTACAGTGGGTCGGGCATCTATGCCAATCTCATCGCTCAGGTACGTTCAAGCACTAAATCTTTCTTGTGCAAAAGGAAAAGCATCCCGCCTTCAAAGCCATTGGTGTTAATTGTGAATAGTTTCCCGATATCAGGCCCTTTGCTGAAGAGATCAGGGTGACGAATCCGATTCTTTCACAAGTCAGCCCCGATTTAGTTCGCGTCAAGAAGGGACTTTGGAAACGTGTGCCTCTCAACACGCCTTTCCCCGAGCCCACAACGGCATCACTAATCGCTCTCTTGCCATCACGTGGTGTTGTTGACGAGCTCGTTGGCTTGTATCTAACATACATCGAATGTCAACACCGCATCCTCCATGCCCCGTCATTTCTACGGGAAATCGACCAATTCTTTGCCCTCATGGATAATCCGAGCAATGTTTCTACCGCTTTTCTGGTACAACTTCTCCTCGTTCTCGCGTGTGCGTGGAACTTTGCGGATATTGGTAGCTTGCAGGGAAAGAGCCCGACCCCACTCAAGTGCTATACTGCTGTTGAATGGGTGCTCCATGCCGAGAAGTGGATCGATAATGCGCAAATAAAGCGGCCAGAGATCACAGCTTTGCGGTTATACATCTTGTTGATCGTTGCGCGAAACTACTTCGGAACCAAGCGCAGCAAAGCTTGGCTTTCTACGGGTACTCTCATCAGACAGGCAATGCTAGCAGGTTATCATCGTGATCCTAATAAGTATGCTCGTATCTCTATCTTCAATAAGGAGATGCGCCGGCGGATATGGATGACCATTGTGGAACTTGACCTTCAAGTCGCTATCGATCGAGGCATGCCTCCGAATATCCAGAGTTCAGACTACGATACTCTCCCTGCACTCAACATCAATGATGATGATATTCACGAGGAAACCACGGAAGCCCCTCAGGGCCTTCCTCCTGGTGAAATCACCGATTCTTCGTTCGCAACGATCATGTACCGGTCGCTTCCCATTCGTCTCAAGGCATGCCAACTCATGCATTCTCCTCGGATCAGCTGCCGCTACGAGGAAATCCAGCGGTTGGACTGGGAGCTTAGTCGACACTTTTCGCGGATTCCGGTGTGGTCCATATCGGAATCTAACGATAATGCCAGCCAACTCAAGGTCACCCTGTGGAAGGCCATGATTGAGACAAAGATAGCACAAAGCCTTCTTTCTATCCATACCCCATTTGCGATCGAGGCGCACCGGGAAGCGCTCTTTGCACCCTCGGCCCGTTCCCGTCTTGACGCAGCCGTGAGGATTCTCACCACGCAAAAAAGACTCTATGAAATCTCACAGCCATTGTCACTTTGCATGCTAGGGGAGTGGACCGTTCAGGCCTATATCTCGATTTGCCAGCTATTGTATTTGGCGAAGGAGAAGAGTAAGCACTATCCCATGACCTGCTGATGCTCGCAGAACTAAACTAATGTCAACTTCCTAGTCACCTGCGATCCTTCCAGCCCCACGTTTACACTGCATACACTACCAGGTCTTCCAGATTCTCTAATATCTCTCGTCGAGATAGCTCTCGGATGTCTTGAAAGCCGCTTCTTACTTGTTGTCAAGGGCGCAAAGGATTACTTCTTCCTCTCAACAATCGTCGCCCTAGTCAAGTCGAAGGTCTGGCCGGCTCAATCCATCATTTATAAGCAACAGGTCGTAGAGCGAGTCCTTTCTTTTGCACAGACACTCTTCACCCGACATGCTACCTGTGAGCATCTGGGGGATCCCGGAATGGGCAGTTTTAAAGATAATCAGGTCGCCACTTTTGTTTCAACACCAGGTATGGCAACTGTGATGCCGTCCGACTTTGTTGACGGTATTCTTCCACCGTCCAACATGGTCGTACCAGTGAGTTCACTCCGCTCTTTGAAACCAACTGCTTTTCACTTCAAGCCGTACTGACTGGCCACTCCAGCCACCTGGAGCTTTCGATCCGTTCCTTGACGTTTTCGACTGGGAAGATCTCACGGGGATTGCATTGGGCAATTGACCAGGTTGCCTACTACTCGCGCAATCACGTATATATACCATCAATGTACCATAACAACTCATATCAGCGATTTCTTGGCGAAAAGGGGGAACCGGAGTGTTGAATATTAACTGTAACGTGCCTTGGTGAGTTGATGGGTTTGACCTTATGTGACACAACCCCTGATGTTCACCGATTCAGGGATGCCACTGCGAATGATTGCATCACAAATCTTGGCCCAAGCGATGGACATGCTCTTCCAAGCTGCTACAGGATTCGGGCGGCCCCGATCCACAATGAGCTCAAGGTGCCGATCCCGTCGCCCCCTGCAAGGGTCGTAGATCACGATCATCACTGCTAGAGAAAGCTCCGACATTTCTCTACCCTGAATTTGTGACTTATGACATTCGCGTGGATTATGCAAGCGATTTTCATCGCTAGTGGCTGCACAAGGCTAGAACTAGTTTGCGAGCCTTGCGAAGCGATGGGTCGCTTAGAGGCCCCCAAAATATGGCCCCATCGGGCCAAGCGATTGGACCCTATGCCCGTGCTTGCGGGCCGACGGCACAAAAATACATCAGTTGGCCCGATATCCATGTTCAAAGAAGCCAGGTCATAGTTGCAGAGCTTGTGGAGGGCGACATGGCATTTCCTGGGGCCTGTGGGGGCGGGGTCTGTCTATTATACAGCCAGGCAGCGATGAAAAGATTCTACTGGTGGGGCAAGATGGCCATCTTCCATTGGATTATCTACTAGGGTGTACCAATTCACCTATTGGAATCCAAGGATAGCCTGCTAATATCGCCCGTTGGTATCTTGCAGCCGACACTGTTATGGGCTCCCCGCTCTCGGCGCTTTCACTATCCCGCGTCTAGCAAGGAGTACCCAAAAACTACTTATTTTTATATATACGCTAGACCCGGGGCCAAAGTATACGGAAGTACCCACTGTTGGCCACGCCTAAAACGCTTGGCTTTTGTTTAGACTAGATCGGCGGACCCTGGGCTGTGCACTTTTTTTTTTCTATTCTTGCTGCCCTTGCGCATGTGGAATTGTTTTCTCATGATCTTTAAAGGTCCTCCATTTCCATCATCTCTTGAACTTTTTGACATCCATTCGACTGTCAATATTTTCAGCTTCTCACCCCAGCATGCGCCGTGAAACCTGATAGCTCCCAATCCGTCTCACTAAGCGCTGGCGCATCGCATTATCTGCGCTCAACTTTCAATTAAATCGCCTCCCTCTGGCAGAAATCAATTCTGTACATACAAGTGAAATCATCATGCTAAGCAACAAATTGTACACTCTGGCCTTGGTCCTGGGGGCCGCCCTGTTCGATATCAGGGGTGTCGGCGCAGCGCCAGCATCTCAAGGATCATGGAACTCCGGATTATCGCAAGTCTACGAGACAACCGATCGTCTTCCACTGCCAAACCTCGGTAATGTTATCGCGCACGATCCAAACATCGTCCAGCACGATGACCACTACTACCTCTTCAAAGGCGGACACCATGTCCCGATCTTCAAAGCGGACCATCTCAGCGGACCCTGGGTCCAGATCGGCACCGTGCTAGACGCGAATAGCATCATTGACGTCGGGAACCGGTCACGACCCTGGGCTCCGACGACAGTCTTCAAAGATGGCACATTTTATTGCTATTATACGCTCAGCAGTCCCGGGAGCCGCGATAGCGCGATTGGAGTCGCGACCACCACCACGCTAGACGGGTCGCCGTGGAAGGATCACGGTGCTGTTATTCGGACGGGGCTTGGAGAGGGATCTGATGTATTCCCATTCACAGAGACGAATGCCATCGATGCTTCATTTATCACGGACCAAAGTTCTGGAAAGTCGTACCTAAATTATGGCAGTTTCTGGCATAATATCTGGCAGATTCCGCTCTCGGATGATCTTCTCTCTATTGAGGCGCCGAAGAAACCTGACGCGGTTCAGTTGACTTTTATGCCGGATCAGCATATTCGGCCCGAAGAAGGGTCTTGGATGAGTTATCATGATGGTTATTATTATACTTGGTTTAGCCGTGGCAAGTGTTGCAAGTTTAACCCGGAGAAAGGGGGTGGGTTTCCTGATCGGGGCCATGAATATAATATTCGTGTTGGGCGGTCGCGGGATATTCGTGGACCGTTTGTTGATAAAGATGGGGACTCGCTGCTGAAGGGTGGTGGTACGATTGTCTATGCTTCGAATCATGGGGTGGTTTATGCGCCTGGTGGGCTGGGTGTGTTGGCCGGGAATGACTCGTCCCCGGACATTCTCTATTATCACTACCTCAATGCTAGTATTGGGTTTAAGGATGGGGTAGGTTTGATGAACCCTCTTGCTATCTTGAAAATCAGCTCATTTTTCTTCTTTCTCTAGGATGCGCGTCTGGGCTGGAATGTGTTGAATTATCAGGACGGTTGGCCTGAAGTTACGAGTAACAGTACTGTTGCCAATGCCAATGCTGCTCCTATACTCGGCCTTCCCAGTTGGCTGACGATTTTGATAGGTGCGCATGGTCAAACCTCCCGTTAACTGCCACTTGGCTGATTTCTCTAGGCTTTTGGCTATTTATCTGGTCCTAGCGGACTTTACCAGAAGTCCTTACTTCCATTGAACGTTCTTTTTCAGCGATGCATGGAGCTCACGAGTGTCGGCGTTGGGTATCGAAATTTCCTTTGTTTTACTTTAGATTGCATGCACATGATCTTATTTTGCGTGGTACACGGTTCATATTCATACATACAATAGAGGGAAACAGTTTCAAATGCTCCGTCTGGCTCCAGAATCCACATCACTCCTAAATCATGGGTCCCATCCACCATCCACACTATAGACCTGTCCGGTAGTATAAGATGCCGCATCACTCAATAGGAACACGACTGTCTGAGCAACTTCCTCGGGCGTTCCAACCCGGGGGATGACAGAGGGAGGCACCGCAGGACCGCCCTGAATAACGGCCGCCTGGTCAAGCAGAGGCGTTTGAATCGAACCACTAGTCAAGAAGTCAGCTCAAGTCAATCAAATAACCCCAGCAATGTCCATTCACACAGAAAAAACTTACGGTGCAACCGCATTAACCCGAATCTCCGGGCCGACCTCCTTTGCAACAGACCTCGTCAATCCAACAACCCCGTGCTTCGTCGTGGAATAAGCCGCATGCAACGGAAATCCCCGAAGTCCCTGAATACTCGACGCATTGACAATACTCCCAATTCCCTTGTCGTCGGGCCCGCATGCCATAATCGCCCGCAGCTCCGCCCGCAAACAATACATCATGCCGGAAAGATTCACCCGAACCAGCATATCCCACTCGTCGTCCTCTTGATCCACAAATTTGCCAACGCCATGCTGTTTACCGATTGCCCCGGCCATATTCGCCGCGCCGTCCAACTTGCCGAAGTGTGAGACTGTTGCATTGATCCAGTTGTTGACGGCTGCTGCGCTTCCGATGTCCACGACCGTTGTCATGATATTTGCGGCGTCGGTGCCGGTGTTTTTGGTGATCTCTTGTACTGCGGTTGTGAGGGTTTTCTGGGAGATGTCGGCTAGTGAGAGGCGTGCGCCGTGGGCATGAAGCTGCTTTGCGACGGCGAGGCCGATTCCACCAAGGCCTGTCACCACATAGACTTTGTCTTGGAAGGAGTTCATGCTGTGCTGATGTTTTGTTGGTTGGTTGCAGGGTTTCGCTTGGAGAGTTGCAGGGAGTTGTTGAGGGGAAACGACGCTCACAAACTTGAAGACAATATTTTCAGGCGGGGTCGGAGATGCCCCGTGTTACATTGTGGCGAACGATCGAGTGACAATTCTTTTGTGTAATTAATGGGGAATAATGTGGAGTAGCGGGGTCTTTTGACAGTTGATGTTCCATCCGGCGCGGCTAAATTGGGGAAACGCACTCCACTCTGGTAGTGAAGAAGTGGGGGGGTTCCAGGGGCTTGATGCCCAGGTGGATAGATATTAGCCAGTCTACAGCAGCCGAAACGGCCATGCCTACCACTAGTTTATTGCCATGACGTCTTGGGTTCTGTGATCATGAGTGAGATATCTCGATAAGCAGCATACATCACCTCCCATACAACCGACTCGAGATTATCGGACGGGCTCTGGTCATTCTTGGCTACAACAAACCTTGGAACCAGGGAAATTCAGAAGAAGCTCACCCGAAATATTTGGGATATATTAAAGGCATATGAAGCGAAATTTGGGTCCATTTTCAAGCTGAAATCTCCAAGAGCGCCCTGTTCTCCCGCGGTTCAGCCTTCCAAAGTTGATTGGACGTTCTCTGTTTATGGAGCAGATGTCCCGATCTTGATTTCGATACTCAGACCAGGCTGAAGATCGTGTCAAAGTTCTTGGTACCCGTGGATCTCACCGCGTATACCAGCCACATCAAGGTTCCGATTGGCTGTGTGACGTGGGAATTGGATCGACAGAGCTGAAGGGGTTTGATTTGAGGCTCAACGCGACCTAGTAGCTTTAGATCGAATGAACTTCAAGTCAGACTCCAACCCTCGTGTATGACCAATGCGAGATATGGACTCGGATCGAGGATTCCAAATTGGAAAGTCTTGATTAGAAAACTGGGCAAATTAGATGGTTCGCAATCCAACATTCCCCTCCAATCTACTCCGTAGCCTTGTCCCTTACCAGCAAGTAGTACGAAATTCACTCTCTTCATGCCGATATCACTGGTCCACATCATTTTCAAGATCCACATTGCAAACGATGCTAGACCTATAGCCTACTTCCCCTTGGAACTCTCAGCCAGCATGCCCAGTTGGAAGACCCCTGTCTAGTTGCACATAATTTCATGCGGCTCTCCTTTCAAGAGTTTTGTATCACATTCCCTCCGCGACGCTGCCCTGTCCCCCTCGCATCCACTTTCTCTCAATATCTGAATAAGCTGCTGCGAAAAACCCCTTCGATGAGCATTCGTCCGTCCCACCGTGATGTCTACAATAATTGAGCCCGGTTTTTCTATTCGCCGGATCGATCATTGCAATGAAGATGAAACTCAAACTGCCGGTGCGAACGAGTACGTCGTCTGTTGTCCAAAGGGACATGAACTATCGCTTCACCAACTTCCAAGCGACTTGAACTGGCTATGTTTGATCTCGGCCACACAGCCTTACAATAAAGTGTGTGCAAACTCAACTTGGGATTTGTGGTACGCGGAAGGGTTCTTGTGCTGCGAGCCAGGAATGATTGGATACCTTAGCAAAGATGCGGAGCGCGACATTAGAAAATCAACTTTTGGCTGCAACACAGATGCATACATCAAGACCAACGGCATCAGGCTGAATATCGAACGCGGAACACGCTCGACTCCTGATTGTATGACATATCCGATTTCCAGTCCCTGTGTCCTCCATCGATTCCCATGATTCGTAAGAATGACTTTGTACTTCGAATCTGACTGACTCGACCCACTCGAAGATCCTAGTTCCAAAAATTCCACTTCAACTAACCACACGAACGACGGTCTGAATAAAGGCGCGATAGCTGGCGGAGTTGTCGGGGGCGTCTGCGGCATACTCTGTGTTGCTGCGATCATATTTCTTCTTCTCCGTCGCCGTCATCGCTCAAAATTATCCAACAACTCCAAGACCCAAATCGACTCCAAATTTGGGCAGGTCCCAGTCGAAGTTGAAGAAATCAGACCATTTAGAGAACTGGATGGCACCACTTCTAAACGCCCCGAACTTGAGGCCGACAAAAGATCACAACAAGAGTTGGCTGGCCATGTATCCAAAAATACGACTGAATCGCCGCCCTCTGAGTTGGATTGATGCATATTATTTTGAAAATTTTGAAAAGAACGGGGTGTAGAGCTTTCAAGGGCATTTGGGATATTTATGGTGGAATTCTGGGGACGTTGTTCTTTTTTTAATTGATTAACCATCTTGTTGCTAGCCTACTTTCAAAAGATAGAATCACTTCGTCATGGAATCGACCTCAATCTTGAACATTTTATAAGCATATTATTCTTAAAACGAGATTCCTACTACATTGCATTTGCTATTGATTGTTTGCCACCAAGCGAAGACAATCACCAAGCGAAGACAATGCGGAATGAAGCACAGCAGTCTATTTTCGGGATTCAATTTTCACCTTCTGATAATGCTCCGAGAAAAGAGAGATTGCATACCACCTAGATCATTCTAGCTACTACTTCTGTCACCCTTTTTCTGGATATTTCCTGGCGTAAAAGCCATCCGATATGCCAGATAGTATCCTCCTGAGACTTGATCGACTGCTTCAAGTGAGGCCAGATATTAAAATGCCCATGTGGCATACCAGGATAAGCATCAAGCTTGACCTCAACACCGCTTTCTTCTAAGGCCTTTGCATAAACCAAGCCGTCATCGCGAAGAATGTCCAATCCAGCGATCTGAACATACGTTCGAGGAAGAGCCAGTCCAGACCATGGAAGTGGGGAGGTGAAGGGCGTGAAATCTTCAGACAGAAAGTCTTGCTGATACAAGGCCTCATACCCTCCAATGGACTTTGAGTCAAGACCTGGATTTCCAGGAGCATTCGCATTTTGCTCTCGAGATAACCACAGCTCTTTGTATTTCGCCGGCAGCGTTTCTTCACTCGTGCACACTGGGACACTGGTCAAAACACCGGTGATCGGAGGGGAAAGCTTTTCCCTTGCTGCACGGTGAGCAGTGACGATGGAAAGATTGCCGCCAGCGGATCCGCCACCAATCACGAATCCTTTGGAAAGGTCCGCATCGAGAGCGGATGGGTTGGCAGCTACCCATTTCACAGTGTCCCATACATCGTTCGGCGCAGATGGAAACTTTTGCTCCGGTGCCAGGCGATAGGATAGTTGTACGACCGTAGCTTTGTATAGGTGTGCGATTGCACGGGCCCAGTTAGTGCATTGGATGTTGGATCCCATCATGAAACCTCCACCGAATATGAGGACCACAACTGGATTGGCCCAGGACGAGTCGATTGGCTTGATTATATTGAGCTCACTTTGATATCCGTCACGCATTGAAATATTGATCACATTTTCCTGTGTATCGAATGTTGGGCAAGTCTCATATAGCTTATTCGCCATGGCATCGACCATTCCTCTCAGCTGCTCAACTGGAAGCGAAAAGTCAAACTTGGGAGCGGGTGTATGTTTGAGAACCTGTAGTATCGAACGTCAGTGTATGTGAAGAAAGAAATGGCGATATCACCCACTTCTTCAAGCTCGGGGTCGATTATGCCCATTTTGAGGACATCCTCTTTTGTCTTGTAGTGATCCATTATCGTTGGTGAGTGGGTTTTACTGGTAGTGTGGTGTACAGGGCCTTTTCTAGGGAGATTGTCTTGGGGCTAATTCTAGCTCTCTTCATTCTAAGAACAAATTAAGAGCCATTTATAGGAGAGCTACGTTTAGTAGTTCTATGTAAGTGACCTCTGTCCGATCATGATGATTCATTTACATTCACAATGATCTGCCACATTGATTGGTGCGCGGGACGAAATGGACCCACATCAACAAGGTCCCGATTTGCGACAACTAGAAGATCGGAGATACTTGAATTGTCCAAACTTTATTCTAATAAGAGAATAAGATTACTGGAAATCACTGAATTAACATATAGTATACAGTGCGCTGTATGAATCTAACAAATATTAATTCGTACTGCTGGAAAAGGATATATCAAGAGTATGTACTCAACCTAGGAGGATATTCGCAGAGTCATTGTCCTCAAGAGATTTTGCAAATCTGGAAATGGCTTTCTCTATGCGCAATCCTAATATTTTCAAAATTGCCATTGTTCACACCAATGTCTCATCAATGCGGGCGATACCGCCTCCGCCTGTCGGATCGCCAAACTGTACAGTTCAGTACGCGTGGTAGACATGGAAATTCCCTTAGTCCCAATCTTGACACCCTCCGCTGCCAATCGATACGTATCAAGCAGTTTTACCGCCGGGTTGATATCTATGCTCAAAGAATCAACCTGACTTTGTTCAAGTGCACAAATCCATTCTTCCAATGAGACAACCTTTTGGATTCTCTCGCCGTAAAAGTCACGCAGAGTGGGTATAAGACTAGACCAGTCTGTAGGTTTCGGATTAAGCGCATGAAAATATCCGTTTACCTCCTCTGCCGGTCGAGGAAAAGTCACACCCGAAATATCCAGCACCATATTGGCAATATCTTCAACAGGTGCCCACCCAACATTTTCGAATGAGCCAAGCGAGTCAGGCAGGAGGCCCAGGTATAAAGAACTGCGAACCAAGCTTGGGAGCCACTCTTGCGGATTCCATTGGCCTTTTTTCGCGCGTGGGCCTGCAATTTGACCAACTCGAACTATAACGCTCGGCACACCTGATTCTCTGGTAGCTTGGTCGAGAATCATGCTGCTTGCAAGCTTTGACTGGCCATAACCCAGCATTGCGAGGGACCAGTCTGGTAGACTCTTCTCGGGTACAGGAACTTCCGGTGTCGGCCACCTTTCAACAGTTCCAGCTGTGGAAATAAAAGTTATAGGGACGGCCTTTTTGGCCACCTTGGCGCTAAAGTCAACCAAGTGACGTACTCCTCGAATTTGCAGCTCAAATGACCCCACAGACATGTTGAAGTTCACAGGCCAAGCGTTGTGAATCACGCGATCTATCTCATCAGATAGTCGATGTTTGACTTCAGGGGCCAGGCCTAAATCTGGCTCAGCGAGGTCGGCTTGCAGGAACTCAGCTCGAGAAAAGTCAGTCGACAATCCCCGGGCCGAAGTAATCTTGATCTGGCGCTCGCGACTATCGGCACCACGGTTGAAGCAGATCACTTTGCCGACATGAGGACATTTCAAGGCAAGGTCTAGTAGGTATGATCCTAGTGCTCCAGTTGTGCCTGTGATGATAATCACTTGTCCCTTCTGGGCCGCAACTGGCTTATTGGGCGTTGCAGCTGGAAGGTCGCGAATGTATTTCTTAACGAGTGCATCGAACATCACCTTCTCATCGACCGTGATATCTGAGCTTGGATTTTGACCTGGCTTAATCTCTCCTAGATTCGCATGAGCTAGAGTCAAGGTATGGTTTGCTAGCTTCGTGACTGATGGATAGTTATAGATGGTCCTCGAGTCTATCTCCTTTTCGCCGAGCTCAATGCCCGCGGTCTCGAAACTTGCCCGCAGTGTGCGCGACAGCTGAATCGCTTGCAGTGAATCCATCCCCGCGGTAAAGAAATCATCGTTTGCGCCCAGCTCATCACCTTTAAACACGCTTTGGACTAACTGCTGAAGTGACCGTGCAAATGCTGGCTGGGAGGTGACGTCAAGATCCATTGAAATGGCCATTTCATCTTTGCGCTGCTCGAAGAAACTTTTGATGTCGTGTGCGTATAGCTTTGCAGCCATGGCTCTCTGGATAGTACCTTTACCTGCACGAGGAAATGGTCTTTTGGGGTCCGTCAAAAAGACATAGTCGCGAGGCACACGACCATGAGCGACTGTTTCGGAATTGACAGCCTCAATAGTCGGCCAGACATCATCAAGAAGCACCTTTTTTTCTTCCTCGCTCTTGGGATGTTGTGCTGGCTCAACAATTAGTGCGGCGTGAAACTGCTTACTGCCAACGACCTGGGCGCCAATCACCTCAGGGTGGCCCATAACAGCCATTTCAATGGTCACAGGGTTAAGCTTCTCTCCCGTGGAGAATACAATGATATCATCAGCTCTTCCCATGTATTTCCAGTGATCTTTCAGGGCCGGATGTGGCTGGTATAGGTCTTTAGTGCTGAACTCATCCAGTTCGGGAAAGGTGTAAAAGCAGCTCTGGAGTCCCCGGTGCTTCGAGTTGTCCTTGCGCTTTATGACCTGCTCATATACATTCTCGCCAGCTGGCCGCCACTCGATGCCCATTAAGTCAGTAGGGATAATAAACCATTCCCACATGGAGGCATCCGGCTGAGAGTAATATGGAAAGAAAGCACATCTGTTGGAATTAAAGCGTAAGCATTCAATATGCGTGACATCAATCATGACCGATTCGCTTACTCCGTAGTTGCGATTATATGCACCAATTTGATACCGTGTTTCGCCAGTCGGTTAGGTGTTTCGGGGGGGATAGAGCCTGGGAAGATACTCGGTGTTAGCTCAATACAAAGCACCGAGTTGTGCCGCACAGGGCTTCTGACCTCCTCCAAACCCCACGACATGCAGCTTTTTGAGTTCATCTATTGCCTCTTGTGAGCGCGACATTCCATCTAGAATGGCCGGTGGTATAATAGTCCATCCGGGGTTGCTGTTTCGCAACCACTCGAGTATATTATCGCCTGTTATCGGTCGAGAAGGGTCCCGAAACAAGACCGGATCATTGTAATAAAATGCGAACACTGTCGACATAATAATACCTGCGGCATGAAACAACGGCATGATAAGCAGATGACGCGGATTGAAAAAGCCATTCCATGTCGGAAGCAAAGTCAAGCTGCCGTTGCGTGCTGGTATGTAGCGATGAAGATCATACATCGCGACCATACCCTGCCGCAATACAACCGCTTTTGGAAGCCCGGTACTGCCACTAGTGTGCAGCACCACGAGGGGATCCCACTCTGCCTCTGAAAATGGTTTGATGTATGGAATTGGTGTCACACCATCGGTAACCCATTCATTAAATGGAGCTACAGCCACACTCTTCATTCCCGGCTTGGCATTCACCCAGGGCTGTACCATTGGCGCGTACTGGTGCTCATGAAATAGCAGATTGCATTCGGTCTGAACAAATAAGTTCAGTTGTGCCTCTACCGAGTTGCGAGGTGACACGAGTAGGGCTTTGTAGCCCGCCTTTATAGCACCGATCACGAAGGCGAGGTAGCGTGGGTCTTCAAGACCGATATAGGCCACAGTAGGGAACGTGCCAGGTACTGGTTGACCGGCCTGGATGATGATCATATGTGCCGCATAATTGACGGCATTAGCGATTTTGGACCAGCTAATGGGCTTCCACCCATCGCAGGGACTGTTGCTTCGTGGAATTGACACACACTCTAGATCCGGAGTTTGACGAGCCGTCTCATCGATGATGTGGGGTATTAAACGTTGGCCGCACTTTCCACCGAGAAAAATTTGATCTTCTGAGCCATTCTTCGTGTTTGTTGTGTGGACGACACTGTTCGGGTCGTCTTTCATCGTGATGAATGGTTTGTGAATGCCGAGGTAAGAGGGAGTGCCAAGAGTGAAAAGGAAAGTGAGCACTTTCTCGGTCCAAGTGGAATTATTTCAAACAGCTTTTTAAACGATCCAGATGCGGGGGAGGAGAGCTCAGCGTGGCGATTATCTCCGATGTGGCGCGGCGCATCTCATGCGCAGTTCATGCAAGTCGGCCGTACTAGTAGGTAAAAGTGTAGTGAGCCGAGCCAAGCCTTCCTCCGATTAGATAGAAATATGACAGTATCCATATTGGTGATATAATTCGAACATAAAGATAAAAACAACTGGGTATCTCAAGAAAAAAAAAGGCCAAAAAGAAATGGCAGAAAAATGTATATAAACACGAAGAAGTAACACCCGTGGACAATCGCAACCGCCGATCCTCACCACGCCGAAAAAACCAATCCACCCACCAAAACAAAAGCCCACAATTTCCTCCCAGGAAGCCTCTTCACTCCAGCATCCGACGTCGTACTCCCATCTCCACCATAATTTATTTCCCGCGCATTCAAGCAATACTGCACGTCTTGTGCCTTCGCACCAGAGCTGGCGGTACAAACAGCCGTGCACGGCTGGGGATCGTCGTAGAACCAGATACTCGTGGGGCAGCAGGATTCAAGGATTTTGGACATGTCAGTGCCATTGTGATCCTCCTGGTATAGTGGGACGAGGGTTGAGAATTTCGAGCCGGATATCGTGGGAAGGTTCTCGCTCGCGTATTTGCATTCTGCCGGTTGGGTATAGTTCTCGGTAGTCGGGGGTGCCATGGTGGAATTGAAATGGACGCAACTTTGGAAATTATATTTCGTTTGAGGGTTTTAGATGTCACGAATATCGCAGAGGAGAGCGCAGGGAGGAGAGCAAGTGCCGACAAAGGGAGAGGATGTTAGCGTGGATCGATCGGGTTGGACCCTTTCGTCAGCCCCGGATTCGGAGGCTAAAGTTGAGCCTAAATCGGAGAGGGTTCGCTGTCTGCGGTTCTGCGCATGCCGGTGTGGCAGTATAAGGAGGGTCGCGTGTGAGTTCAAGTATCACGATAATGCGAAAAAGGGTCACGGGTGCGCGTGGAGGGTGATTTCCGCGAATTTCCCGCTGAGTTGAGGGATCCGCGACCTTTTAACCTCGCAATGGTTCGCGGTGGGGGGGGTTTGCTGCCAAGGCGCTATTGATGCATTTGCTGCCCCTGACCTGAGCTGACCTGAGCTTACCCTTTGTTCCACTCATCACTGGTCATCATCATCCCTCGGGCCTTTGGGGAGGAGGATTACGTCTGCAGAGGACAGAGTACTGCCCATTTAGTATACTGATCTGCGATCTCGGTGATTTGTGCCGGTGTTTAAGCTGGGCGGTATACAAATCGATGCAGGGGAGCGCAAGGGGCGGCGAGGATGTTGGTAGTTACCGCCCGTCGTGTAGCCGGTCATCGGCAATTCCAAGTAAACTGTACCCCACTTCAATGGAATGTTTATCTACTCAGTACTAGTATTTGATTAGGAAACTGGAGCACAGAAGCTCTGAAGATGGCAACTGTTAACGAGAAGCCCCCACTGAAAATAATCAAATCCATGATAAATGAAACTTGAGTATAATGTTGACTGTAGAACTGTTAACTTGAAGTTGTTGGCTTCAAGTTCCAAGTTGATCACAAGAAAATACTTCCAAGGTTGATTCGGAAACGTCTTTGATTCTTTACTAGTATGTGTTATTCTCCCTCCAGAGCTTTCAATCGTTCCAACATGTTCTATATACTAAGTATACATGGTTCTATAGCACTCCAGAAGCCGCCCGGTTGGCTCGTCGCCACATCTCCTTGCGACGCTCATGTCCAGAGTCAAAATCGTCTTTCCACCGCTGATCAAATACCGGTAAACGCCGCCCAGGCAATCCCTCACCTGGCTCGCCCGCAAGAAGTCGCAGGTCTTCAAAATATTCCTTGAAATCCGGATTGACCACCGCAAAGGCGGGCCCATCACCCTTCAGCGCAATGCGCTCCGTCTCCCATTTCTCTTGCTCTGCTTTTGGGGTAGTGTCGCCTTGCCGGCGAGAACGCGGGCAGCAGCGACTGCTTGCCATTCGAAGACTTTGAATGTTAATCCCGCACCGACCTGGAGGGAAAATTAGTATTCTGTTCATATTATGGGGTATATTGGGATAAACCATACCGCTCCGACGAACGCCAGACTTGGATCGTGGCGGTAGAAGACGTGCTGGTAAAGATCAGGCACTCGATTATTCCGCGTAGGAACGTGTGGTAGGAACGGGAGAGTCCATGTGAATCCGGTTCCGAAGAGGATATTGTCCACGTCGGACTCGGAGGAACCGTCTTCGAAGTAAACAGTTCGGCTTTCGGCATTGATTTGAGAGATCGGTGCTCGTCGCTGGATCTTGGGATGTTTGAAAGCATCATCTCCAAAGAATACGTTGTATCGACCGCGAACGACGGCGTGAATGGGTGATTGTGCTGTATCGATGAGGCTGACCGCTGTGTCTGCGGCCGATACTGACGCACCGACTGTAATGACTTTCTGTTGGGATATCAGCATTGGGTACTCTTATACACGTTCAATAGGAGGGAAATGATATAGTAGTACCTTTCCCTGGTATTTTTCTGGACCTCTGTAGTGCTTCGTGTGTTCGACACTGCCGGGATATTTTGTTGAGAATTCTTCCAGCCCTGGAATGGTAGGAATATACGGCACTGCATAATGACCAGATGCCACGACGACGGCATCAAACTGCTCCGTCCACCAATAATCAGATGGGGTACCATCATGCAGTTCCCTTCGGCGAATAGTGAGGATCCATTTTTGGGTACTGGGCTCCTTTACCGCTTGCTCGACGGTGGTGTTGTATTGAACCAAGCCGTGGTGGCCCTTTGTAGTAAACAGGTCCTCAACATACCCCCGAATCACCGAGTGGTGACGGAACGGGGTTTGAGGGCCATGACGATCAATAGACCACTGTGATCGAATAGTTGGAATAGGTTCCTGGGAATACGACATGACACCTGCGTCCACATTCGTTTCAAGTCCAGGATAGACAGGCGAGTCCGTGAAGCGATCTTGAGAGCTTGCCGGTGTTCGACAAGGTAAGCTGCTGGGAATATCCAGTGGCGCATCGGCTGTACGCGCAGCTAATCCTTCGAAATCAACCACTCGTGGTGGTGGCTCATCTCTTGAAACCCTGTGAAGGTGATTAGCAGTAGTTTTGAATCGAGATACATTTGCGATGGTCACAAACCAACATCCACCCGCTTTTTCCTGGCGTTCAAAGACACGGATGGTGTGAAATGCCTTCTCCTGCGCCAGGGCATCTACTGCAATGGCGCCCGAGGGGCCGGCACCGATTACAGCAACGCTCCTGGAAGCAGTATCCTTAGTAGACATGATGTGAATAGCGCTGTTGTCACAAGGGTTGGTATATATGGAACAAGATATCAAGTTAAATTCGATGTCCGTATTTTTTCGACGTGGCTGGAACTCTCTCGGCCGAGCTTTTTCTTCAGGATTGTTTGATCTGGGGAAGTTGGATTAGGTCCTGTCACGCCATCGGGCCTTTATTTGCGTAACGAGCAATCAATCTGGATGGAGGGAAACATAATCCACTTACCGAGAGCCCGTGAAGATTGCAAAAATCAGAAAGCAGCGCTTGAATTTATGCTGGGTATCCAAAATGAAATGCAACTGAAATTAGAAATTGAAAATGAAAATGCGAACCCCGGACTTCGCAATGCCGATTCAACTCGGCTTTAAAATTTCAACTTGACCCGCCCGATCGGCCGGTGCCGACGCGGCTCTCGGCAAGTGTAAGCCGCGAGACTAAATACTAGTAAGAACTTGGAACTACATACGATGTCGAAAGAATAGCATACGGGTAGTACTACTTGATTATGAAAATTAATATCATCATTGAATTAGAAATTTCCAGTCTTGGTATGAATTTATGAATGGAAACCCCTCGATAACTTCTCAAACCACATGGTCTACTCCCCCCACACCACACAGGCAAAGGTGGGCCCCAGACCCGGTGGCAAGTCACATCGGCCCGATGCACAGGCACCGATTGATGCCCATAACACTCGTAACGGGAATCATGATGTCGTTTGGCGGTATCACTCGCTTTATGGTTCTCAGGCTCCTGTGGAGGGTCGATGTTGACAGAACACCTCCCAGAATGAGGATAAGGGGCTTTCAACGGTTCAAAGCAGGCGTGGGTGGTATTCTTGTCATGGCCGCATGTATGACTTGGTCTATGGTTTTGCGAAACGCAGGTGTGTTTCGGAGTTGAATGTCGCCCCTTTGTAGTGCTGTGACATGCGTGGTTGTGTAGGTGGACTTGTACGCCCGAGCAATGTGGCTGTTTTTCTAGATGCGAAAATCGATGGAAGTCGCAGGGTGGAGAAGATTTACTTGCATTCACGTTGATATAGTTATTCCCATGCTGTAAGGTCTCTTCTGGGGCTGGAGTAGGTTCCCGAGGGTGTTTTTTGGGGAATCCTTCAACACAGCATTGGTGACAGTGAGGGCTGGTTGGCATGTGGGCCTCGGGGATGGATTGCATTGTTGCGCTGCTTCGACATCTCAATTTATTACAGACCATTGTATTGGGTCTACATTGTACATACGGATTTTGCAGCCCGGTATGGCTTGAGTGGGCACATCTACAAGTGCAACTCGCTTTGGTTTGAGCTTCTTGGCCGTGGCAGGACCTTTTCATTTCCGAATTTGCTTGATAAGTCTGAGTCAGCACATTGGCGTGCGAGCATTGGTCTAGAGTATCTCGTTGCCGTCGCAGGTTGTGTTGGCATAATCCAGAAGAAAGCTCATGCGGTGTAGTCTGTTGACAATGCGTTTGGTAGATCATGTTCAAGATATAAGCAGTGGTAACTGCAGTTTCTCTGGGTGCTGTCTTTCCTGAGTAGACTTCAGTCCTACTTCGTGCTCATCTACTGTCGGGGGATTCACTGATTATAAGATTTGGCTAGTACTATAGTACTAATAGATAATATGCCTGACCACCTCAATCCCGTGTGACATCAACTGCAGTTTGCCTTTTACAACCCCGACCTAGCAATCCCCGGTCGAGTTTAGTCTTGGGTGCTCAAGGGAGTATAGTATCAGAGCCATTGTAGTTTCGGCGGCATTTCGCAGCTCAAAGTTACATCCTGTAAGTGTTTGCTCGGAAAATTTATGGAATATGACACGAACAAAACATTATGACTCAGGGTGAAACAACGTTTGAAATTGGATTGGACGATTATTGGTGATCCAGCTCTAAAACATGCCCGGAAGAGGTGGGAATCTGCTTGCTGCACGTCATCGAAGGGGTGTAGCGTTGGACCCATTCCTCTTGGATAGTCGTGAAAGCATCACAGACCGCTTTCGTTGCATCATCAAGCGAGTCTCCATTGCTCTCAATGTAGACTAGGCGTAAATTAGCATTTAAAATTCACAAACATTTGCAAGATCCTCACATTTGACCTTGGGTTCCGTTCCCGAGCCACGGAATGTGAAGCGCACTCCACGATCCAACCACAGCGTAAGCATTTGACTTGTCGGATCTTCGGGCAGATCCGGCTTATTGTTAGGAGATGCAGAATCATAACCTTCAGTTAGATCTCTCCATCGCATCACCTTGAAATTTCCAAATTTCTTGTCGGCGAGGAAAGAGCCACTTCGAATACCCTGGAACAATTTGATGGTGAGTTCCGGGTTTGGAGACCGGAAATAATTGTTCATTGTTTCATGGTGACCGTGCGTTGTGAAGATTTGCTGCAGCTTATCATAAATTGTTAATCCTTGATCTCTCCATTTGGCCTCTGCGGCGAGGAAGACTGCAGCTGCTGTGATGCCATCCTTATCATAGCAAACAGAAGGAAACATGTAACCAAGGGCTTCTTCGTAAGCAAAGGGGACGGTTTGACCGTCCTTCTCCACATCCCGAGCAACATTCGCCATCCATTTGAACCCGGTCAACGTCTCTTTGAACTGGCATCCTTTGGCGGCCGCCATGCGACCAAGCATGCTACTTGACACCGTCGTTGTCAAAACTGTTGTTTTGGATAAATCTGTAGTCGTATCCAAGGATTCGAAGACATGAGAGGCTAGGAGAACGCCAACGTGGTTTCCTGTAAAGAGGAACCATTTGCCACTTGGTATGGTTAGATCTAATTCTAACTTCCAGGTCTTGAGCAAACACTTACTTGACCTTTTCTGCAACAGCAAATCGGTCTGCATCGGGGTCATTAGCAATAATCAAACTTTTCCCTTCTTTGTCTGCCGTCTCCATAGCGAGATCTAGAGCCCCTGCCTCTTCGGGGTTTGGGAACTTGACGGTTGGGAAATCAGGATCGGGCTTCTCCTGCGCAGGAACGGACACGAAGTCTTGGATTCCCAATGATTGGCACACTGTTGGTAGGACTAGGCCACCGACTCCGTGAAGAGGTGTGTAAACAAATGGTCGTGGGGATTTCCACTCCGAGACAGTTGATTTCTGAATGATACATTAGCCGAGCCACTTTCTTGGGTCTTATTACTACTGACAGCATATTCCTCAACCTGTTTGACGTAGTGAGGAAGTAGTTCCCGATATGAATTGTCATGCAAGTACTGGCTAGGACGCTGGTCTTCCCAAGCAGTTGGCCAAGGCTCCAGGTTTTCGAGAATTGACTGTGCAATTTCTCCATCTTCGGGTCTGTTGATCTGAGCACCATTGCTTGAGTATCTAAGGGTATTTCATCAGCATTGCACACGAAATGGAATCGCATGGGATATCATACACCTTGTAGCCTATGTATAATCAGTCAAATGTTAAATTAACATCAAATCAAAATGAGAGAAACGCACCATTATCTTGAGGGGGGTTCTACTCCGTGTAGGCTCGTGCGTTAACTAGCGGATTCCCGTATACTCCGAATATCCGGAAGGATGTAGAAGGATCAACCTACATGACTAGCTGTGACCATAATACCAGCCGCGGCTTTGAAATGATTCACACCAAAGGGAACCAAAGGAGTAGGCACTTCCTGTTCGAAGAACCAGACTGGGATTTGCAAGGCAATAAAAGCGTTGGCTGCGAGGACGGCAAACCGATCTGAGTTATGGCGCGCATCGTGACCAATGACCACGCCCTGTGATGCGATCTCTGGACGTTGAGTCTTTATGAATTTGGCCAGGCCCTGCGATGCTTGAATGACGGTCAACGAGTTCATACAGGCAAATCCAGCGGCCATGCGGCCCCGCAGACCGGCTGTGCCGAATTCGATACCTGCTCGTCCATTAGTTAGATATACATCACACTAAACGGCCTCAGGAATGATCTGATCCACATACGATTTCTGAGACGCAATTCGAGCTCCGTCTCAGCCCCGTCATCTCGGAATTGCTCTATTTCCGAGCGCGTCTTGGGATCCTATAGTAGATATATCCGGATGAGATCGGGCCACGACAGCATGAGGCAGACTTCATTTTACCTGGTCCCACTGTAGCCATGTTTGAACCAACGACGTGAGAGAATCCTTGCATAGGGTTAGACATCAGCCACGCCACCAGAAACAATCAGGGGTTTATCAAACCTGGGACATCATGCCACCTTGAATTCTTTAGGAATGGATCGATGTTCCAATGAAAATGGAGGTGAATGTAAAGGGAAGTAGAGTGAAAGTGGACTGTGGACTGTGGAAGTGGAAAGTGGAAGGCACCGAGGCCGATCGGCCCCGCCTCGCACCTTCCCTGTGGATCACTCCGCCCCTGCCGTTGCGACACACTCTCTGTTTTTGCTGCTGCTTCTGCCTTCACCTCTCTCTCTTTCTTCTACTCCTCTTCCACTCCCTCCTACCGACCTCTTCTACCCCGAGGACATGTTCCCATAATTGATATCATCAATCCTTCCGGAGACCTTGCCTTCTCCGTACCTTCGACCATGGAGAAAGCCGCCGAGCGACCGTCCCGCAAGGACACTGTGTTGAGCCGCCGCTATATCGAGGGCTTGATAGCCGATGGGAAACATGTTATTATCTTCGAGGGTCGTGTCCTGAAGGTAGACGCCTTTCTCAAGTTTCACCCTGGTGGAGAGAAACCAATCAAGCACATGGTGGGCAGAGATGCCACAGATGAGATCAATGCGTAGGTCTCAACACAGGAAAGTTTGAGCCATGCTTTAGCTGACCACGGAACCCCCATCGACTTAGGCTACACTCCAGAGAAGCTCGCGAACGTATGCTCTCGTTTCAAATCGGTCGAATCCAAGGGCCCTGGATCAACTTCCTACCTGTCATCCAGGGTGGCAAGTTCCGTGTTTACACAGAAGAGACCTGCTCCAGCGAGGAGGATCTGCCCAGTCAAGATACCTCCAGCCAGGAGGGATCATTACCGCCCTCTCCGATATTCGACGCCGTCGACGCCAAATCCGTGATCCGTCGCAAACGTTCCTCGCCCGGCACCGATACCTCCGCGTCCACTCCGCCGAACGAAGAATCACACTCCAAGTTCGGCTTTCTGGACGCTCGAACCCGCGATGAAATCGCCCTAGATACCTCAAAATATCCCTCGCTGGATTTCGCGTGTCAGGAAAACATCAAGCAAAAATACCGTGCGCTAAACCAGCGCATGCTGGATGAGGGCATGTTCGATTGCAACTATTGGGCCTACTTTGTTGAGTGCTGCCGGTACACACTCTTTGCCGGGCTGGCCTATACGTTTCTGCGCATGGGCTGGTGGGGGACGTCCGCGTTCTGGCTTGGGTGTGTCTGGCATCAGCTTGTGTTTACAGCTCATGATGCCGGCCACATGGGAATCACTCACAATTTCCACTTCGATACCGTCATCGGTATCATAATTGCAGACTTCATTGGAGGGCTGAGCCTAGGATGGTGGAAGCGCAGCCATAATGTACATCACATTGTGACTAACGAACCCGAGCATGACCCTGATATTCAGCACATCCCGTTCTTTGGTGTTTCGCATCGCTTTTTCAACAGCTTGTGGAGTACTTACTACGATCGTGAAATGACCTTCGATGTCCCATCTCAGTTTCTTCTCAAAGTACAACATTATACCTACTACCCAATTATGATGCTTGCTCGCTTTAATCTCACCCGTCTGAGTTGGGAGTACTTGCTCAAAGGTCAAGCACCCCGAAAAGGCCCCGCGTGGTGGCACGTTTATCTTGAGTTTGCTGGCCAGGCGTTCTTCTGGTACTGGTACGGTTACGTTGTGCTTTACAAAACTATCCCCGACTGGAGCAGCCGTCTGCTCTTCCTCTTGGTGTCCCACGTCATCCCTTCCCCCTTACATGTCCAAATCACACTCTCGCATTTCGCCATGTCCACTGCCGACCTCGGGATCCACGAATCTTTCCCCCAGAAAATGTTGCGCACCACTATGGATGTCGATTGTGCCCCTTGGTTAGACTTTTTCCACGGTGGTCTGCAATTCCAGGCTATCCACCACCTTTACCCTCGCATGCCACGTCATAATCTCCGTCAGGCCCAGAAGTATATACTGGAATTCTGCCGTGAAACCGAGATTCCATACGCTATCTTCACGTTCTACGACGGCAACAAGGAGGTCATTAGCCGACTCGGCGACGTGGCTAAGCAGCTTCGCATCATGGAAGAGTGTCGAAAGTCGATTGCGGAGGAGGGCATCTTTTCCCATCATCACTGATTACAGCGTGTTTTGAATCCTCTTCTATAACCTATACCGCATGCTGGACATACGAACGAGTCTCCTTGGTTTTTTAGATAGCAATTTTGTGCCCCATCTGACTATCTCCCCACTATCTTGGTAGTAATGACGAATGAAAAACACTCTTTTTTTAAATCTATTGTTCTGATCTCATGAATATATAGTCTACCTAGGTATGGTTATCAACAAGGGCTGGGACAATAAAAATCAAACAAAAGTTTAAACATGCTCATCATATCTTCATGCTCCCCTTCAATATTTCAACTGTCTATCAACCAGGCAAACCACCCCCACGGGCAATCTTCTTCGCCCTCTGCTGTCGCCGATTATGATTCGCCCGACTGGCCTTGTTCTGCTCTTTCCTCTGATGCGCCGCAGGTGAACTCGAATCTCCTGCTCCTCCGGCCGCTGCTCCTCCACTTCCACCTCTACCCCTACCACGCCCCCGGCCAAATCCCCGACCACCCCGACCTCCACCTCTCCCTCGACCCGCCGACCCCTCCGCCTCCGTAGAATCATCATCACTACCAGCCTGCGGTCTCCGATACGAGGTCGACTGAAGCTCAGGTTGATTCAAAGCCCCGCCATCAGAACCACCCGCTTCAACAGCGACCCGATCCGCAAACCTAGCCATCCGCTTCGGATCCCGCGCCAACATCACCGCCCACCCCTCAACGGCTTCATCAGTCATATTCGTCTCGCGCTTCAGCGAGGCGCGAGGCTGTGAACGACGGGTTGCAGCGTCACGGCCGAAGAGAGCCGGGTTGGCCTTGTAGGCGCGGTAGAGAATCATGTCGAGCTGGTCATCTGCCAGGCGCTTTGTTACGGCGTCGGCGTCGGAGGTACTTGTTGCCGCTGCGTCGATGGTCCCGCCTACGTCTCCGACATCGTAGGTGTCGTCTCGCTCGTCATCGTCTGAGTCGAAGGCTGCGAGGGCGGAAAGAATCGCGGCTTTATTGGTGGTGTGCTGGCTTCTATCTGCGAGGACGGTGTCGGCTGTTTGGTCTTGGTCTGCGCGGCCGAAGTGGATTTTGCCCTTGGATTTGTCGGAGATGTCTAGGGAGGCTATGTCGATATCTGAGTCGAAGATGTTTTTGCGGGTTGGGATGGGGTCTCAGGGGTGGGGTTGGGTGTGGTGCGAGGTTGTCGTGTTGGTTTTGATGTTCGTTTGTGGAGTGTGGTTGGGGAAGTTGTTCGGTTTTGTCGAGGAGTTGGAGTTCGGTGGGGAGTGAGTCGTCGAGGAGGTGGGCGACGACTGTCTCTGGGTTGTCGTTGTAGACGTCTAAGAGTCGGACGACGAAGGCGGAGCCGAGGTCTGGGAATAGATCTTGCACTTGTGAGACTAGGGACATCTTGTGTGCGTGGATCTCTTCTGGTATTTGGGGGCCTGAAGAAGGTTGTTTGCCCTTTTCGGTCTTTCTGCGTCTTTGATATCGGTTGTGGAGAAACTTGGTCTCTGTTTGATAGGCGCGCAGGCTGGTGAGTAGGTCTTGGCCCCGTTTTTGGGGATGGACCAGGAGGAAGTTCTCTAGTCGTTGGAGTAAATCTGAACTGCAAACGAGATCTGAGAGAAGGGTTGCTTCCTTCTTCATTTTCGGGGTTCCCACGCCGGCGCTGGCTTTGAGGCTGAAGAGTTGGTCCAGGAGTAGGGATAAGTTGGGCGATGGCTCTTTGAGTAAAGATACCATGCCGACATAGATGTTGGCCGTGAGTATCTTGTGGGTATCACCCCGTGATGATTGTTTCTGGTATGTCTCTGTCATTATGTCGAGATAATCAGATCCCGCCATAAGGATCTGGCCACATGGTGGCAAGACTGAAGCCAGGATAGTCAAGCATCGAAGCTCCGCAAAAGTAATAGCTCCATGAGGGGATACACCTGATGAAAGATTCTTGATGATCAGGGCCTTTGCTTGCTCCATGCTGGATGATATCTTATCTCCATGCCGATCCCATGTAATTGATAGAGTTGTCTTCAATACACTGCTTGACGGATAGCAGCAACATAGATTTCCGAGAAATTGCCAGCTGATGAGAAGCTCTGGTGGACTTTCAAGGCCAAGGATGTATCGCCTTGTAGCCAGAAAACATAATTTTCTCAAGGTTCGACCTTTGGGACCATGTTGTAGACCGGGGGACCCTGCTGCAGCCTGCTGATAGAAACTATTCAGGAAGGATACTCCGGAAATGTCATCGCTGGCTGCATCTGAAAATTTGTTGTCTGGTGTATTCAATCTGATCTCCAGGAGGGTAATCCATGCATCCAGAACAGTTTCCCAGTCATTTGATGGGATACTGCTCTGAACTGCGGGGAGAGGCACTGAGGCCATCCCCGGGAAGTTTGCCATGATTGGGTGATTGATGAGTCGGGGTTTCAGCGATTGAGATTCTGGAACAGAAAAAAGACAATAGCTAAACAGCAGACCGCCACAAACGCCAGAATTAGCAGGATATCAACACTCCACACTGCTGATGCTGTCACTGAAAGTAACCCGCATCGGGACCCCGAATGCTGACTCATCAGGCACTCGCATAGAAAGTCGTCAGGCATCAATATTACCCTATCCGGACTAGCGGCAGATAACCGAACACCATCGCACGATTCCTTTTTCGCTTCGCCCCACACAGAACATTTTCCACAGCAATCATCACTTTACCGAGCCGTGCAGTTCAGGTCTTGATTGGCATTCGCCTTAAACAACAGCAAAACATAAACTCAAGATGTCTTTCCAGAAGAACGAGAAGGATTTCGGCGAGGGCCCCGTACGTTGCAACCCCATCTCCAACACTGCGCATTCATCGCTGCGAATTGTGAATGTTCGCCGGCGCAATTGCGAGTACCTCGCTGGCGCTGGTGCAGATGCGCAATGCGAAACATTGGCAATTGAATCAATTTGAATTGAAGACTAATACATCCCTATAGAAGGTCCACAAGATCCGCATCACCCTGACCTCCCGCAAGGTTGCCTCCCTCGAGAAGGTCTGCCAGGAGCTCATCGACCGTGCCCGCTCCAAGTCCCTCCAGGTCAAGGGCCCCGTCCGTCTTCCCACCAAGACCCTGAACATCTCCACCCGCAAGACCCCCAACGGTGAGGGTTCCAAGACCTGGGACAAGTACGAGATGCGCATCCACAAGCGTCTCATCGAGTGAGTGCCACCAACCTCCCCCGCCTGCTATTGAGCATGTCAACCAGCCCCCGTCGAGTCCGTGAGGCGGGGTATGGAGACATGCCGGGCATGGAAGAAGCGCAAATTACTGACTATTTTCTCCCTTCAGCCTTCTCGCCCCCACCGAGACTGTTAAGCAGATCATCATCAACATCGAGGCCGGTGTTGAGGTTGAGGTCACCATTGCCGCTTAAATTAATTAGCTCCGCAATGGGTCAGGGAGGGTCTTGGGCTGGTCCCTGTTGATACTGGTCGTTATGTTATGCTGGTGTTGTCAGGAGCTGGCCGTTTACTTCTGAGCCTTTGAGCTATCTGGGATTTTTGGTAGATACCCGTCTTGTACCTGAATAAAAAAAATGGAAACATCTTGAGAAATCATTACTTTCTTGTATCGCCCCGGACCTTTTAATTCTATCCCGCCTCCAAGTTTACTTGGAGTGCACATATCTGGGAAGTATTATGGGACAATATAGTCGTCCTGACTGCACTATTTTGATAACAGCACGAAATTCTGCCAGGATAAATGTAGTATCTTATCTGTAGTTGCTATTGTGAACCCTCGCCGCTGCCTGCCCACTACCTAGTACCTACTAGGTACCTACTAACACGATGTTGTCTTAGATACTCGCATATATCCGGGTCTTCGAAGGTTGTAGAAGAAAAAAATGAATGAATTCGTTTCATCAAAGCGCTATGTATATCTGATTCCGTGACGCCTTTTTCCTTGTGAGGATTTGTCCCTGTCCTGATTTCAAATACAAACATGTATAAAACATGGAATGGCCCTGTGGATTGTGCTTGAATGTCCTGCGAGGCAAAACACTTGCAAGTCCCCACCGCCGCCGCCGACTTTTGCGCACAAAACAAGCCCAGCACTAACCATGGGCAAAATAACGACCTAAAAGTCAAAACTGACTGCGTCTTTCTTCGGGGGTATGACCGGAATCACCCCGTCTTTGAAGAACCCATTCTGGGCGAAAAAGGCGTACATCTCTTCAATCTCCGGCGTGATTTGTTCCGGGGTACTCAATGCATCACGGAGACCAGCGTCGTCAGGCGGCCCGTCTGGAAACATGACTCGTACGAGAGTCTTGTTATCTTGGGGGTGTAGATAGGCGGGGCGGACTGTACCATCCTCGACCTTGACCGGCCGCACTGGGCGGCCTTTCCACATCGTGAGAAACTTGGAAGTAGGGTCTCGTCTGGTCTCGCCCTGAAGAGGTGGAAAGGGGTCCAAGCCGGTTGTGTTATCGATCTTGATGGCTGCGCGCGGCCCGGCAACAGGCTGTGCAACAGGCACGCCTTGGGGAGCCGCGGATTGGCCAAAGGGCGAGGGATTTGGTTGGGTGGAAGCGGTTCCACCGAAGGGATTTGAAGCTGCAGATGAGGCCAAGCCAAATGGTGATGCTTGCTGCTGTTGTGGTTGGCCGAAGGGTGACGAATTTGGTTGGGAAGGCTGACCGAATGCTGTCGCAGGCGCAGGGGCAGACGGTTGGCCAAATGGTGAAGCCTGTGGTTGTGAAGGCTGGCCAAAGGGTGCAGGAGCTTGTGCTTGTTGACCTGAAGGCTGCCCGAAACCTCCTGTAGATTGGTTCTGTCCAACCTGCGTGAAGGGAGATGTGGTCGAAGGGGCGCCAAATGGTGCCGCTGGGGCTGGGGCTGATGCTGGAGCTGAAGGCTGACCGAATGCAGTTCCACCAAAAGCAGATGTACCAGACTGTGAAAATCCTGACTGGCCAAAAGATGGCTTTCCAAGCCCTGATTGTGCCCCCAGCCCGGAGGGTTGGCCGAAGGCAGAACTAGAGCCTAGGGAAGAAGGTTGTCCGAATGCAGAGGATTGTGATGGTTGTCCAAATGGAGACGACTGTCCTAGGGTTGAAGGCGCACCGAAAGCTGATGCCTGTCCACTAGGTTGAGATGGCTGTCCGAGGGTAGAAGGCGCACCAAAGGCTGATGTCTGTCCAGCAGGTTGAGATGGCTGACCGAACGCAGGCTGGCCGAATGCTGAGGTCGATGGTTGAGAGGGTTGGCCAAAAGCATTGGTCGCCTGTGCAGGGGCTGCCGGTTGGCCAAATGCAGAACCTTGATTTGAGTCTGGACCCGTTTTGCCCTCGACGATGTCAATACGATTGGGATGCTCATTGGCACCGCTGACGATGTAGTTAACTGCTCCGTCGAGGTCGTTCAACGCAGCATCCATTTGCTGTGTGGACTCATTCCATAGCGCTTCGGCTTCCTGGACGGCCTGGTTGAGGTTCCCAGCAGCAACTGCCTCATAGTGGCGGAGACGCATCTCCTCCATGCTCTGCTCACGCTGAGCACCGCCAAACAATTGACGGGGCACATCGCGCTGAGGTGCATACGCCGAGAAGATCCATTCTGGGCGTCCCTTTCCGGCTGTCAAGTCGAGTTTGATGTCACTTGCATTGACTCCAAAGCTGCCATTTTATTAGTGAGACGATCGAATGAAGCTTCGGGTACAAATACATACTTTTGGGCCTGCTGGCCTGGTCGTGAGGCTTGATCTAGGCGAGTTGTAAGTGACACGTTAGTCGACGATTCGCCCCAAGCAGGTGGAGGCGGTTTCTTTGGCAGAATGACAATTGGTGAGATGGAAATAGGCATAACGTCCTCGTTTGAGAGACGGGAGAGTAGGAATAGATGAAAGCAGATATGAGAGGAGGAGCAAATAAGAGAGAAAGAATTGGAGGTGAAGGTGAAAGCCTAGAGGTAATGCCTAGAGGTTGTTTTGACCCGACCTCATCCCACGGTAGGGTATATCTTCCAATTGTAGAAACTGAGAGAATTCACACTTACTTCCTGAAGTTCCAAAGCCTCCAGCAGCGAGAGCACCGAACCGATTCCCACTAGTCGTGGTGTTGGTATTTCCAGGGTGCTCGAACCTACATCGATCTAGAACATGGTTAGTCCCGGTCCTCGAGCTCGACTGGTGGATTTTTGCATACCTCCAAACTTGCAGCGACCTTGCTGGTAAAAGTTACAGATTGTCATCGTGCCCACGGTCTAGGCCGACGCCCCGTGGCCAGCTTGTGGTGAATGTTGGTTTGATATAGAGCCCCTGCGTAGCTGATTCGCTGGTTCGGGTGAGTTGTTTGTGTTTCCGGGTTTGAATCCCAGACCAATTTCCTCGTTCTATGTTCTCGGACGAGTATATTCTGCGGTGGAAATAGCAGCCTGGGGTTTGAGACGCGTTGAAATGAAAATGAGGCTGTTTTTCCGAACTGCGCATGCGCATCTCTTATCGCCTTATCGCCTTGGCCGCCCGCCTCCTCCCTGTCGGAGGCTCGCACCAGCCTCGGACTACTACAAGCATTACTCCCAGTTGTGGCTCGGATTATTCGGCTGGTTTCAATGTTTACAGTTTAAGAGCTCCTGCGTTTGAAGTTACTACTACTAGTAACTTCAAGCTCCAAAGCCGAGGCTGCCCCAGGGTGGTTCAAGTTGTCAATACCACCTGGGCACTAGTAATCGTAGTAGCTTGGGAAATATATATTACTACCTACCTAGGTACTCAGCGAACCTCCAGGGCAAGTTCAAGTTGGAACACACCTGGGCACTGGCAGTCCCGAGAGCTACTAACTACTACTAGTACCTAGTACTTAGCACTACTAGTAATAGTAGGTGCGCACCCTGCCCAGGTGGGCAAGCCGAGTCTATCAAACACATACCTAGGTAGACAGAACAAAACATAACGCCTAGAGTATTCAAGTTCCATTCATGTTGTTAAAACATAGTACTATCAACAACCCAAACTCCGTGTCCAATTGCCAAGGCGAATTTGCCAACATAATAAATCATTTTGAACATTGCGCCACCGGTTGGGTATTATACGCCTCGCATACTTTCCCGAAGATCATCCCAGTTCAGTCCGTCCACCTTTTTACCACCCATTGATTCCAGCTCAGGCGCGAGTCCTCCCATTTGTCCAATCGCTAGGCGACGCATCATCACTGTATCTTTGGCTCCCGGTAGAGAGCTTGCCTTACCCCGTAACAACGTTCCCTCAAACCATTCTGCCTCATCGTGATCCAGGGGAAGCCCGACGAGCTCCATCGCACGCCGGCTTCGGTGTTGGCCGGCGGGGGTCTTAAGAACAAATTCAACCAGTTGGTCGAAAAACGCTTGACGGTGGAGATCGTCGTATCTGCGAGAAAAGTAGAAAGCCTCGGTCACATTAGATCGGCAAAGAGTCTCGAAGTAAGCGCGCCGGACCTTCTCAGTTGCTAAAGGGGGAGCAGCGGCAAGGTAGTAGGTGATTGCGAGATTATCGTCATGCTTCGGAATTTTAGAAAGGGTGAGGGCGTAAAGAATTTCGTCAGGGAAGGTGGGGATCAGGGAGGGCTCGGCGAGATATGAGATTGCGCCCTGGTAAATCGATGATTAGATTCAAGTGTGTACATCACTTGCCCTTGGATGAAAAGACATACCCTGAAATCTAGACGGTCCATATGCCAAAGACCTTCAATGAAAAGGCGGTATTTCTCTGGTAGATGGCACGAGCTCGCGAAATCCGCCGCAGCGCCCAGCGCATTGCGACAGTCTTTGAGAAGATAGTAAATCAAAGCTTGCTTGTGATGTATGTCGAGTTCAGAGGCCACAATGTGGTCTACAAGGGATCGGAGGTCTGCATTGGACTTGGGCGGATACACCTTGGTCACTATAGAGAAATAGATGCATGATTAGCCAAGGGACCATGAGAAGATGCAATTGGACCTGTTCTACACAGCAGAGCAGCGAAAGATTTTACCTCCTTTGATACCGAGTAATCCGAGTAGGCGATCCGCAAAGAGCTGACCCTCAAGGGAGCGGCGATTGGAGATAATCTGGTCGACGGTCTTCGAATCGTAGGAGTACTTCTTGTTGAAGTTGAAGATGTGGTCGAATTTCTCCCACTGCGCCATGGTGGGCAGATAGAGCAGACGACAGGAGTTAGAATTGGCTCTCAATAATCAAGTATTCCCGACAGAGTTGACAGGACCACAAATCACGACGATAGACAAATCATCCGAGCTAAGGTCATCGCATGGAGGGGATCCACAGTTGGATGGGAAGGCGGTGAAGCGGAGGTGCAGCTTGTGTTGTGGCAGATTGGCGCGCTATACCCTTTCTGGCGCAAAATAAACACGGATAGCGATCCCCTCTCTCCCTCACCTTTCTCCATCCACCACATCCACATCCACACCCCCCTCGCCGCCCATGACGCAGGTGCCCCAACTGATTTGAAATGGCTTCTATCGCAAAGGGCCGGCCGTCGCGCCGTTCCGCTCCTCGTAGGAGCTATGTGGTCGAAGAAACCTCTGAATCCGAGGACCCCGGAAACGTGACACCTACACCGTCTACCCACGACAACGTCGATGATGAGAGCGAAGAGGATGAGGCGGATTATACGCCTGTCCCCAACCAAGCTAAGCGCGCATCCCGTTCGAAGAGAATGACATTAGACCCTGTAACCCCATCCACCGTGAAACCGACGCGCAAGCCCCGACAGTCAATCGCATCAGTCGCATCGGAATCGGAAGCTTCCCAAGCCGAGGAAACCGACGAGAACGACGAAAACAACGATAACAACGAAAACGAGGAAAGCGAGGAAAACGACGAGAATGATGAAGGAACCAGTATGGTTTCTATAGTCGCCGATCCCGATTCCCCCTCCAACCAGGCAGCTTTGAAGAGGAAAAGTATCGAGCCTGCTGATCTCGATCCTGGATCGCCTTCCAATGCAGCAGCATTAAAAAGACAAAGTATGTCTTCCCGCAAGAGTCGTGGCTCAATTACTCCCAAACCGGCGAAGGGCTCACTCCCTACTCCAGAGCCGTCTGAATCACCCGAGTCTGAAACACGCGCTCAACGAGAGAACATCGCTCCCCTCGCCGATATAACCGAATCCGCCGTGAACCAGTCCTCACCGTCGAAACCCACCGAAGAACCGCAATCCCAGGTGTCGTATATCAATCCGAACTCGACTGTGCTGGAGAAACCCATGGATATAGTCATGAAGTCCAGGAATATGACAGCCCCGGCACCCGCAGAACCCGAAGAAGTGAAGCCTCGCATGATCATCCAAAACCTGATTCTGAACAATTTCAAGAGTTACGCAGGAAAGCAAGTTGTTGGTCCATTTCACGCATCTTTCTCCTCGGTGGTTGGGCCCAACGGATCTGGCAAGTCGAACGTCATCGATTCATTGCTGTTTGTTTTTGGTTTTCGTGCTAGCAAGATGCGACAAGGCAAGATCTCAGCGCTCATCCACAATTCCGCTCAATATCCCGACCTTCCATTCTGTGAGGTTGAGGTGCATTTTGAGGAGGTTCTCGACCTTCCCGATGGCACCCAAGAAACCATCCCCGATTCTCACCTGATCGTATCGCGTCGGGCGTTCCGAAACAACAGCAGCAAGTACTACATGAACAAGAAGGAGACAAATTTCACCACTGTCACCACCTTTCTTCGTGGTCGCGGAATTGACCTTGACCACAAGCGATTCTTGATTCTGCAGGGCGAGGTCGAGTCAATCGCCCAAATGAAAGCCAAGGCCGCCAATGAGCATGACGAAGGTCTTCTCGAATACCTAGAAGATATTATCGGAACCTCCAAGTACAAAACTCCTATCGACGAGGCGGCAACTGAGCTGGAATCTTTCAACGATGTATGTGCCGAGAAGAATAATCGAGTTCAACACGTCCAGAAAGAGAAGACCGCGCTTGAGGACAAGAAGAACCAGGCCGTCGCCTACATCGGCGAAGAAAATGAGCTGTCTCAGAAACAGTCAGCGCTTTATCAAATTTATATTGACGAATGCGCCGATAATGTTCGTGTCACCGAGGAAGCAATCCTACAAATGCAAGAGCTCTTGAACATGGAGCTGGAGAAACATGAAGGCAACGAATCTGGTATCAAGGAACTCGAGAAAGCCTACAAGCGTGCTTCGCGCGAGTGGGAGGCCATGGAGAAGGAATCACAAGTGCTCATGAAGGAGATGGCCAAGTACGACAAGGAGACTGTCAAGTTTGACGAGAAGAAGAAGTTTCTGGTCAATAAGCAGAAGAAGCTGGAAAAGACCATGCAGACCAGTCGCCTCGCTGCATCTGAATGCCAAAGTCTGTTCGAGAAGTTCTCCGATGACATTGAGAGAAAATCTGGCGAGACCACTCAGCTTGAACAGGAGATGCACGACGAGGAGGAGGAATTGAACGCCATCCGTGAAAGTCTCAAAGGTAAAACCCAGGGCCTTTCGGACGAGATCGCCGCTAAGCAGAAGTCTCTGGAGCCTTGGAATGAGAAGATTAACAAGAAGCAATCCGCTGTTGCCGTTGCCCAGAGCGAGCTTGATATTCTTCGTGAGCGGAGCAATGCTGGGGCTGTCCTGTTAGAAGAGGCGCGGGGAAAGATCGGTACCATCGAAGAGACTCTGCAATCGAAACAAACCGACCTTGAGGAACGACAAGCTCAAAAGGAGACACTGGAAGGCGAGGTCCAGAAGCTCCAGCATGACTTGAAGAAGTACGTTGCTCGTGAGCCTGAGGTCCGCGCCCATGTTTCCAGCGCCCGACAAAAGGCCGACGAAGCGCGAGTCAGCCTCCAGAACACACAGAACCAGGGTAGTGTGTTGACAGGCCTAATGCGACTGAAGGAGTCTGGTCGTATTGATGGGTTCCATGGCCGTCTTGGAAACCTAGGAACTATCGATGAGAAGTACGACGTTGCGATTTCTACTGCTTGCCCAGCTCTTAATAATATGGTGGTGGAGACCGTGGAGGTTGGTCAACAGTGCATTGATTATCTTCGCAAGAACAACCTTGGCCGAGCCAACTTCATTCTTCTCGACCGGCTGCCACGTCGCGACATGTCAACCATCTACACCCCGGAGAGTGTGCCACGTCTCTTTGATCTTGTCAAGCCGAAAGACCCCATATTCGCACCAGCCTTCTACAGCGTTATGCAAAACACGCTCGTGGCCAAGGATCTTGAGCAGGCGAACCGCATTGCTTATG